CGCGTCAGACAAACATTTTCTGAAGTATCACATAAAAATACATAAGAAACAAGTAATTTCAATTTGTTCACGAACTAATACATTTTTGGGTGCTAGCTTACTACCTATTATACCGACGCCTATTATACCGAAACCCATTATACCGACGCGCATTATACCAAAAGCCATTATACCGACGCGCATTGTGCCGAAAAGGCTTACCGATGCGCGTTGTACCGAAATCCGTGCCAGTAAAACGGCACATTGCCTTAACCCATCAGTTTTATGACGTGCACTTCCGCGTGGGACTATATTTACACCGGGAATTTCAAGTTCAATTGTCAGTGTAGATATACAAAGTTGCAGTCCTCATACTCGCGCATTTTTCAATATTTTCATTTGAAACTCGCAAGAACGGTGCTTTGAATCTAGCTCAATACTCTTTCAAAACGTCATGTAGATTAATGATTAAGTACATGTATGACAGTGCACAGTAACATTATATAGGCATAGAATAATAAAAGTGGAGCCTGAAAAGTCAATTCTATGTTGAAAAGCCAAGAGAAATTCTACTGTATCAGCATATAAAATAGATAGTTTATATATTACTTTATCATACACCTTGGTTCAAATTCTACATGATTTTTATCTACTTCCACAATGTTTTAACTTTAAAATTTTAAATATGAGACTGGATGTTGTTAATCTTTTGTTTATATATTCATATTCAATTAAAAGTTTATTGCGCAAAAACATATTTTCAGATAAAGCTTAATTTAAAATCTTTGAACATCTTTACATCTCAGTTGTGGCCAGAATTTTTTTAACTGATGCTAGGCGTTTTGGATTGAGGGGTCGTCTCAACAAACTTAATTCCAGTGAACCATCAATTTCTGTATTTCAAAGAGGATAAAGTCATAATTCTGTTATTTATGTTTGATTATGGTAAACCCTGTACTTCATAAAATATATTTAACCGCGGTAAATTCTGTATTCAATGGATAAACATTTATCTATACTGTATTGTTTCATTGGTAGAAATAAATAATTGTGCTATTAAATACAAAGTTTCACATTTCTTATTGAACTTGATAATTACTGTATTTTCGATCTTGTGCTGATGGGGCCAAAAATTGTTGTCATGGAGAGAGGGCAAGATATGTTGTCATGGAAATAATAAGAAACGCATTCATTTGTTTTACTTTAAATCTTTCCAAATCCAAGTGTGATTTTTATCAATGTGTGCCTCAATTATCCCATTAATTCTGAAATTATTTAATTTTCTAACCATTTCACAAACATTTCTTTTCATACAATACTTCGAAATTGGCATCACTTCCATGTTTAAATTGCTTATATAGTTGTTGGCTACTGATATTATCTCTATCATCAGTTTTCATTCCACAAACGAAATATCAATTATTTTGCCCAATATTTCAGTATCATTATTTTGAAACATTGAATACATGTTTTAATTGGCAGTTTAAAATGGTGCTCATTATCCAATATTCAGCGCCCCTTTAATATCTATTTAGGGACAAATCAATACTAGACTTAGCAGGTCATCTGATTCTCAATTGGATTTTGATTTGAATTGATTCTCAATTGGGACCCATAGTGACTTTGCTCCACCGTTCTTGGTTGAGTTTAAGTCATGGCTCTAATTGGTACAAAAATTAAGCTACCCACGAATGCTGTTTTTCCTCCGGGGCCTTGCCATAACTAACGAAAACAATGGTGTGTACATTTCTGGATTATATCAGGTGTTTCCTTTTGTTGCTACCTCATTTCTCAAAGTATCCATGCCAATTTCTGGACTCTGTTGAAAGCCCATGGTTCAATCAACCGTACCTCCTTATCTTATTATGACCGCACAAAATGACAGAGCGTGGGAACCGACAGTGCCAAATGCTACGGATATTGCAGCTATGTGTGTTGTGTTTTCAAGTGTTATTTTATATATGTCCGACAAATCGAATTATGGTTTTGATACTATCTAGATGTATTTAATAGTATCTATACGTCTCGTTCATTCATTTGACCAATAAAAATCATAACTGCCTGGAAAGTAATATGAATAAAGTATGTAAATAAATGAATTAAAACGTCAAATAAAGAAGCAAAAGTCTTTTCTGGGTCACTGCGAATGGCATGATTTCCTCGAGTCTCTTCAGTTGCAAGGCAACCATACTGGGACCGATTCGCGTCGTTCCACTACTGCCCTTGGTGGGGGCCCGCTACCATACTATATGACTCCCGGAGTTTACTAAAGCACGTTAGTGGAGGAACCAACCACAGTCTCACAATCTGTCTCCGGCAAGAGCGGCCAGAGAAACCACAGTCTCACAATCTGTCTCCGGCAAGAGCGGCCAGAGAACCAACCCATGCCAAGGGCCGGTAAACGGTTGGACCTTCGGACCGGGTGTCCGTAGTGACAATGATCAACAACTCCGTACCTGGGGCTCGAACGCGGGACCTCCGTATCCCACGACGTTCAACCGCAAAGTAGCCTCAGTTTACGCCACTAGTCTACCCTGCTTAGGTGTCAAAAACTGCTAAAAAATAATGTAGTTGTTACAATTATTTGCTTGGATAAACATGATATTACATTTCTTAATTGATTAATCTGATTTAGTTGGAATCGAAGTTCGACCAACGATCAAGGCAATGCAATCAACAACTCTTGCAAATGTGAACGGGAGTCGTAAAGACAGAAAGTCCAAGAATCGTGATCAATGTAAAGTATAATATTTAAGACACATCTTTGACTATCGGGTAGGAGAAACATTCCCAAATGAAGAAGAATCATTTAGAACATTTGATTTGTTGCCAATATATCAATTGCGTCTCAAATGAATGAAATAAAGGGTATCGCGGGCCACTAAAGCCGATGAGTGAAAACAATTATAATTGACGCATCTAGGTCGCTCAATATAACGGTAAGTGAGTAATAGGTTTTTGCAGATACGTCGAGGAAAATAAGCTATTTCGACGCTTGAAATAATCTGATTACGCTTATTAATAATTACGCGTGGCTATTAAACACAAGTGTTGGGTAGAACAAAAACAAGAAAACTGAACGACCTATTAAGGAACTGTACTTCAGTTTCAAAGTGTTCAAGATATTTCCGCATGTTCAAAAACACAAAATTTATATTTTAGGCTATCCATATTTTGTCAGATATCTCCAATTCATATTACAGGGAAAACATAATCATGTTCCCAAAAAGAATTTACACTCGCTACTCAAAATGAGGCACGGACACAAGTACGAATAGCCTAGTGAAGGCATCTATCTTATAGTGGCTTTTCCATATAGCTTTGAAATCTCGTTAAGGTCTCATATTTTAATGAGATTTTAGGAGATCTGCATTTTTAACCACTAAAGACTAACATTTTCTTCTATTTGAATTCTGTGTGTAATTTTCTATCAAAACAACTTAGTTTTTGCACTGTTATTTACCTTTTCAAATTCTAGAGATTTTCAAGTTTTCTAAAAATGGTCGGGCTAAATCCCCATTGACAAAGTAACATACATTGGTAATATAACAGGCTTTCGTCAATGTAACAAAAGCGAGGGGCTTAGTTTATGAATTACAGCTTCATTTACAAAACAAATTCCAAATCGAAGAAACTTATTAAAACTAGGCTATATTTCCAAGCTTTGGGCCAAATTATAATCTTCAACTTGACTTATTAGTAGGTTTAAATCGAGAAAGCAAAAAATTCGTAACCAGGAAGTCCATCCATTTTGTTACATTGACGTTCCGTCAAAGTAACTAGTTGCGGAACAGTGATTATGGCATTCGGTATAACACCTTTCGATACAATGCGCGTCGGTACAATGCGCGTCGGTATATTGGGTTTCGGTATAATGCGCGTCGATATAATGGGTTTCGGTATAATGCGCGGACCCCTCTGAAGTCAAAGTCCCTACACCGTACAATCCAAATAGAACGTAGTACCGCATGGTAGCATTGATATCAGTACATATTGAGAATGGTACCATTGGACGGTACCGAATAGTCTAGCTACAAGCCTGTGTGACCCCCCTCTACTTGCCTAAACAACCTCTCACACAGAGAAATGTGCAAGGGCTTGTAGCTAGACTAGGTACCGAACAGTAGCATTTACTATTTGAGTCTATGGTATCGTTATCTGATCGTCATCATTTGGCATAAAATTAAAATGCATTCCATAAAGCCTTCTATTACTAGTATATCGAGAAAACGTTTCGACCCTTCTGAAAAATTAATGAATATATATATTTATTTTTAATATACAGGGTGGGCCAAAAAACGCCACTTTTTTTCAAAATGCTAATAACTTTTTTAATTTTTGATACAAAATCATAATTTGCATACCAAATGAAACTTGAGGTTGTTATCTAGCCATGGATCATGAATTATATACTTGAATAAAATATGTCACCAGCGTCTTACTTAAACATATGATGTGCCATGAGAAATAAGCATAATTTGCAAAATGTTTCTAAACTGATACGCCCTGATGACCGCCAAGCTAATAGCCCTAATGCGAACCCAAGTGAGTATAGGGTATCGGGAGGTCTCCAGGAGATGGTATGAAGGCAATTGCTCAACTAAAGCTGGCAATTAAGACATGTTGAAAAAATGTAACTAACATTTCATTAATACTGCTATCAGCAAGGCGACTAAAACTAAAATCTATCATCAAATGGTGTGGCGGACCAATTGAACTCCTCTTTTAGATCAAATATAATCCCAGTTGAAGGACTTGTTACATTATATTATTACTAAGAACCCTTGGCACTATATAACTGCAAAATATGGGGTATGTAGGTTGGAAAATAAAAAAGTTATAGTGTCTTGTGGCGTTTTTTGGCCCACCCTGTATTATGAACTAGATAGTAAAATAAAATAAAACGAGCCAGAAATTGTACATGAAAAAATCGTGAACAATTAAACAGACAACCATTTGGCTTGTACAGGGACCGTATGTACTAATGTAGGCCTATCCTAATTTTTTCAATATCATTTTAGATGCAAAAGTTGATATAGCACTTACTAGAGGATGGATAGGGAACATCCAAGTGTATTTTCTGCTGTCATCAAACACGCCTTTAAATGGGTGGAATATCCGTCTTACATTCTCAAGGCCAGTCGCTATTAGCGAGGTACGTATGATGGTATCTTATCTTCCGATTGCACAAATGACAACATTTTCAAAAGGGATTGATTCATTAGTTGATTCATAATATTTTACTTATTTCTTACTATCTATTAGTAACTAATACTTGTACTTTAGTAACTTCAATATTTGATCGGATATCTCAGTTCTTTATCAAGTAAATAAAATTAGGATTGTATGGAATCATTGTTTTTTTTGACAATATTGTTTTCAACACTCTCGCCATCTAATTATTTTTTAATTCCTTAAATTCAAAGACAATATATTAAACAACAGTAATATGAAGTGCTTTGATATCAACTATTAAATTTATCATAGGAAACGAAATGAAAAACGAGAATTAAACATAAGATGAACATTAGACTTGAAAAGGGGACTTCATTTTCACATTTACTGCCACAAAAGGACTATCACGAATTGACATGTTACCAAAATGGCACCATTCGCTGGGCTAACGTGGTGATGACGACAAAAAAAACAATTTCCCCCCAAAATGAGGCGAAAGTAGGAGTCGAAACTAGTGGTGTAAACCAGTATTGAACCCCAAAATATGAGATACGAGCATTGATTCAGATGAATGGGAGTTTTTAATTGTCCAATTGTTTTGACAAGTGTTACGCAAAATATGGCATATGTTTATGGTTGTGCGGTATTTGTGATAAAGGTGAATATGCCATACTCCCCTGTGGTGTATGGCATATTCAGCAGGTGAGTATGGCATATTCCGCAGTGAATACTGTATAAGTGGTAATTTTGCCTAATCATTTAATTTGCCTATTTCCTAATTTTTTCCAGGTTCGGAAAATTAAATGTCGGAAATATTATCTTTATAATGTTATCCAATGGGAGGTTTCTTGTCATTAGGAAAATTAAAATTAGGAAAATTATGAAATTTGACCATTCGGAAAATAAACCACTCGGATTAAATACCACTTATACAGTATGCGATACATTGATTTCAATGAGTAACCGATACTCACTGCGGAATATGTCATACTCTCCTGCGGAATATGGCATACTCACCTGCGGAATATGCCATATACCGCAGGTGAAAACGCGATACAGGAAAGCCTCGATTTGATTGGTCAAAAGAATCGATTCTAAATGCAAAACTACGCTGGATAACCAATAATGTTAGCGCTTCGAGTACTAATACATGGATCCTGGATTGATTATGTACGTTTGTTACGTGTAATTGTTGAATGATCAAACAATACAGATACCACTGGTGTATGTTATTCAATTGTATTAGTTGATATATGCGATGCACTGACCTGTTGATTCAGTAATCATTATAATAATTTATATACTTTAGCCCGTTCATTGAATCGATGTAATTGACAATTTCGTTCTTCCGAATCGCGTTCTCATTGGTTGTTTTGTATGCCACATACCGCAGGTGAATCTATCATACACCGCAAGTGAATATGCTATATTCATTGCAGAATATGACATGTATTTGTATCGTGTTTACCGCGTAACAACAAGCGGACAAACAGACAGACGGACGGGCAGCGGGCGGGCGGATGGTTTTGGCAGCCATATCAAATTCTGAAATTCCTTCAAAAAGATTGAAATATGTTACCTATTGTATCTTCTATTTGCAGGTAAACTTATACAACGCAGTTCGAGTTTGTTCGAATGATGTAGGAACAGTATATATTATCAAGAACGAAATATACAACGCAGATGGTATCTGTATACAGTTTGCTGATTCTACGACAAATTGTGGATTCTTAGCGACCTACACTACATCTGAAGTTCCTATATTCACGGCTGAGTTGGTGGATGATATGCACTCTTGTTCTGAGGTTCAAACCAAAACTGTTCAAGCCACCTCCAAAAGTGAGCCACTAACCGTTTTCTCAGCGGTCACATTTCAATCCGAGGTTGTTCCATCGACCACCACCCAATCTATCATTGATTCAGTGACTACCACACAATATACCAATGGTCCATCGACAACCATTAACTCTACCGTTGGTCCATCGACCACCACTCAATCAACCGTTGATCCATCGGCCACTACTCAACCTCCTATTGATTCAACGACCACCACTCAATCTACCATCGATTCAACGACCAATACTCAATCAACCGTTGATCCATCGACCACCACTCAATCTACCATTGATCCATCGACCCCCACTCAATCCCCCGTTGATCCATCAAGCACTACTCAATCTATCATTGATTCAACGACAACCACTCAAACTACCATTGATCCACTAACCACTTCTCAATCTACCATTGATCCATTGACCACTACTCAATCTCCCGTTGATCCATCAACCACTACTCAATCTCCTATTGATTCAACGACCACCACTCAATCTATCATTGATCCATTGTCCACCATTCAATCTACCATTGATCCATTGGCCACCACTCAATCTACCATTGATTCAACGACAACTACTCAAAGTACCATTGATCCACTGACCACCACTCAATCTATCATTGATTCATCGACCACTACTCAAACTACCATTGATCCACTGACCACCACTCAATCTATCATTGATCCATCAACCACCACTCAATCTACCATTGATCCATCAACCACCACTCAATCTATCATTGACGCAATGGCCACCACTCAATTTACCATTGATCCATTGGCCACAACTCAATCTATCATTGACGCAATGGCCACCACTCAATTTACCATCTATTCATCGACCACCACTCAATCTACCATTGATCCATCGACCACTACTCAACCAACTGTTAATCCATGGACCACTACTCAATCTCCTATTGATCCATCAACCACCACTCAATCTATCATTGACGCAATGGCCACCACTCAATTTACCAATGATTCAACGAGCAACGCTCAACCTAGCATTGATTCAATGACCAATGCTCAATCTACTGTTGATCCAACGACCAGCACTCAATCACCCATCGATCTAATGACCACAAGCCAATCTATAATTTCAAATTATGCAGAACCATCTATGATTGTTCCAGAAGAATCAAGGAATAACACCTTATTAACACCGGAGACAAGCTCTAATTCAATAGAAAATCATAAGAGACGTCTTACTGCTGATGAAATACTGAATGGCATATTCTTTCATACCATGGCCTCAACCCCGTCAACAACAATTTTTACCAAGGAGCCGGAAGTCATGTTCCTTGCCACAGATGCAGCATCTTTGACAATAGGAGGATTTGCTATAATCATTCTAATCTCTTTTATGGTGTTCATAGTGTTTTTGGACCTTTCTACCCTTTGCATGAGGAGGAATTCAAATGCATGGAAGAGAAAACTGCAATATACAAAGAAAAGTGATATCAAATCGTAAAATGCTGGTAACAAATTGGAACACAATAGAAAATTAAATCAAGGACAAGAACCTGAACAAACAAAAACTTTAAAGTCCATTCCTCCATGACAAATTCATGATGTGATTTATCCTATTTTCAAATAATTATACAGGGTGGTCAAAAAATGGAAACCCTGATATTTCACATTTGTACATCATTCAATTTCTTACCACCCTACCATATTTCATGACCATTTTACAATTTTACAGCACTTTGAATAACATGCCTCAGGTTTGGCCATCATTGCACTGTAGGTGAACCTACACAGTTGTCAAAGACCCGAATGCATTCCTCAGCAGGCATGGCCTGAATGATAGGATAGGACTTTTGAGGTTTTCAATTGTCCTGAAGCCATTCTCATACACTCTATCTCTGCCATATCCTCACAGCTAGGGACATTTTGGACAATGAGTGCAGGTTTCCCGACAGCGCAAAAACGGCAACTAGGGCATGTTCTTTAAAGTGCTGTAACATTGTGACTATCGATCTGATGGTCATGAGTAGAATAGAGTAGGCTGGTAGGAAATTGAATGATGTACAAATGTGTAAAATACCAGAGAGTTATTGCTTAAAATGACAAAGATATGAGGAAAATGGGGCAAGGGTTTCCATTTTTTTCAGAGTGTCAACTTTTAAGATCTGGCCTGCTTTTAGAGGTTCACTGGTGATGAAGTTGTCACATTAACCCCCCTATCACACCAAACTAGTTCTTACCCGTTCTTGCCAGTCCTACGAAAATGTCGTAAAACGGGCTCGATCTGGCTGCGGTCGGGATATGTCTAATTAGCTACGTCGTTCATAAACAGTCTTCAATACGTCCATCACGTTCGCAGTTCGTTCAGGTCGCACCACGTCGGTGTGCAACGTAGTATAAACTGTCCCTTAGTCTAGAAGGTCATCATGACCTGATTACAGAACGGTATGGTCGCCATCGAATTTTGAATCGATTCAAAATTCTAAATCACATACCCCGTCCGGGAAAGTCCATGAAGTTCGTAAACAGACCGTCGAACGTTGTAGCTACGTTCATTCAGTTCGCACAAAGTTTAAAACCGATTCGGCAACGTTTTGATGATCACCAGAAAATGTTGAGCATGATCTAAGTGCTTGAGGACCTACTCGTTCTAGTAGTTTCATGAAGTTTGTAAACAGATCCCAAACGGTTCTTAGTGGGTTCTTAGTACGTCAAATCCGTTCGTGCACAGTTTAAGCCCGTTTTCGAGAACGTAGTGCGAACTAGTTTGGTGTGATAGTAGTGTAACCATTCCATCACTAGGGGGTTATTTATTGAATTGCAAGTTCTGAAGATTCATTAATTCCAAGATATCCCACTTATGCTATAATTTTACTATGAGGACACATTAATGAACTAGCTCAAAATCGTGGGAATTTCGATTCAATTTTAGCTTTCATGTAATTCCCAGATATCCCACTTATGCTGGAAAGAAAATAATGTTATTCTTTTGAAATTCCCTTTGTTACAAAACTCACATTTTTAACACACATTTCTAAAAACCAAATTTTACTATGAGGACAAAAGAAAATGAAGAACACATGATAGCTGAATGAAATGTTCAGAAATTGTAAATATAGGGCTTTACTTTTGTTAGTGTAGTCCAAAGAACTCAGGTCAATATATTGGATTGTTTTCCTATGAATAACCAATATTAAATGGAGTATGCTTATTGCCTAATATTATACAAATAAAGATATAATTTTACAAAGAAAAACATTTATTTGTTTATTTAGAAGCTGGAGTAAAAATTCTTTATTAATTTCATAACAATACTAAAGTAGAAATAATCATACTAGCTCACAAAGCAAATAATAATTTCATGAGAGATTACATTCCAAATTCCTTAAACATTTTAGTAATACTGTGTCTAGTCCTTCATCGGGTCTTTGTGGTTTATTCCCATATTCTCCCAAGGACCTAAATACAAACTTGGCTGTTCTATTTTGGTCAATGCCAAAGAAGAGGAGAGTCCAGCCATTATTGATTCCTTAACAGTGCATTCAAGCTGGATAGGGAATGACATTATACATGATTATGTTCATACAGTCACTATCATAGCAAAATTTTACAAGCACTAGTTTGTTCACAATTGGACATTGGCGACAATGTACGTTCAAAGAAAACTTGCAAAAACTCCATGAAACACAATTACATAGGATAACATTGTGACCAAGAAACTGATACACATTTCAATTGACATCTTGCATAGAATTGATGAATTGCCAAATATTAAGCAATGTACTGAATCCTTTTTGGAGTATACACAATATTTTTCTCTCTTTCATCAAAGCCATTAAGCTTTTTCTGAATTCAATTATCCAAAGACCACATGGTCTGTCACAAATTGTTTGTCCATAAGTTACAGTATTCATTGTTTCAGTTTCAGAGGTACATATCATAAGCTGGCTCTTGATCATGATCACATAAATTGATGTAGACTCCAACACTACAGGCATGTACCCTTGTCAGTAACTAACACAATTCATTGTTTTAGAGGTACATATCATAAGCTGGCTCTTGATCAAGATCACATAAATTGATGTAGACTCCAACACTACAGGCATGTACCCTTGTCAGTAACTAACACAATTCATTGTTTTAGAGGTACATATCATAAGCTGGCTCTTGATCAAGATCACATAAAGTGATGTAAACTCCAACACTACAGGCATGTACCCTTGTCAGTAACTAACACAATTCATTGGTTTAGAGGTACATATCATGAGCTGGCTCTTGATCAAGATCACATAAATTGATGTAGACTCCAACACTACAGGCATGTACCCTTGTCAACTAACACAATTCATTGTTTTAGAGGTACATATCATAAGCTGGCTCTTGATCAAGATCACATTAAGTGATGTAAACTCCAACACTACAGGCATGTACCCTTGTCAGTAACTAACACAATTCATTGGTTTAGAGGTACATATCATGAGCTGGCTCTTGATCAAGATCACATAAATTGATGTAAACTCCTACACTACAGGCATGTACCCTTGTCAACTAAAACAATTCATTGTTTCAGAGGTACATATCATGAGCTGGCTCTTGATCAAGATCACATAAATTGATGTAGACCTCAACACTACAGGCATGTACCCTTGTCAGTAACTAACACAATTCATTGGTTTAGAGGTACATATCATGAGCTGGCTCTTGATCAAGATCACATAAATTGATGTAAACTCCTACACTACAGGCATGTACCCTTGTCAGTAACTAACACAATTCATTGGTTTAGAGGTACATATCATGAGCTGGCTCTTGATCAAGATCACATAAATTGATGTAAACTCCAACACTACAGGCATGTACCCTTGTCAGTAACTAACACAATTCATTGGTTTAGAGGTACATATCATGAGCTGGCTCTTGATCAAGATCACATAAATTGATGTAAACTCCTACACTACAGGCATGTACCCTTGTCAGTAACTAACACAATTCATTGTTTCAGAGGTACATATCATAAGCTGGCTCTTGATCAAGATCACATAAATTGATGTAGACCTCAACACTACAGGCATGTACCCTTGTCAGTAACTAACACAATTCATTGGTTTAGAGGTACATATCATGAGCTGGCTCTTGATCAAGATCACATAAATTGATGTAAACTCCTACACTACAGGCATGTACCCTTGTCAGTAACTAACACAATTCATTGTTTCAGAGGTACATATCATAAGCTGGCTCTTGATCAAGATCACATAAAGTGATGTAAACTCCAACACTACAGGCATGTACCCTTGTCAGTAACTAACACAATTCATTGGTTTAGAGGTACATATCATGAGCTGGCTCTTGATCAAGATCACATAAATTGATGTAGACTCCAACACTACAGGCATGTACCCTTGTCAACTAACACAATTCATTGTTTCAGAGGTACATATCATAAGCTGGCTCTTGATCAAGATCACATAAATTGATGTAGACCTCAACACTACAGGCATGTACCCTTGTCAGTAACTAACACAATTCATTGGTTTAGAGGTACATATCATAAGCTGGCTCTTGATCAAGATCACATTAAGTGATGTAAACTCCAACACTACAGGCATGTACCCTTGTCAGTAACTAACACAATTCATTGTTTCAGAGGTACATATCATAAGCTGGCTCTTGATCAAGATCACATAAATTGATGTAGACCTCAACACTACAGGCATGTACCCTTGTCAGTAACTAACACAATTCATTGTTTCAGAGGTACATATCATGAGCTGGCTCTTGATCAAGATCACATAAATTGATGTAAACCCCAACAGTACAGGCATGTACCCTTGTCAACTAAAACAATTCATTGTTTTAGAGGTACATATAATGAGCTGGCTCTTGATCAAGATCACATAAATTGATGTAAACTCCAACACTACAGGCATGTACCCTTGTCAACTAACACAATTCATTGTTTTAGAGGTACATATCATAAGCTGGCTCTTGATCAAGATCACATTAATTGATGTAAACTCCAACACTACAGGCATGTACCCTTGTCAACTAACACAATTCATTGTTTTAGAGGTACATATCATGAGCTGGCTCTTGATCAAGATCACATAAATTGATGTAAACTCCAACACTACAGGCATGTACCCTTGTCAACAAACACAATTCATTGTTTTAGAGGTACATATCATGAGCTGGCTCTTGATCAAGATCACATTAATTGATGTAAACTCCAACACTACAGGCATGTACCCTTGTCAACTAACACAATTCATTGTTTTAGAGGTACATATCATGAGCTGGCTCTTGATCAAGATCACATAAATTGATGTAAACCCCTACACTACAGGCATGTACCCTTGTCAACTAACACAATTCATTGTTTTAGAGGTACATATCATGAGCTGGCTCTTTATCAAGATCACATAAATTGATGTAGACTCCAACACTACAGGCATGCACCCCAGTTTGTTCCTTGCTAAGATCACATATCAACTCGTGAAGTTCATCTTTATCCCAGCACTCAAATAATGCTCCATCTGAAAACACATACATGTACATATATATGCAAAAGTCACAAAGATAATTCAGAAATTTGAATGAACAGACTGATTTCTGTAATCCGTACAATTTAGAGTGTTAGCAACATGGCAATTTACTCCATTCCTGGATAATTCCTTTCTTAACTACTCTTTTTTGTTTTTTAAAACATGATCACAGTGGTTCATTTTCCTCTCATTACTATTATCTCATAAGTTGATTTCAGTGTGGTAGTTTTCATCTTTATCCTCAATCTAATGTCATGATTTTTGACCAAATTTTCTGTTTGCAGTCTGATTTGATATTTGCTGGAAAAAGAATTATCTTTTATTAAGAGAGTCTAGAGGTCTAACCCTTATGAAGGGTAACTTACAATCATATGGAGAGCCTATTCTGCCCATAAAATCCACCAGTGAGTTATCCACCCCCATTTCTTGCAGTGCTCTAATCCAGGGGATGTCCGTCAAGACTTCATATGGTGATCCATTCTCTGCATTTCCTGCAATATTCATATACATGTAATAACATCAAACTTTGAATCCCTTTGATAAGCCCCCATATTTTCTATCAAATCATACTCTTGCAACAAGAATTTGTTTGATACTCATTACTTCTCCTGTGAAAATTTAAAGAAGTAGAGACATTTTCGTTTTTTGGGCCAATATATCTTTTTAATAAAGATGTAGGGATGGGATTCTACATCTAAATTCCTATGCCATGTATATCTTCACTTTTAAAAGAGCTCCAATATTTATCATACATCTTCTCTTTAATTCTCATGGCGTATAATCATATTTATCCCCCTCCCCTCTTTTATCAAATACATGACATCTCCCTACTACTATGACATATTCTTTTACCTCTCATGGTATACATGTTCCTTCCCCAAGGGTATCTAGGATGATTGAAGTCCAGTTTACGCTCAGGGAAGTCCATATGGTGCAAGATGTGTCTAAATGGCAAAAATATTTACGTAACATGTATGTAGTAAATGTGCTCTTCTTTGACATAATGCAAGTATATTAATAATTGAAGTCCATGGAAAGTGAAACATTAAAGTCACTGGAAGGAGAGGAACATTGACATTCACAAGGCCTAAAAGATGGAAAAGATAATGTTGTTCCATGGTTTGATCAGAGGATGTTTTTGGAGAGATGAATGGATGAAATGGATGAGGATGTTTTTGAACTTTCTTCCTGAGCTGAATTAAGACTTACTGGTTGATATCTGCTGCTATCTCCAGCCAGTTCTCCAGCTTGTGTCTTAGAGGGAAGGTCCCACTTGGACTAGGTGAGTGGTCATGTATGAGGCAGAGATTGTAGTCAACTATCCATGAACTGAACAAGGTACGCTCAATCTCTACTGGATCATACTGAAATAGAAGCATTTGTTTTTGTTTTAACTTTTTTCCAAATGTGAGCCCTTAGTTCTTTCCAATCATATTGTCACAAAAAGAAACACAACACAACACATGTAGAGTAAGAACTGAGTGAAATCTTGATCACCCTTATAATTATAGTTTTACATCAATAAATTTTGCATTTTTATTAAAGATAAGCGAGATACTTTTTGTGATATCTAGATTTTAGGTTTACAGCATTAGTAAACTCCAATATTCCCACAAACCCTCAAAGACTCACATCTCTCATTGGGCGTAAAAAGACAAGTCTATCCTTGTAGCTGGGTGATCTGCTGACTTCCCACAATAGATGGCGATGGTCAAGTTTACGACACTGAGCAAATGAGACACGTTCTAAGCTTGTGTTACTGTTGTGTATGGACACAAACTTTAGTACACGACAACCATTCCCTAAAACATAAATATTAAATCAAATAACAAATTATTTTTGTACAAGGGGTGTGGAATAAATAAGCTCACTGTTTCCCGTTACATTATATTATTTTATGTATCAATCTTTTTTTATTTTTTTCCCAAATTTCCAATTATTCATACAATTTGAGAACAGACTACAACGTCCAGTCCAGTCTTGTACATTCTTTTTTTCATGTCAGTAGCTTAGCTTACCAAGCTTAAGAATCCAGATAATCTGCATCTATTTGGAAAATTACTGTATGACCAGTTAAAACAATTCAAAATTGGGCAAATCAGAAAATTTGGATGCTTTGGTTGAACTTGAGTCATTTCTTAGTAAGAATAGACAAATAAAAACTTGATACTCAGTTGCATTTAATTTGGAGAAAAGTACCTTGTTCTTGTTTCAAGTTACCTGAGAGAGACCTGAGTTCTTTGCAGTCATTCATTATGAGGTCTGTTATGCCAACATCTCTGAGTGTTAGATTCTGTAGTGTCTTGGACTCTAATGTCATCACCTTCAATAATGTTGGTAGCAAATACATGAAGACATCAAAAAATGAAATGTAACATTTTAATCTATGCTAAATACCTCTAAGGCAATCTTTAGACATCATCTGCCAAGAAATGTTATCTAAAATCACTGAGGTACAAGTTTGTAACAAATAATAACAGTACTAATTGGTTTCATACACCTCATGTTTTGAATATCATTTGGATTTCAAATGTACACATACAGCACTTGTATTTATCAAGCTAATACAGGGTGGGCCAAAAAATTTTGCAACTTTTTTAAAAGGCTAGAAAAGTATCATAACATGAAGGTATTAATATAAAAATTGATTTACAGAAATTTTAGGATAGGCATATTTTACCATTCAAATATCTAAGCTTACACTGACTTCTAATTTTTTTGACAGTTCTTTGAATATCAATGGTAAATTGTTCATGTGTCCGAGATTTACTGTTTATCCAAGAAAATGTGACTTTTCGTGATATCATGTATCACAATAACACATTCATTATGTTCACTAAATCTGCTACAATCTTTGATATTTGTTTAACCAATGGCTAGTACAGTTTTATATTAGTATCTACTCACAATGGTATTATGTTATACTGTATCTATTAATTGTATATTTAAAAATGTTCCATGCATCCGCCTTTCATCTTCACTATCACACAGACACGGGGGTGGAACTGCAATGGGGCCATTCAGCGGATTCTTGCGGTAGTTTCCATTTCTCTTGCAGAACTTCTTTTAGTTGATCAGTAGTTTGTGTGTGGATTACCATTAATTGCAATAAACTGCTCCATGTGTGATAGTCACAGGGGTTGGCATCTGGTGTATTGGGCAGCAATTCATCAGGACCAATAAATCTAGAGGTATATCTTCGTCCAGATATTCCAAAGCAACCCTTGCCCGATGGCTGGGAGCGATAGTGAAGGTGAAAGGTGGATGTAAGAACATCTGATTAATAATAGTTTTATAGATACAGTATTACATAATACCATTGTGAGTAGATACTAATATAAAACTGTCCTAGATATTGAATAAACAGTTATCCAAGATTGTAGCAGATTCAGTGAACATAATGAATGTGTTATTGTTGATCACATATAAAATCATAATAAGTCACATTTTCTTGGAAAAACAGTAAATCTTGGACACAAGAACAATTTACCATTGATATTCAAAGAACTGTCAAAAAATTAGAAGTCAGTATAAGCTCAGATATTTGAATGGTAAAATATGCCTATCCTAAACTTTCTGTAAATCAATTTTTATGTCAATACCTTCATGTTATGATACTTTTCTAGCCTTTTAAAAAAGTTGCAAAATTTTTTGGCCCACCCTGTATGTACAACTTTGTGTTTTTCTAATATTGCGCAAATGCTATTTTTACTGATCAGGACAAAACATAAACATGATTAACACTAACTTTAAGCTGAGCACAGCAGGCCCGTAGCCAGGATTTGCCAAGGAAGGGGGGGGGTCACATTTTAAAAATTCGAGGGGGGTTCCCCAAAAGGGGTCAAAATCACTTGAAAAGTCCTCAGAATGGTGAAAAACTGCATGATTTTGAAAGAATTTTTGCCCCCTGGCTACGGGCCTGTACAGTAATAAGATATCTTTACCTGCTCATGATCTTCTTCAATCACTGGATCACTTGTACTTGTCGACTGATCACATGTTGTATGAGAAGCTCCACCTTGTGGTACGTCATGGACACTACCATCTAGGGTGTCATCAATATCTTCACCCATACCTCTGGCTAGCATCCCACCAAGAGACTGGTGGTTATTGGAGTTTTTCTTGGATGGTTTGGACTTACTAAGGCCTGAATCTTCTTTTGATTGGTTACTTTTGTCAGATGTTGAGCCAATGCGTTCCTCAATTGGGTCTTTACAGTCGTTACACCCATTGTCAGGTTTGTCATCAGATGCCTTTGGTTTTTCTGTATCCTCTTCTGGTTGTGTTGTTTTTAGATCAGGATTACAGTTTTTGCACCGTGGACAGAATGGGGGATCTGTGTTACAACCCTTAGATTCTTTCCTTACTGTTTTGGCACTTTTTTGATCATCTTTTACCACTTTGGTTTCCTCTCGGATTTCCTCACTGACGGCTTGGCAAGATTGTGAAACCTGATTCGATGACATGTTACAAGATGTTTCGCTTATTTTACTACGCTTTTTAACAAGGCCCTTCTTTTTTCCATATACGCTTTTACCATTTGTTTTCCCACTTGATCCCCTAACTAATGTTTCACCTTTAGGAACCTTGCCTCCAACGGGTATCTGTTCCTTGATTTCAACTTGTTTCCCTGTGCTATCAGTTACCATAGTTTTATGTTCAATAGAGCCAGACGGGGCTTCCTTTTTCTGTTTAATGGTATTGTCAACATCACTAACACTAGCAGATGGCATAGGTTTACAATCAAAGTCTGCTTTTATGACGATGATTGGCTCATCACCTGTCATGTCATCAATGTTAAATGCACTAACAAGTTCATCATCAGAATTCTCATCGACTTTCCCATATTCTTGATCAATGAGATCATTTGGCGGCTCTCTATATTTTTCATTGTTAGAATTTGGGGATGCTTTTTCATGAGTAGATAAACTCTCATTTGTAGTTGGTACAATTTCATTTGTGGATTCCATATCTATTGTGGGTGACGTTTCTATTTCTACTGACTCTATGGTGATATAAGGCTCATTAGGCTCAATCATTTGTGGCTCAGGTCTTTTGAGATTATCAATTTGGATAATTTTCTCAGTTGGTCCAGGACTGATATACACATCCTCTGTCTTATCAGGTATTGCATTAATAGTATCAGTACCTATATGTTCATTCTCATCATCAATATCTACAGAAGTTTCCACTGTTATACAGTCATCATCTGAAGCAAGTTGCAATGTAATATACTCTTCATTCTTTGTGTTATCATCCGTATGTTCCATCTTCATATGTCCTTCAACTACAGGAAGTTCAGTTTCTAAGGTAATACATGTATCATCATTAGGTTTAATACTTGAAGTTTCTGGTTTGACAATATGTTCATTTTCAAAGTCTCCATCAATTTGATTTAAAGTTTTATTTTCTAGATTTGAGTTTTTTCTTGATGCATATTCATTTGGATTGATGATTTGGGACTTCTGAAGGTCATCTTGTTTTGAGTCAATAGTTTCAGCCTGAGTTGGTTCATGCTCCATGACTTCCTCTACCTTATGTTTACTACCATCAGGCATATCTATAATGACTTCATCTGACACATTGTGTTGTACTTTTTTAGGGTTTTTATCTTTTACAATGGGTTCTTTCGAAAGGTCATTATTATAAGTGAGCTGAATTGGTTCCATGCCTTTCTCAGGTTGATCTTTTGCTTGATTATTTTCTTCAATTTGAACTAATTCATTATTTTGGTTTTTGTGGTTTTGTTCCTTATCTTCTGCAACCTGATTCGGGTTTTCACTAGATCTTACATGATGACTAGAAAGTTCTAGATTCTCGTCCAAGCTTTTATTGTCAACATCCCCACGTTGTGCACTCTCTTCTCTCACAATGATCCGCTCATCTTCATACATGTTATCCGCTATAAGTTCATCAGCAATAAGATCATCAACTAGTTGTTCTTCAGCGATCATTTCATCAGGCACCTCATCATAATCCAGATATCCCTCTTCTCCTACATGCTCATCATCACTATGGCCACCATTGTCACCATCATCATCATCATTGTTGTTGTTGTCAGGGACAGTAGGTGCAGTTGTGTTGTTGGCAACAAGGGCTGCAGACACCCCCAGTCCAGTTCCTGCACTAAGTCCAACTCTGTAAGTATTAGAGTATTATTAATCCAATGTATTTATCTTTATTTGGAGATGAATTCATCAACAGATAACTTTTTAAGTATTATGATTTCATAACTACAGACGTCCTTATCTGAAAATATCATAGCAAAACTCCTCACGTGGTAAGTAGTATTTCAAGATTCAAATCATCAAAACTAATTGAAACTTTGATTTTATATGAGGCAGTTTATTCACTTTTTATATGTTAATATTTTTTCCTCCAATAATTACAGCAAAGCAGGTTTATATCCAAGTCTCCCCATCACTAAAGCAAGTGGGCCAGCGCCCACCTGAGATTTTGATAACAGACTTGCACTAATCCATTTGCACCCACTTGAGAAAAATTATGAAAAATGGGCATATTTTGACCAGTTTTGGTCTGAATTGTGAAAATGAGAATTTTGCACCGACTTGAACAAAAATCCTGTGGAGACCACTGAGTAAGATACATATCATCATAGAGTAACAGCTATTAGTCTTTCTACCTTATGAGGTGCTTACAGATTTTAATCTCACATATGGTAACACATAAAACCTTTAAAAACATCTTTATTTTTTGGTACCATTGAAATATTAATATAATTGCCTGAAAGAAAATCACTTGTCACTTGCATGTCAAGATTCAAATATAAAATTTTTTACCATCTTTAGATATTCACCAATGTGAAGATTACAACATGAAAAAGAGATTCAAATTCCATCCCCAAATGTTGTCGGGGGCTTTGGAAAAATGAAATATAATGAGCAGAATAGTACCTGGCACAGCCTTTAGGTGGCTCCCTGAACATTTGTTCCAGAATAACATTCGCTATAGATGGCAGCAGTGTGATCATCCGGCAGAAGTCTGGCAGCTGAATGGCATGGCATCTGTGCAGATGTAACTCAGTCAAGTTTGTCAAACCTGAATTACCTAAAATACATATACAAGGACTGTGTATGAATCAGCTCGACTTTTAACAAGAATTACACATATTATATTTTTGTTCATTTATGGGGAGTATTTACATATTGTTTTTTCCAGTTAGAACTAAATGTATAAGCAAAATTGAATTAATGAATGACTGACAACAATATTGACTTTAAGTAAAAAAAATTGGAAATTGTTGGTGAAAGGCTGGATTAACATACTTTTCTTTTCAAAGATATTGGAGGTTTTGTTGTGTTATATTTGTTTACCACCCCTGAAGGTGAGAAATACCTCTTGTGTCTATATTCTATATTCAAACAGTAAAATTGTGATGATGGAAGACAAATAAAGAAACTCTTTCTTTTCTTGTAGATTTGTATGTGTATGTGCATACTCATACCTAGAGGTACATGTACAAGTCCATATCACAGCCAGTTGTGGACTACTCAGTCAAACACCCTGAATTTCATATCACATCAACTGAAGTAATCTTGCTTAAATCCAGATAATATTTACCTTGGTTGAACCAGCTGGTTGGTGTGTGAAGATGTGGGCAATTGTAGATCTTAAGGTGCTTCATACTAGGTAAGGCCTGCCCTGCTGCTCGTACACCAATGTCTGTCACCATGGCAGGACTTTCTGCTACATCAGCCAATCCAAGCTTAACCAACTCTTCATTGGTCCATTTACCTATAAATGTCAAGGAAACATTTTTTAAGTATGACCTAGCATATCTTTTTATTCCACACTTTGAAATACTGTAGAAAGATGTGCAATAGGATTTGGCTCACCTTATGCAAAACATTAAATTATTTTTGAGTCCATAATCTGGATTTAAGTGAAAAATATCATGTGTGTACATTTTCAAGGATGGTATCAATTTTCCATTTTCAATTCCTAAATACTGTATTGACTTTGTCTTTTAGTTTATGCGGGAAATTATTTTATACAGGTATCACCGTTTTTGAATGTGAGTTGCAAAATATTTTACCATGTTGTGGAAAATCATCCACGTATCCAATGGTGAGAGTGGTGAATTGTGGGAAGATGGCTTCTGCAAGGATAAGTGCGGAGAACATACTGTCACGACTGATAGATGGTTGGATATGGACTTCCTCTAGCCTATAACACATTAGGAAAACATACCAAAAAAGTTTTATACATACAGTCAAATTCATGGGATATATTTGGTACCTAAAAGTAGTGCTTCACTGCAAAATACTGAAAAAGTATCATTTTAGTTTTTGACCAAACAAGTTATTATATAACTGTATTTCAACATTAGATAGTAATAGTTAAGTTTAAACAATAGTAGCATATTCTAGGTATACCTTTTTAAAGGACAAATGTTTTTTGTAATTGGGCTTGAGCAAGCTATTGGTAGCACTTTCATATTGGCACCCAGAAAAAATGCAAGGCTTAAGATACAGATGGAAAATCAGTCTTATTAATTAGGTATATCCAGTATATGTCTGAGGAAGATATCATTTTTTTGAATGATGAATGATATTTTTTTTATAAATTTTCATGTATCAAAATATGCCTTATTCTCTATGTAACAAATTCCCAAGAAAAAATCCACATTTACATATATACTTCAAGCATGTACTTGAATCGAGTAAGTTAAAGTAATTTGGATGCATTGGAAAGATTAAGGAATTTGCTTTAACATGATATGCAACATGTGTGTCCATAATAGTATATAGAGTTTTTATAACCGCTTGTAGCACACAACCGTTGGTGTAACATTTCGTTGAAAATCTTATGTTAAAAAAGACAGAATTTTTCAACTTTGCTTACTGTTTTTTTAAGATGATATCAAAAGTTCTGAATGTTAAAATTCTGTCATTAAAAAAATTATAGAAAAGGCTGTAGTGGTTCCTGAGATATTGGCTCTCAAAATAACTAACTGATTTTCCGACACGCAAATGTCTTTTCCGAAGAGCATGTGTATTTTAAGACTGAAGTGAAGTAATATGATACACTAAAAACTATTTTAAAACAAAATGCATTTAGTTTCTTGAATATTCAAAACAAATAAGTAGCTTTGAACTGTCATATATAACTGTAAAATCAATTTCAAAATTCCGACACAAGAAAAAAGTCCTTTCCGAAGAGCTCTTCGGAAAAGACAAACTCTGTCAAAACAGTGCATTTACCAACAATTTTAAAGAGAAACACACTGGAATATATTTTCTGATGAACTTTTATACATAAAATATCTTTACTGAAGTAACTAAGGCTTAAACAGGAACTACAAAAGTAAATGTGTCCTTTCCGAAGAGCAATCCAATTTCTGATTAGGAATGCTGTATTGGATGTCTATAACTAACTTTTCTACTGATGTATAAAGGCATTAGCACAATGTTTACAAATATTACATTGAATCTTGATTTGGACAGTACTGTAAAACCCTTTAAAACACTCAAGTGTAAAATTGCAAATGAAGAATGCCGCAAATATAAAACTGTATCTTCATCACTATTTTTCCTGTGATAATAGGTTCAATTCACTGACAATTACCACCAACAATTGAGTCTTTTCTGTGCATAATGCTGTTTCATAGGCCTACGTGTCCCCAGCCCAGCAGCTAAAAAACTAAGTACATTTATGATAGCCTTAAAGTGATTACTTAAATGATGTTTTGCCCTATTATCGCCCATATATTTACCTATGAAAAATCGCAGATCATGATGTAATCAGTGGTAAATCTCGAAAACATGAATACATGAATAGAAACAAATGTACAATCTCTGAAAATTGCTCCCACAAATTCAATCTGTTTAAAAGTATTTAGCAATACACTAAAAAATGTCCTTTCCGAAGAGCTTTGGACAAGTGTAGTTTCGTCATATGGTACACATATATACTATCATGATTGTCTCATATATAAAAAAACATTATTAAGGACTTTGTAATGATTCAGACAGAAGGAAAAATGAATAGGATATTCAACATTATTAAGTACATGTATTATCGTAATTGGAAAAATGATTGAGCTTTTTTGCCAAAATCACAGGCCAAGTGACGAGACTGGTCTTCCTAATTCATTTCTATGATAATGATTCAGATAAAAACTATTAGTTATTTAGAACCATATATGTGCATGCTTTAAAACAAAAAATGTGGAACATATATTGAAACTTATAAATACCCTTTATAATTGCAATTATGTGTGTGTCCTTTCCGAAGAGCCAAAGTTGGAGCTTATAATATCATCCTGATTTTTTCCAATATCGAACCAAAAAGTTATCTCTGGGTCAATAAAAAATGAAAGGTAAGACATTAAGTGAAATTATGATTCAGGAAAATGTTTTCTTCTAGCAAGTTTGAAAATCCACCTCTTTGGGACTAAAAGTGCTACCAATAGCTTGCTCAAGCCCAATTTGTGAATGTATGTTGAACAAATAAATTCACATAAAAATACTTGAACTATACTGAATTGCACCATGATTTGAATTATATATTGGTTATATAAGCCATGCTCTTTGGTAGAGCTTTTAGACTTACACTGCTGCACATGTTAGCATCATATATCCAAGGTCAACCTCCAGTGCATGCTTACAAGATGCAAGCACGATCTTACGGAGTGATCTATAGCCCCGTGATCGCCTACTATCTTCTACAAGATGTTGAATAAGACCACCTGAAATAGAGACTTATACATCATATGTGTATGACATTAAAGATCATTTTTAAAGGTTTTGTATTCTTATCTAATTTAAAGGGGTTAACTTGTTTCCAATTTTTTTTAAATGTTGCCTTAAAGGATTCTTGGCCAACTAGAAAAAGTCAACTTCACAGAGAACCAAATTCTAATGAACAAATTCTTCATGAATCTGGAATATATCACATTACAATAGCTACAATTTATTGTTCAGCCTGCAGTGCCCCAAGTCGGTATTTTTTTACTTATCTGATCTTGAATTATAACTGCCTTGTACAATCTAATATGCATCATCACTGATATTATGATACAGTTATTCAGTAGTTTCGAAATTCCAATAATTCCTACCCAGTCAGGGGTATCGCAAAACCGTATTGATAGGCAAGATCAAGTGGATACGACCTGTGACTTCAGGTTGATTAACCAATCAAAACATTATCAGGTTTACCTGCATAAACAAAGCAAACTACCCTTCTACGACTTGAAACTTTCAATGATCTGATCGAGTATTTCTTCAGAGTTACAATACATTCTATATACATTGGACAGTGAGCATGCATTAATATAAATCAAAGCATGTGATTTTAAAACTGAATTCGCGATGAAAATGCTCGAAGACCAAGTCCATATAGTTGTCGATCTGATTCAGTAATTGATCTGAATCTCAGCTATCATGTTTAATCATTTCAGCGATCTTTTCAACGTTTCTTGACAATGTTGAAATCTTCTCACCTCCGAGTATTCGATTGATGCTCCCGCATTCATTAAACTCTGATATTTATCTGGTCAAATATTTGTATTTTCATAATGAATTGTGCGAGATTTGTTCATGAAAAGCATATTTGTTTTCAAATGCTAACACAGCAGGGCTGTCGTTGATTGGTCAAATTAAACAACATAAACATTGGGTCGCTTAAGCACACATCTTTCACATTGGGACAAGGCGTTCATTATAGAAATCAAGATAAGTAAAAGAGACTGACTTGGGCAAGGCTATCTATTGTTAAAAACACTTGATTTGCACATAAAAAGGCATGCATTGAACCACTTTGCAAGACTATTGCTTAACAGCTAAAAGTTTCTTACCTAGGAAAGGAACACGGCCAAGTTCTAATCTGTGCAGGTTCCTAGCTGCAGCTAGTGCTGTCATTAATGTCAGATATTTCAAGGCATTGTTTGGTCCAGCACAATTTTTCATTACAAACGTCTCTAAGTTTGGGAACACAACATCTTTGAAAGGATTCGGGTCAGTAAGTTTCACCCAGTTTAATAGAAGGTGTTTTGTGTGTTCTAGTCTGGGAACTGTTGATATGACAACACCTGTGAGGTCTAATGTGGTGACTCGAGCAGCAGGTTTTAATTCTAGTTTGTTGGTTTCTGGGATCGGGAAACCTCCATTGCGGTTTCTAAATGCTTTCAATACCTGGACATGAGGCAGTAAATTCAGAATTGCACTTAAAAGGAAGATATCAGAAATTTCAATCCCCTTTAGATTCTCAAGACAACACAAACCTTTGATGGCTCCTGGGATACTGAGGCATTTCTTGGGATATTGTTTTCGTTTGACAAGCACCGGTACATGAAATCCATAAATGTATTCCAAGTCTTTACAACGTTGCATGAAACTCAAAAAAGTTGCGTCATTAAACCCCCTTGGGCCTGTTCCATAAAGGTCACCTGGAGTGAAGTCGATCCATTTTCTAACCCTAAGATGGAGGTTAACTGCCTGATGCAGTTGACTTGATAGACAATCTAGTTTCATTACATCATATATGGATAAATAGTTCAATATACGGCAGAGCATTTCAAGAGATAACATTTTCAGAAAGTCTTCTTTGTCATTAAGATGCACATGTCTTTTGTCCAGTTGCTTATTTTGAGCTGGTTTGATTTTGGCTACCTTTTTAGATTCCTCAGACAAGATAGTTGCAGCTGCACCAGAAATCTTTCTCGTTGGTTTGACCCTATTCTGTACCTGATAGTCGGTCTTATTTAGGGCTACAAAACCAACACTGTTTGCACGTTTCCTTGTGCTAGGTCCAGCGATTTCTCTAGGTTCAGTTTTCACATCTCCAAGAGATAATTTACGCTTTCTTAAATTCATTTTGTGACTCACAACTATATCAGCCTTACATTTGGTTCTAGAAGTTTTAACTTCAGAGTTTCTCATATTTTCCAGTTCATTTCGTGGTCCACAAATGTCATGACTTGAACTTTTTTTCCTGCTTCGTAGGCTACGTCTGATTGGCTGACCTTTAGCGCCACTGCTACTGTCAGATTCAGGTTGTTCACTTTCCATGATAACCTTAACTTACACTATTTACTATTGAGATAAATTTACATGTGTATGCACCGCACTATTATGCACTTTGAAGCTTTCGTGAATTTGCGGTTAACAGGACCAAATGTTTAAATGACACATGCTCACTACAGCTTGCTATTTCATTGACGTTTCATTTGTTCAATTTATATAAGTCATAAGTTTCACATTGATAATTACACTACTCATATTTATTATTCCTCCTTCTGGGCTGGTTCAGATTCTTTTTCTTCTGGAAAGAAATCATAATTCAGTTTAGTTATGTTTTGTTATAATTAGCACAATTAGTCTACTAGTCTATGCTGTATCTAAGCGTCGTCATCAGTTAAAAACAACGAGAGTTTGTAAATAGTGTTTTTGTCCAATTGAGTTAGATTCTAGGCCTGTCTTGATCGTTGTGTGCATCTAAACAGTAGCTAGGCGTCGTCGTCAGTCAAAAAAACAAAACAATTAGTGTTTGTAAACAGTCATTTTTTCCAAATTATAATCATATAATATGTACATACATGTACATGGATCTCCTTCTTATAAAAAATAAATATATACATACATACATACAAGGGAAAGCTAGCAAATAAAAACACAACCTCTATCAGAGAGAACATTCTGTGCCATACTTTTTTTCTAAAAGGTCATACATGTTGCTCATTCCAGTAAAATTCATATATTTTAACAGTTTCATATATATCTACAAGGGATCCATTTCTAAACCACAGGACAGTACTACATCATAACAGACTGACTTCTAGTCAGTCTGTTGGATACATACTAGTGAACCCCTAAGTGAATTTTTCAAAAAGTGAACCCCCCCCTGGTTAAATCCTGGCTATGGGCCTGTATATAAATTTGGGATAACTTCGACACTTACTTTTAATTCAGAATTTCCATTTTTCGCCATTGTTTGATTCTGGAAAAAAAACCTCACAGAGTCCCACTAGATCAGAAATTTGAGCAAATAAACAACATGGTGTCAAAGTTAACACAGATGTCAAAGTTATACCCCTTCCTATTTGCTACCTAAAGTAAAGCAACAGTGACATGACAGCATCGCTGCCAAGATTTAGGGACAGCAATGGTTGAATGACACTCCTCTGATTGCGAGACTCTTACTGCAATCAAGCCAATCCAAAATCATGTAATTGGAATACATCAGATCAAACTCACCTTGGTCGACCTTTAGGCTTAGTGGTTGATCGAATGGTCCAAAAACTGAGAGAATTCCGTATCTGCGACTCGAACAATACATGTCATAAAACCATCTACTCCAAAAAGCACCTAAGAAGCAGGATATCGTGACAATCTGAAACCTTCTACTTTCTCTTGCTGTCTTTGGATTGAAAAATCCCATTATAAATCATTAGTAAAGTAATTATTTATGGAATATTTCGGAAGATCTCGATTTTTAATTTTACCGGAAGTGATGTCAGTTGCATCAAATTATCGAACGAGGAATTATTTTTGAAATTACGAACGCAATGATTATACATTTACACATTCAGCGAGGCAAGATGCAGATTGTGTCTGATTCCAGCCCATCCGAACACAGTATTTCATATATCTGCACTGCGTTATATAGCTACCATCCGCCCAAAGTCATTCAGTTGAATGGTTTTCAAGGCCGGTGACAACTTGCCTCTCCAGATTGAAATTGACTGCTTACCAATTTGACTGATTGCAAAAAGTTATTTTTTCTTAATTTCTTAAACTAACTCGACGTGTAGACTATAATTGATTTTTAATTCAGTTTATTAAGTTTAAGCAATTGTTTTGACATCATAGGCAATCATCCTAAATTCATAGGCTATAACCTGTTTAGGCTGTCAATCATTTTTCTCGGGTGACAATGGCCCACTCTGATAGACTGTGTATAAGGCCTATATATTATTAACAACTTTTGTCCATTTGAATCTCAGAAACGTTAAACTTAGATAAATTTTTTTTAGAAAACTGAAGTTTTTTTTCAATAATAAACACCAATAGGCCTATTTGAATAACGTATACGGGAATCGAATGCCATGCTCGATCTAGTCAGCAGGTACATGTATGCTATGATATATGTGATACAACCACTTTACAAAAGTTGTAGTGCTGATTTTTTTTTGGCCTGATAGCCTTTTTACGTTGACATTGTCCGTATCACTATGTCAGTAGTTAGGCTATATGGCCGAATAAAATAGGCACCATTGTTTGATTAAAAAGCCATAGCAATCTTTTAAGATTTATGATTCTGTCACAAGTTAATTCATAATATGAGGCATCGATCTTTTGTGAATTATCATAACATTTGATGTGTGATAGTCAATATTTCACATTGATAATATTGTATGTGTGTTTTACTAAATCGCAATTTATTTGTTTTGATAGTGCACTCATAACTACACTGGTTTGAAAGATTATTCAACACAAGAGGACTTATTTCCAATATTCGTTCGTTACAAATAAGTTGATTGTACTGTAGTACACTTAATGCTAGTATTTACTTGAATGATATACTTTGTCATCGTTCACTGCAATTAATATATTTCATCAAATAAAGCAACCCTTTCATATCAGTTATTCAATACTTTAATAACTTCGTTCGATGCACTGAACTGATCTGAAATATAACAAAGAATATACACTCCCCTCCAAAAGTTTGGCAACCTTAGCTCCCTCATTAAACTACGTGTTAAAGCCTCTTTATGTTAAAATTTCTATTTATTGTTTATAAACATCAAGACAACAGGTCGAAAATTGATGATAAAGCTGAATTTTTGAAAATCGTCATTCACTGCATGTAAACCAATGGGAAATGGCGGTTTCGGGGCAAATCTGATTTCAGGATATCTATCCAGTAAAAGATTCACCAAAAAATATTTTCATATAGAGAGTTGAATTGTCTATCTTTTTTTTGTACGCTTTTTAAGTGTTCAGTTTACTCTATGTATACTAACGTTACAGAGCTTCAAAGTCATTTTTGAAAATCATTTTTCGCCTCCTGTGTTATTTAAATGGGATGATTTTTTTGGTAAACAATTTTGACTTTGAAGATCTATAACTTTTTTAAACCTGAAGAAACGTATCAATTTTCTATCAAATAAAGTAGGATGGATGAATATTCTGTCATATGACTTGCGGCAAACGTACCATTTCCCATTGGTTTACATGGGGATATCGATTTTCAAAAATTCATCAGATTTATCATCAATTTTCGACCTACTGTAATTGAGGAAAAGAATTGGGAAAATTTGGAGGCATTGGAATGAAGTCAAGCTACATTCCCATCAATAGTATTTATAAGTATTTTGTTAACAGTTTATGTAAATAAAAATTCAAACGTAAAAAGGCTTTAACACGTGTAGATCAATGAGGGAGCTAGGGTTGCCTTTTAGGAGGGGAGTGTAACTATGTCGGAACAACGCAGTCATTCATGAATAATAATAAATTATTAATACATTGGTACTTAGGGTTATCCCCTCTGACTAAGTTTGGAAACTGGACGTCCCTATTGGATGACGCTTAAAGCCACTCTATATTGTATATGTTGAATCTTAATTCCTCAAAAACGACTAGCCGGATCACTAAATGGCAAAGAAGGATTCTCTAATCATCATCAGGCTTAACACGTGGTCGAAAAGGAAAATCCGATTGCCAATCTTTTTGAAGGGAGTGTATGATTCACAATCAGAATCTGATTTATTCTTTGCCAAGCGAAATATTTTACAAAGTTGACCAACTTCAACATGTACAAAATAGGTATAATGGTTGTGATAGACGTTACGTTAATTGCTCTGCGGGTCTAGAATTGCAATTTACTTGGATGGATATATAGGGAGTTAGGGAGATTTTTATTCAGCAAATGTGTTCAGGAACACTTTGACATAATTTCAACTTTCTTTGTAATCGATCAATCAATACAAAATATCATTTGACATTCATTTTTGAAGAAAGTCTACAACTACAGTAATAAATATACAAAAATATATTCTAAAAAATATCCAAGGAAAGTGGGAGTGGCATATGATAATTTTTTTAAAATAACCTGACCTCAGTTCGAGCATTTCAATTCTTACCATGGCCACTGTGCAAACATTCCCACTTGTTTGTGATGAAGCTGTACGAATGGCAAGAAAATAAGAATCACGAGAGGTGAACTACAGAGTGTTACGAGTGATTTTTCACAAAGCTGTATTAGTTTCACGAGCCAGGATCATGACATTCGAGTCCAAAAATTCGACGTCTTCCAACCTTAATATTTCGACTTCATCGATTAGATGGTTGCTTCAGATATATCGACAACTTCTTCAGCAATCGGTTCAATAATTCGTTTATTTTTTCTACATCTCTTTTTGGCTTTACGTTTGGTTTTCCTTCTCGCATGGAAGTCCACGTATCTGCAGGCAGTTGCAAGATCCAGGAATATAACAAATCCAACTATACCCGCGAGAATGAGGATAGCAGAACCTCCAAGTGCTACAGATATTGGATCTGTGGCGAAGTTCATAGCTTCAGGGTTGTCCTTCCTTCTGTAAACAGTCAACGGCTCCCATTCTGGTATGCCAGAGCCCCTCTTATCTGCCGTTTGCGAGCGATTTTCACTTTGGAAGGATAAAGACAAAGGGGGCGCGGCTATCGCGATGAACGGCTCCCTGTTAAAGCTTGTTGTCTTCGGCATGTTTTGTGTAGTGGTTGATGGATCATTTGTAGTTTGTGTGGTGATTGTTTGATCAGTAATAGTTTGTATGGTGGTTGTTTGATCAGTAATCGTTTGTGTGGTGGTTGATGGATCATTTGCAGTTTGAGTGATGGTTGGTTGATCAGAAATAGTCTGCGTGCTGGTTGGTGAACCATCAGTAGTTAATTTAATGATGGTTGGTCGATCAGTAATAGAATGGCTGTCAGTGGATTGACCAGTAGTAGATTGAGTAGTTGAGGCTAAATTGTGTATTGTTGTATAGGTACACGTCGACAAGTCTAAATCACCGACCAGTCCAACTTCAATACTCATATATCCATTGTATGTGACTTGAAATCCACAGTCCGACTGTTCAATAGTCCGACCGCTTTGCGAGCAGGTGCCCCCATATTTTTGTTTAAGGATAAGCACGATTTTATCAGACCTCAAACATACTTGATCTGCATTCCACAGCTTCTCCGGTTCATATGAAAATATAAAAATAGAAAGATTATTTAGTTTTGAGAATAGGAAAGATATCCACTGCCTTGAAGGATTCTGATATATAACAGAATTGAAACTCCTGCGTATCCAAACAAAAGATTATAAGTTTTACATGACGAAGTTGAAAAACATTCAATAGAATGCACCCGACACATTGCTCAAAAGCGAAAGAGATACAAAAGGAGAACGTAAGATATGGCAAGCATTTTTCGAAGGGCTATATCTTTAGTTCGAAGAATAATTTAACCACAAAAACAAATGGTTTTGTTAGATCCATGTCTTATCTTCAATAAATGACATTAGGATGATAATCAAGTTGATTAGATTATCTCTTAAACTGTCCCTAATCCACCCATCCTCACCAATTATCCCTAATTCTGACGCAATTTTCACCAAAAATGCAGCATTTTATGTCAGCTTTTATGGCAAAATTACAATTTATTGTAAGGAATGATTTACCTCTAAAAAGGAAAACTTAATTGCTTTGGGATTAGGATAATCCGAAAACAATAACTTTTTTTCGACCTAAAAGTAGCAATTTTTCAATAAGTTTAATGCACGAAAACATTGAGCTATGTCACACTCTAATTTCCAGACTCGAGTCCAATCAAAAATGAATTATCTACATGGAAGTTTGTGAATTCCTTTATTTCTGAAACTGTTTTCAATACTTAATATTTTCAGGTAACTGCTTTACAAAATCATTGTGCATTGTGAATCTTCATTACCTATCTGATACATATTTTCCTCAAAAAACTTTATTTTCATAGAACACATGATGAATCTTTTATTCCACATTCTCAATTTTGCATCAATTATGTTTCAAGGATTTTTTCCCTGGCTCACTATGAAGGATTCCATTGACATTAAAATATGTCATGGGAAAGTAGGTCATAAGAAAGAGGAACACTGAGTTCCACCCATTCTAATGATGCAGGTTTTGTGCTAATTTTGAATATCTTTATGGTACTTTTACAGGTAATGGGCTAATGGCTTTAGCAAATTGCAGAAATGTTAAAGTTAGTTTTTTGGTCAAAGTAGGTTGTGAAATCACTAAAGATAAGTCATGAATCTTATATCATAAATGTGTTTTAAATCAACTTGTTTACCTGAAAATAAAATGTGGTCACAGCTTTTCTGAACATGCGGATGAACCCGAATGGTGTCTTATTCATAATGTAATAAATGAAATCATTGTGGTATGTATACGTATGTGGAGTCTATTTCCCTTATAATAATACATTTACTTTAGTACATGGATTCTCTCCTAATATTATTTCCTTATAAATATCCAAACTTTAATCAAAAGCAGTTTCAAAATTATCGTATATTGTATTTCACCTAAAATATCGTTATGGTATAAGAGCTGTGAAAAATATTGTATATGCATTTCCAAGACCCTCTATACACCCCCCCCCCCCTAGTCTGTTAGTTGATAAATGCAGTGACCGTTATACATACCCCTGGCCAGGCTAATATATACCATCTCTGAGATAACGAGTATAGGTCATTCAAGGCTTAGGTAATATCCACTTGTATAGGTCATTCAAGGCTTAGGTAATATCCACTTGAAGCAGTCAACTTAGTACGTATGAGGTTAAGTCCAATGAACAAACAACGTATATGCGCCTGTTATAGAAAATCGATAACTCATGTTTTGGCGGGTAATTCAAACATATGTAAAGTATCAGTCATAATAAATTAGTCGCTAAAATATCAACGCGGCGATAGCTCAGCGGTAGAGCATCAGACTCGTGATCTGGCGGCCTGAGTTCGAGCCCTGGACGAACCCATGGACAGCCTGTTTTATTAAATTATTTCTTATTGAGAAAAACCCCGGAGATTTTGTGCGCATGGGGGCGTTGCCTGCTGCCCCCATGCAGGGTTTCGGACAACTGGGTTGACCCCCTTTCATTTAACTAAGTTTAATTGGCCCTGCCCAAATGGTCGGGATTTTGTGGCAATAATACGAAACATGGTCCAAAATGCGAGCCTCAACTCATGACTACGGGCTATCTCTGAGATAATGTCAACACGTACAGCAAGTTGGAGAAAAATTTCTGCGACCGTGAACTTACAACCTCAACCAACCAGTGCAGGTCTGCCTCAAGGAGCGAGGCTGGACTTTGGAGACTGGCCATAGAATTGTGACCATGAGAAATGGACCCACGAAGCATGGTAAAATGCAAAAAGATTTTACATGATAAAATTAACCAAACATGATTTCAACTCATACTGAATGAATGAGTTTATAACATTTCTTTGGATGACATTTTTGTCTCACCCTGTAATTGATTTTATTTTTACACTTATACATTTCAGCCTGCCCAAACAAAAATATAGGTTGAATAGTCAAAACCAGGTACATGTAATTACAAAGAACTATTCAGTATATAAATAGCTCTTCGTGAATGACACAACTGTTTTATACACAAACAATACAAGGTAAAATACAGGATTAAGACAATCCATAATGCCGAGTAAGTCACTATCTGAGTGTTTGAAACAGAGTGACAAACACATTATTTATTACACTGAGCTGCCCTCTATTTTGTTATTGTATAACATTAGTATGAAGAACTTTTTAATATCAGAAAAAATTACGAAAAAATGACAAAAAAATTACCAAAAAGTAGGTTAGCAATTAACTTTTCTTCTTTACAGTTTAAATCATGTCTAAAAGTTCAATACAACTTTGCACTAAAATTTATTAAAAAGGCCTGCATTTTTGGTGAAAATTGCGTCAGAATTAGGGAAAATTGGTGAGGATGGGTGGATTAGGGACAGCTTTAGAGATAATCCAATCAACTTGATTATCATCTTGTCATTTATTGAAGATAAGACATGAATCTAACAGATCTATTTGTTTTTGTGGTTAAATTATTCTTCGAACTAAAGATATAGCCCTTCGAAAAATGCTTGCCATATCTTACGTACTCCTTTAGAATTTTTTCCTAATAATCAAGTGGGTATTTTTCTCTGTTTATGATTTTTGTTCCAAACAATTTTTAGAAAAATGCCACTACTTTGTTTTTTTACCCCGGCCAAAATATTGGGTAGATCATTCAGAACAATGGATGATTTGTCGTTTATTTACTAGTTGGAATTGGTGAATTGTTTGTGTTTTAGGTGTAGATAGACCAAAAGTAGCTTGGTTGAGAACGACTCCATGATACAATCTGCATATCATTGCAGTGGATAGAAACGCGTCCAGTATTTTCATCTGGTACAACTGGAAATACTGGACGCAGACCTTCATTTTTGATCCAGAGAGAGGTAGGTGTAATTTTACTCGGTAGCCTGTGATCGTTTTACAGCAGGTGTGTCCTTACCTAAAAACAGGCTCATCAGAATTCCAGTTCATTGGGGAACATCCAATTCTTATAAAATGACAACTATCCATTTAGTTTTTCTGTAATGTAAGCACAGAAATATTTTGATTTTTTCAGGAAATACACGAATGGTCTATAAAAAGAAATGTAAGTGGATTCGTATATTTCCTGGGGAAAAAATCAAAGTATTTCCGTGCGTACCCCACCATGGCTTTCAATCTAGTTGAAAGCCCATGACCCCACATTACAAAAAATCTAGATGAATGACTGTCATTTTATAAGAATTCTGTGTTCCTCAATGTACTGGGAATCTGATGAGCCTGTTTTTAGATAAGGAAACACTGTAAAACGATCACAGGCTACCGAGTAAAATCACACCTACCTCTCTCTGGAGTTGTACCAGACGAAAATACAAAAAAGTTAGACAATTCAATTTTCTATGAATAGATATCCTGATTTCTGATTTGCCCCGAACCCACCATTTCCCATTGGTTTACATGGGAATGATGATTTTCAAAAATTTATCAAATTTATCATCAATTTTAATAAGATCCAGTTACGTTTCCATCAATATTATAGGTTATTATATCGCTGGTTAAGTAAATAAAAATTCAAATGTAAAGAGGCTTTAACACGTAGTTCAATATTGGGGGAGCTAAGGTTGCCAAACTTATGGAGGGGAGTGTAAGTCAATGTATCATATTGAACGTAACTCTTTTTATCCTGATTTAAAGTTGGGTATTGGTTTTTGGCCCATCCTGTAGTAGCAAGTGATAAATCATATATTGGGAACAGGGATGATATCAGGATTAGAGGGAAGATATCATGATATGGATATCATCCCGGGTAAATTCAAACTTTTTACATTTTTCAAAATTTTTAATTTCTCTCAATTTTGTTTTATTATTTTAAAAAAATCATTTTTTCAACGTTAGAGTGGGATAATATGTTACGTCAATACGATTCAATCATTTTCTTCTCTCATTCAACAGAGGACTTTGATACAGGGTGACCCAAAAAAATGCAACCCTCCATTTCTTCAATATTTTTCTTAAATGGAGGTGAATTGCTCTGAAATTTGGCACACACGGACTTCATTCAATGTGGGATCCTCTAGCAAGGTTTCAATAATCAGAGTCTTATATTGAGAGAGTTATGGTCGTTCCAAAATATGCTCCAAATGTCGTCCATTTCCAATGTTAGGTTTTCGGAAGAATCACATTCCCTTCTTTCTGAACATGTAAACTCAAGAAATAATGTGTTCTGGGATCACAAATTCAAGATGAAGTGCTTCAAAGGCCCCTTCATTCTGTTAAATGCACAGCTTGGGCTGCCAATTTCCAAACATGAAATCATCAGCCCCTTTTGGTTTGAGGTTGATAATGGCAACACTGTTACTGTTAACACACAGCGCAATATTGGCATTCCCAGGAAGTTCTAGGCAGTTCTAGAATGACATACAGGCTTCAATAGACAAGAACAGCGATTCTAGAAGGATGGGGCTACTCCCCACACTTCTTATGATAGCATAGCCTGGCTCACTAGTCATTTCTATGATGAGATTATCTCTCCTAGGATGGAGAACCCATGGTCATCCCACAGTCTTGATCTCAATGCCCCTGACTTCTACATATGGGGTTATTTAAAGGATAATATGTATGAAAATAACCCTACTGCAATTGCAGAACTCCAACAAGCATTCCTGCAAAGATTTGAGCCATACCCATGGAGAAGAATGCATCCGTGTTATGAACAGTTTTCCTTGAACATTGCAAGTTTGTTTTCAGCGAAATTGACGATATATGGAGCATATTTTGAAACAACCATAACTCGATCAATATAAGACTATCGTTATTAAAACTTTGCCAGAGGATCCCACATTGAATGAAGTTCTTGTGTGCCAAATCTCAGAGCAACTTACCTCCATTTAAGAAAAATATTGAAGAAATGGAGGGTTGCATTTTTTTGGGTCACCCTGATATAAGGTCGTTATATTCACCTGTCGGGGTGATATTGGTAATATACCTCGGATGATATCGATACTTCCCTCGGTCACTCCGTTGCTTCGGGAAATATTGATACTCATCCTTGTGACATTTCCCATATCAAATCACTCCTGGTGACTAACTACTTTTTATCGATGGTGCAAGTTAGAGAGAATTCTAAATTTTGGTGTATTTTAAGATGAGAAATAGACTCTGATCTCCTTTAAAAATGAAATAAGTTTTTAAGTTTGTGAGAGTTTCACAGTCGTATATTGCTGGAGCAAATCAATGAATTGATTTTTAAATTTAAAGCATACAGCATAAGTTTGAAATATAATCATGATTTCGTAAATTGAGTAAAACGGACCACCGCTCGAATGCACCTAGAACCTGAATAGATGGAATAAAACAATTCCTACCGCCACTGGTGGTCCATCGATTGGACTTGAGAACACAAAGAACACCTTCCAATTGTTTATTGGTTTTGCTGGTGACAGAAGGAATTTGACTTCAAAGTATTTTGAAGTATCTTGCCACCAAGATTTTGTGATCGCCATGACATCACCTAGTTAATAAAAATAAAATACAAATACGTTATCTGTAAAGGTATCGGTAACAGGACAACTCATCCCTAAGACAACTCATCCCAAGACAACTCATCCCCAAGACATCTCATCTCAAGACAACTCATCCCAAGACATCTCATCCCAAGACAACTCATCCCAAGACATCTCATCCCAAGACAACTCATCCCAAGACATCTCATCCCAAGACAACTCATCCCACTTTTGAAAGAATGAAAAATATTTAGAGATTTTAGCAGTTAGCACACTACTCATGGAATATTTTTGTTTTTTTATAATATACATTTTTCATGCTGTATTTTAAACTGACACATTTCATATTTTGTCATGCTGTATTTACTTAATATTTTTGTATTTTGTAGTTGGTTTAGCCTAGTTTTAGTAAATTGTTGTCGACTGATTGGGATCAAAGTTAAACATGTTCAAATTAATATATGCTTTGATAATTAAATCAAAGATCATCAAAGGTGTAGGATTAACTCAGTTAGAATGTATTATCCAAGGTGCTATCAGAATAATTCTCTCAGATTAATTCAGTCTTTGTTTAAAAATATTTTGGCCTAATCCTAAATAAGATTGCCAATTTCAAACTTTCAGATTTATGATGATTAAATTTGGAAATAATGTTTATGACTTTTATGTTCAATTCTATATTCTCAAATATATTAAGAATAACCCAGAATTAATCAAAATAGCGGTATAAAACATAACTTTCAAGTACCATTTAAAACGCTAAAAGTCAGTATTAAAAATTGAGTGTGTAATCAAAAATCACTTTGTAATCATAAAAATTAAAAAGGGATATATACAGGGTGGTCCAAAAAAAATTGGAACATTTGTTAATTGAACGCAAAACCTTTATTTTTCTTCTAAAATGTACCAAACTTTTACTGAGCATAGTTCAATCACTTATTTATCTGATGTAAAGTTTATAGGTGAAATCCACAAAGTTAATGCATTAAACTAGTCAATGTTTGATAGGACCCCCTTTTCTTAAATATACACTTGTCAATTCCGCGGCTACTTTTTCAAGTATTATTTATTTCAAAGCTTTAATGCACATGTTAATTGCTATAAATATTTTACAAAATCATATTCAGTTGACTAAGTGTATTTACATCTGGGGTTTGCCAGAAAAATATTGTGTTAACTTAAACTTAAACAATACCCAAAATGATAATTTTCATTAAAGAGGAGAAGAAGGAACATGTCAGAGGTGAGCGATTGCATAACCCTCACAGCTACTCAAGTGACAAACGCATTCTTCCCAATTTTCAGTAAAGGCAAAACTGACCAGTTATTCACATTAAAAACCAACGCTAAGCACATATACAGTGTATAATAAACATATAATATACCATTTGTGTTCTCTCTATGATACTGATAGACATATTGATATTTCCAATGAATATTATTCATATCAGAACAATAAAGGGGAGGGGGATTCATTTACCAGTCAAATCAGACTGCCCTGGCCTCTTTCTTGGGAATATTCAATCAGTAATACACCCAACAATAGCCATCGAAATATGCTTGATACTCATGAATTTGGGTTAAAAAAATGTTGAATATGTTACTAGATTTGATCTTCCAAGGCAAACAAATAGAAAGTTTGATCAAGCTAAAATTTTTAATTAAGATGGCTTTGACAAAACAAACGAACAGCAAACTAATTGAATATTTACAAATCTGAGTCCCAGGCTTCAAATTGTAAGTCAGGAGAAGAGGAGTCATATCAAATATCGACTAGTTTAATGCATTAACTTTGTTGTTTTCACCTATAAACTTTACATCAGATAAATAAGTGACTGAACTATGCTCAGTAAAAGTTTGGTACATTTGAGAAGAAAAATAAAGGTTTTGCGTTCAATTAACAAATGTTCCAATTTTTTTTGGATCACCCTGTATATAATATAGAGGACAAAATAATTTATCAATTATACAAGTGGGATGAGTTGTCTTGGGATGAGATGTCTTGGGATGAGATGTCTTGGGATGAGTTGTCTTTGGATGAGTTGTCTTGGGATGAGATGTCTTGGGATGAGTTGTCTTGGGGATGACTTGTCTTGGGATGAGTTGTCTTGGGGATGACTTGTCTTGGGATGAGTTGTCTTGGGATGAGTTGTCTAGAAACCATCTGTAAATCACTTCAATCGAAAGGAATTAACCATCCATACCTGTTTGTGACTGTACATATGCTATCTTGTCTCCACAGCCCAATGCAAAAGACAGCAATACAAGTGTAAAGTTGATCATTTCCGACATTCGACTGTTGTCAATGTGCGCGTAATCTATATTAGAATGGCAGCTGATATTTGAGGCCTTTATTCCTTTCTGACGACATGGATTGGTTTTCCAAGTTCACTTTTTAATTTTGTGAGAGTAGTGCATTTCGATAACCGTAAAACTTGTGGACATCTCTGACATCTCTGCCATTAGTTTATGATCCACGAAGCAGGATTTCTAGACGAATTCATTACTGACCTACAATCTGCTTCGTTGTCAACACAAAAAGCAACTGTTGCATGAGTTTGGTTAAAATCTTTCCAACTTTGAACAAAAAAAAACGATTGTGCCGGTAGATCTCTACGTATTTACAATTAATAACTTACTATCAATACAGTCCTTGCATTTTCTACGATAACAAATGTTTCAATCTCAACCCCAATCTCAGCATGTATACTAAAAATCTATTAACTGACATTTGCAGATACACGTACGAATAGTTTCCTCTGGAGACCTTCTGTTGTTTCATAACTTTTATGTAGGGTTATAAATTATTCATTTTTTTGTTTGTGCTAATTTTTTAGTCACGGTTATATGCTAGGGTACTTAAAACTATACTCTTTGAGATAGATTCCTCTCATAAATCGATCACTTGTCAAACATTAATTTCATTACAATGATATCTGCTGTTAGATGGCGTTTTCTTCCACTCCATCGCCATTAGGCCACACGTGGCATAGAGCACTAAGCGCATTGTTTGAATAGAAGATACAAAAGGTAACCATATATTATGACAATCAGTTAATATGTCTACTTGTCATATCCGGCAACAGAAAATTAAATGCGTGTCAGTTCCTATATATTAGAAAATATATAGGACTATATATATAATACTGGGCCAAGTCCACCATCTTTTGCCTGTACGATTACAATATAGGAGAATGATCCACGCCTCCTACACTTAAAATAACTACCTCAATAAATTCCTAAGTATTTTAGCATTCTTGTTTTGTAGTTGAATACTCAATCATCTGGGCTTATCGACAGAACGAGGAAATTTTCGTTACATGGTGACATATACATGTTGGTATCCCCACGCTCAGTCAATGGTCAATGGTGTACACGTACTCCCCTCCATAAGTTTGGCAACCTTAGCTCCCGCCTTAGCTCCATAATTGAACTACGTGTTAAAGCTTCTTTGGGTTTGAATTTTTATTTCCATAACCTGCGAGGAAAATACTTATAATATTGTTGGACATTTAATTTGAATTCATTTCCAATGCCTTCAAATCCCAATTTTTACCTCAATTACAATAGGTCGAAAATTGATGATAAATCTGATGAATCGGCATACTATCTCTCTCGATGAAAAAAATGTCCTCGTTCTGCCGGTAAACCCAGATGATTGTTGATTCAGCTCCATAAAAAGAATGCTAAACATTGTGATAGGTATTCTAAGTGTATAGGAGGCGTGGATTTTTCTCCCATGCTGTAATCGTACAGGAAAAGGATTGATATATTCCCAGGACTATACACATGGGCGTAGCCAGGGGGGGGTGCGATGGGTGCGATCGCACCCCCCCCCCCCATAACCTTTTTAAATATGACCATTGGATAGAGGAAGAACAGAGGTTTAAAATGCTTTTTATTTGAAGCTTCTAGATCAATTTTGAAGGAAGTTGCATCAATTTTTGTAAAATTCAAAAAAAATCTTAATTTTTTGTGTTGCTTATGCCAAAATCGCACCCCCCCTGACCGAAAACTGAATTTTTTTCGGTGATCGCACCCCCCCTGACTGAAAGCTGGCTACGCCCCTGACTATACATATATATATATATATATATAATGTATAGTCCTGGTACTGGGTCACCCAGAACGGATCGGACACGCATAATTTAGGTTCTTTCTTGCTAGATATCTGTGACTATGAAAAGTAGACTCATTAAAGGCCATTAAACGGATTGTCAAAGTAGTTTAGGCAGGTCAAGGAGGATTGGCTCCCCGAGGCCAAACTGCCCTAATTCACGTCACCATACTAGTCAATGGGCAAAAGGGCAAACGCCTGACTTTTTATCTCGAGTTATGGATTTATATGGCCTCACTGGCCTATCTGAGGTTCTAAAGCTATGTCTAAGCTACATCTTGACACTAAACTCAATAGGGGCCAATCATCTACTTTTTGAAATAATTGGTCAATTGTGACACTACCCCCTCTCTCTGCCGACACAGATTGAAATTCACAAAAATGAAGGCAAAATTAATACGCCACTTGACTCGAAATTTTCCTTCAGATAACCCAAATAAACGCATTTTCAGAAGAAATGGCATGTTGTCATTGCAAAAAGATGACAACTGTGCCCACATACTAGCTTACTGACTCGGCATGATCACAATTGTGTTGGGACTACATTTATTTTTGAATACTACTTTTTTCTACTCAGCGGAAGTGACGTATTAGGGCATTTTGGCCTGAGTGCAATATCGATATTCTGTCTCATATATGGGCATGTCGTGACAAAATTCGCCGCCATTTTGTTCACCTGTTGCATTTGAATCGTAAAGGACGATTCTCGGTTTGGAGAACAGTCTCTTGGGCTAATAATTTTTTTCATGAAAAATATAGAAATATTACCCAAATTAAACTATGAATATTCAAAAGAGGACATTTAAATCTACAAGATGTAAAGATAACAAATTGGTCTGAAGCAGGGATAATGCTCAAATAGACCGATTCAATATAAATACAAGTCTCGATTCGGGGAAAGAAGTCCATCAGTGTACTGAGCTAATATTTTTTTGCGAAAAATCTAGAAATATTACCCAAATTAAATTATGACTATTCAAAAGAAGACATTCAAATCTTGAAAAAATCAAATTTGTCCGAAGCAGGGATAATGCTCATTTAGATTGATGAACTTCGTTCTCCAAACCGAGAATCGTCCTTTTGGTCTTATTTCCTGACGAAAAATTCAAAAACTCACAAGAAATGATCGAGATATTGGTTCGAATATTTTGAACAATTTATTTTGAATTTATAGTCGGTTATAATTTCAGAAAATAACGACATTTCGACGTTTTCATTGTCGGAAGGTCGAGTTTCGATCCTGGGAGCCAATCCGGGGCTTCACAAACATACCCAACGTAGCTAGCCTTGAGGAGGAGGTGATACACTTTTCATAAAGTGTATGTTTTAAATACCTCTTGGATTAAAAGATAGCGTATCGTTGAATATTCTATCAAAAATAAATGGATAATGTGTGTCATGCAAAAAACTTCGCCATTTTTCATTGGCATTGCTAAAAACTTGACATGTAAATTGATAGATAGAAAATATATTTTGATAATCTAGTGTCAACTCTGATGTGGTCTGTTTGAGGTGTTTTTGGTGTCAAATGAAAGATCGGTCACTTATCAATCCATTGGAAATACTATGAAGATCAAAAGTGAAAAATTTATTTTGCCATAATATATGCATTTAGTTCCTTAATGTGGACAATGCACTGAATATTAAATTCAAATGCTATCATCCTGAGGTCAACCTTTATAGAAGCAATGTGTACAGTAATTATAATCAGAATGGTCAGAGAAATCACTTGGTAAATATTTTCAGCCATGGGGTCAAAGACGGTTTATTTAAAAGTACAATATAGACAATGCCAATATATTTACTGGAATATTAAACAGAGTGATTACTAGTATTCTCACGATCCAGATCATAGTAACCTTGGGAGTAAGGACAACATGTGACCTTGGGAGTAAGGTCAACATAGAGTACCCAAAGATTAAATAACTTCATACTACTGAATAAACTTGACCTTAATCTACTGATGCATAGTAACCAAGATCATGATCAAGCTACTCTGTTAAGGATCATCCTGAAATAAAGTAAGAACTGATGGACTTTAGATAATTGTCACGATGATGATGACAATGAATAATGATAGTCTTGTCCAAGTCGGTCTTTTTTTTGTATTGTATTTTGTTTACCACCAATGAAGGTGAGCAATACCTATTGGGTATGTCCCGTATATATACGGTCGTAATTTACGTAATTAACATGGAAGATAGACCCAGAAACCCCTCCTTGAAGGAGCCCTGTGTTCTTTTATGTGCACTTATACATAGACATATAAGTACACACCACAGCCTTTTTGTACGAGTTGCAGACCACTCAGTCAAACACCCTGAAGTACTTCACGCAAACAAGCAAATTTAGTCTTGCCTGAACCGGGGATCGAATCCGGGACCTATTGCGTAAGAGGTACCTGCGCTACCGCTGAGCTACACGGGTGGACTTACTTTTCTTGGTTTCTATTATGGTAATAATTCAAGATCAGATAAGTAAAAAATACCGACTTGGGCAAGGCTAGGAATGATGAGAGCAAAATAATATTTAAAATATAGTGATCTCTTCATCTCTTCTACTCCCTTGAATGGTCTCGTCTGCTTCGGAAGCCTGGGTTCGGGAGGTTCACATGTTAACCATTTCATCTATATCACCAGGAGGTTAATTTAGTGCTAATTCAGTATCATATTAAAACGAGTCCTCAAGACGATCGGAGGAAGGGACAGAGTTGATGATACCCTGCGTTCGTAGGATGCGAATTAAATCACCCCCTAGACAAGTCATAAACAAAATTCTTCCAGTTAATATAATTTACAGCAAATTATTCATTAAAACTGAGATAAGCATAAAAGAAATTGCAAATTAAAACGCTTTCATTATTTCACCATTTTAGTTTACCATTTAGTATAATATACTGAATTTTGACTGCAAATTAAATTGTTGGATTGGTTAATACTTTCAAATGAGTATTGAATTACACACCCATCGAATATATACTGTAAATTATTTAGTAAAATCATTTAGTATTATTTTGTAAAAACAGTATTGATAACTGACTACTGTATAATCTCCTGAATAGTCTGATTTAATTTTACCTATGTCTAGTCAATGGGCAAACAATAAGGAAGTTGCTCTATTGCTGAATAAAGCTGAATTAATAGATGTCACTACTTGTTTTTATTTGGTCTGGTTGGGCCATATTGCGATGGACTTCCATGTTAAAAACTTGCAATAGTTACTTAATGTCATGATTATCAAAATATGTTGGTTGAATCCGTCTAGGCATATTAGGGATGACCTTGTTAATGTTAAAAAAGTAATGTCCATAATGCACGGGAGTAGAGCCCGAGTACAATGTTCATGTATGAATAAATCCAATAAAGAAAGATACGATGTTCTTTTTACAATTCAAATATACTATCACTCCTTAAAAATAAAATTATCCAGTTCTTTATGAAACCATAATGCACTTTGATGACACCACTCAGTTCTTTATGAAACCATAATGCACTGTGATGACATCACTCTTTTATCAATAATGGCACTGCTCAGTTCATTATGAAACCATAATGCACTGTAAAATAATGTCTGCTCAGTAGACCATATACCTTGAATTGACGCACTGAAATATTATTTTTATTTTCATGAATACACAGGAAAATATTCAAATAGCCTCTATATACATTTGGAGGAGGAAAAATAAAGATATGAGATTCAGATATTATCTAATGCTAGATTATCCTCCATAATCGGTGTAATATTTCGTTCTTTCTTTTTCTTTTTCGATTTCTTTTTTCTTTTTGGTTTGATTTTATTTCTCCTGCGAAAGTCCTTGTATCTCCATGATGTTGCAAGATCCAGGAACACAACGAATCCAATAATACCCATGAGAATGAGGATACCAGACGTTCCAATAATTAAAGACATGGGATCTGTTGCGAAGTACATCACCTCGGGGTTCTTATCTTTTCTGTACATAGTCAAAAGCATCCAAGTAGTGTTTGCTGATATTGTTAAAGATGGTGTGGAAATATTGGACGTGATTGTCACATTTTGAATTGCAGCAGTTTTCAAGGTGGTAACTAGCCCATCAATGGCTTGTGTTGTATCTAGCTGGTGATTGGTGATGTGTGAAGTGGTTGGTGTGTCATTTGTTGTTTGTGTGGTAGTTGTAGAGTCATTTGTGTTGGTTGGTATATTATACGTGGTTTGTGAAGTGCTTTGTTCTTTATTGGTTGTTTGCGTGATGATTGATTGGTCATTTGTAGTGATTTGTGTTGTGGTCAGTAAAGACGTAACTATGGTTGATTGAGTTGTGGTTGGCGAACTAGTGGTTGATTGGGTGGTGGTTGGCGAACTAGTGGTTGATTGGGTAGTGGTTGGCGAACTAGTGGTTGATTTGGTGGTGGTTGGCGAACTAGTGGTTGATTGAGTGTTGGTTGTATGATCAGTGGTGGGTTGAACTGTTGAAACAAGATTGTGTGTTGAAGTACTAGTGTATGAACAGGTTAACGCGTCCAAGGTATCGACCAATCCAACTTCTATGCTTGGTTCTTCAGGCGCTGAATATGTGGCCTGGAATCCACAAGATGACGACGTCACCGTATCTTCTTTCTTACACGAACCTCCATCTTTGTTGTAACTTACGTTTTTGAGAATGAGTACAGTTTTATCAGCACTTGAGCACTCTCGAGCTGAATCAAATGCCTAATCCAATCCACAAGAAAGTATGAAAATAAAGTTACAACGTTATTAGTTCATTATTTATAAATACATTAGTCATGTAGTCATGCCTCAAGAAATTCAGTAAGATATGGTCTACGGCAACCATAGCTTCCCAGAATCGAGAGAAATTTGCAGCATAACATAGAGGGATAAGAGTACGATGTAGATTTTCTGAATCGATTTCGTGAAGCTACGGCTGTCACACGTCCGCCGTGGAGCAAATGTGACGGAAATTTAAGAGAAAAAATTATGTAGTATCTTTAAATCATCAATTTCAGTTGCAAATTGAAGCCAATTCTAATTTTGCATAATATTAATATATGATAAATATATTATAAATGTGCGTCTAATTATATATAAGTTATATTTATTAGAGCTCCAATATAAAGATACCTACCGTGAAAAAATTGATTGAAGTTGAGAATCTAAAGTACACCTTCCATCCGTCATAACTAATGTTTGGTGAAAGTACGAAGTAGACGCTAAAAGTACCCGTCCAATTCTGGATATCTACTACCGTAACATCACCTGCAAATATAGTCGATATAATCCATAAAACATGATCCATATAACATGATTATTAGAATAATTCTTTAAGAAACACATGGTGTTTTTGTATAACTATTTGCAATGTAATTTTTGTTAGAGTATGTCTGTTTTACAGTGTGTCCCAAAAAAGGAAACCAGCAATAGATTGCTTATTTCTCAAATATGAATAATAATAGGAACATTTCACAGCTACCATCTGATAGGTTATGATGTCCTCTTTCTTATGATACCACAGTTGTCTATTTTCCTTCACGGATGACTGAGTTATAAGGGATTTAAGTGACCATGTCAGAAATGAGTTTGTACCACTTTCAGCCAAGTCAATTTCACCATCATAACAAAGTGATAAGTAACAACAAACATCAGGATATCACTCTTTTACTCATTTATTCCAATTAAAATTACACATATCATATTTAACACCCCTTTTAAATCCCAATGTCCATTCAAAGTTGTTTTAACCCCAGTGTCATCATCAGGGATGCAGTGGGGGTCAACATGACCCCCATTCCTTTCAATGCAAATGTCTGCCCTTGATCTCATCGCACGTACTGCATCCCTGATGATGACACTGCTAGGTTAGGTACCCGGTCGACCGGGTACCCGGTTATCCGGTCACCCGGTTTTTTACACAAATCCCTTCTACGGGGACCGCAGAAATGAACAAATATTATAAAACTCCGAGTTATAATTTCTACGGCTACCCTATTAGTATAGTAGGAACAAGGGGTTCCCATGCACCCATAAGGTGTGAATAAGTTACATACATTTTTGTAATCCCTAGGGTGTCTATTTAATGAATCCATTTGTTAACATTGCCAACTAATGTCCCATAGTACTTTTATGGCGGCATTCAGTTACCATGGTTACGCATCTTTAGACATCATACCTTGGTGTCTTAAATCATTTGTAGCTCTGTCAATATTTGGTCCATAGAAATGATATTGGTACCAAATTAAACCTCGTTAAATTTCCAATAAATTTATGATATTCAATTATGCAAATTATCTAATTTGCATAAATTATGACGTCATCAATCTATTTTTGGTTCAGAATTTCCAACTATAGCAACGTATCTATTAGAACTGATGCCGTATGGCAAAATTTCTGAAAGGTTTTGTCCTTTATTCTATTAGTAGAAGGTATAAGCAACATAAAAGTGAAAACAGATTCAAAATTGAATCTATCGTGAATGTCATTATTTGACAATAATATACATTACGTCTTACCTTGGAGTCTTGAATCAATGTAGCTTCGCCATTATTTGGTCTATAGAGATGATATTGGTATCTGATTAGACCTTATTAAATTTACTATATGGTTACAATATTCAGTTATGCAAATTAGCTAATTTGCATTAATTGTGACGTCATCAATCCATTTTTGGTTCAGAATATCCTAGTATAGCAACATATCTATTAGAACTGAGGCCGTATGACAGAATGTGTGCATAGTTTTGTCCCTTATTTGATGAGTGGAAGATATAAGCAACATTAAAGAGACAACAAAATCTTCAAAATTGGATCAGAATTAACAAAATTATCCAGCTTTGGAGGCAGCTACTGTGAACGTCATTGTTTGACAATTATAAAAAGAATATTAAATCAACAAAAAAAGTAACAACCATTATATTATAGTTGTTTCAATCTTATTGAGTAAAAATGTGCATGTATTGAACTGAACTAATAAGTATGTGGAAAGGTTACATGCATTTTGACTATCATTCACAGGGGTCAAAACGGTTATCTCGACCCTGTATATTAAAGATCCAATCTTATAATTTACCATGCACTTTCAATGATTCATATAAATAGTATACATATAGTCTGCTTTTCATCATATTCTTCATATTCTTGATTCTTAAAGCATCTGAAGTATATAGCATGATTAGAAGTGAAGATGATTCATCATATGGTTTATGTAATATTTCTAACATTTCAGATGCTATGGTAACATCACTTGATAATGAGGTTTTTACATTTCACGTTCTTAATGAGTAAAAAGGAAGTTATTCTCCCTTTGCTTTAGAGATAAATAGTTGCATGAATTTGTTTAGAAAAATTACAACTTAATTAATTTAACCCCCCCCCCCTGACAGCCCCATATTTGAAGATTTTGGTGAAACCTGGCAAAATACATTAATTATTAGGTTCCAGAAGCCCCCAGAAGCTATATGATGGCCCCCAGTGGCCCCAAGAATCTATACAGGGGCCCCCAGGAGCTATACTGTGCTCCACAGAAGCTATATGTTGGCCCCCAGAAGCAGAATAGTGGCCCCCAGGAGCTATACGGTGGCTCCCAGAAGCTATACAGGAAACCCTGTGGCCCCAAGGAGCTATACGGTGGCGCCCAGAAGCTATACAGGGGCCCCCAGTGGCCCCAAAAAGCTATACGGTGGCCCCCAGAAGCTTTACAGGGGCCCCCAGAAGCTATACGATGGCCCCCAGAAGCTATACAAGGGCCCCCAGAAACTATACTATGGTCTCCAGAAGCTCTAGGTGGCCCCCAGTGGCCCTCGGAAGCTATATGATGGCCTCCAGAAGCTAATTAGTGGCCCCCAGGAGCTATATGGTGGCTCCCAGAAGCTATACAGGAAACCCTGTGGCCCCAAGGAGCTATACGGTGGCGCCCAGAAGCTATACAGGGGCCCCCAGTGGCCCCAAAAAGCTATACGGTGGCCCCCAGAAGCTTTACAGGGGCCCCCAGAAGCTATACGATGGCCCCCAGAAGCTATACAAGGGCCCCCAGAAACTATACTATGGTCTCCAGAAGCTCTAGGTGGCCCCCTGTGGCCCTCGGAATCTATATGATGGCCTCCAGAAGCTAATTAGTGGCCCCCAGGAGCTATATGGTGGCTCCCAGAAACTATACAGGGGACCCCAGTGGCCCCAAGAAGCTAATCGAAGGCCCCCAGAAGCTATACAGGAGCCCCAAAAAGCTACATGATGGCCCCCAGAATCTATATGATGGCCCCCAATGGCTCCCAGAAGATGTGAAGGGCCCCCAGTAGCCCCTAGAAGCTATACGGTGGCCCCCAGTGGCCCTCATAGGCTATATGATGGCCCTAAGAAGCTAAATAGTGACCCTCAGGAGCTATATGGTGGTTCCCAGAAGCTACACAATGGCTCCCAGAAGCTATAAAGGGCCCCCCAGTAGCCCCTAGAAGCTATACGGTGACCCCCAGTGGCCCCGAAAGCTATACGGTGGCCCCCAGAAGCTATAAAGGGGACCACAGTGGCTCCCAGAAGCTATACGATGGCCCCCAGAAGCTATGCAAGGGCCTGCAGAAACTGTACTGTAGCCCCCAGAAGCTATACAGGGGCCCCCAGTGGCTCCTAGAAGCTATACGATGGCCCCCAGAAGCTATGCAAGGGCCTACAGAAACTATACTGTAGCCCCCAGAAGCTATACAGGGGCCCCCAGTGGCTCCCAGAAGCTATACGTTGGCCCCCAGAAGCTATGCAAGGGCCCACAGAAACTGTACGGTAGCCCCCATAAGCTATACGATGGCCTCCAGAAGCTATACAGTGTCCCCCAATGGGCCACCATATAGCTTTGGGGGCCACCGTATAGCTTCTAGGGGCTACTGGGGGCCCTGTATAGCTTCTGGGAGCCATTGGGGGCCATCATATAGATTCTGGGGGCCATCTTGTAGCTTCTGGGGGCTGCTGTATAGCTTCTGGGGGCCATCGTATAGCTTCTTGGGGCCACTGGGGTTCCCTGTATAGCTTCTGGGTGCCACCGTATAGCTCCTGGGGGCCACTATTTAGCTTCTTGGGGCCATCATATAGCTTCTGGGGGCCATCTTGTAGCTTCTGGGGGCTGCTGTATAGCTTCTGGGGGCCATCGTATAGCTTCTTGGGGCCACTGGGGTTCCCTGTATAGCTTCTGGGTGCCATCGTATAGCTCCTGGGGGCCACTATTTAGCTTCTTGGGGCCATCATATAGCTTCTGAGGGCCACTGGGGGTCACCATATAGCTTCTGGAGACCACAGTATAGTTTCCGTGGGCCCTTGTATAGCTTCTGGGGGCCATCGTATACCTTCTGGGGGCCACTTGGGGCCCCTGTATAGATTCTTGGGGCCAATGGGGGCCATCATATAGCTTCTGGGGGCTTCTGGAACCTAATTATTAATGTATTTTGCCAGGTTTCACCAAAATCTTCAAATATGGGGGCTGTCAGGAGGAGGTTAAATTAAGTTATTATTTTTTTAAACAAATTCATGCAACTATTTATCTCTAAAGCAAAGGGAGAATAACTTTCTTTTAACTCATTAAGAACGTGAAATGTAAAAACCTCATTATCAAGTGATGTTACCATAGCATCTGAAATGTTAGAAATATTACATAAACCATATGATAAATAATCTTCACTTCTAATCATGCTATATACTTCAGATGCTTTAAGAATCAAGAATATGAAGAATATGATGAAAAGCAGACTATATGTATACTATTTATATGAATCATTGAAAGTGCATGGTAAATTATAAGATTGGATCTTTAATATACAGGGTCGAGATAACCGTTTTGACCCCTGTGAATGATAGTCAAAATGCATGTAACCTTTCCACATACTTATTAGTTCAGTTCAATACATGCACATTTTTACTCAATAAGATTGAAACAACTATAATATAATGGTTGTTACTTTTTTGTTAATTTAATATTCTTTTTATAATTGTCAAACAATGACGTTCACAGTAGCTGCCTCCAAAGCTGGATAATTTTGTTAATTCTGATCCAATTTTGAAGATTTGTTGTCTCTTTAATGTTGCTTATATCTTCCACTCATCAAATAAGGGACAAAACTATGCACACATTCTGTCATACGGCCTCAGTTCTAATAGATATGTTGCTATACTAGGATATTCTGAACCAAAAATGGATTGATGACGTCACAATTAATGCAAATTAGCTAATTTGCATAACTGAATATTGTAACCATATAGTAAATTTAATAAGGTTTAATCAGATACCAATATCATCTCTATAGACCAAATAATGGCGAAGCTACATTGATTCAAGACTCCAAGGTAAGACGTATGTATATTATTGTCAAATAATGACATTCACGATAGCTGCCTCGAAAGTTACATAACTTTCGTAATACTGATTCAATTTTGAATCTTTTTTCACTTTTATGTTGCTTAAAGCTTCTACTAATAGAATAAAGGACAAAACCTTTCAGAAATTTTGCCATACGGCCTCAGTTCTAATAGATACGTTGCTATAGTTGGAAATTCTGAACCAAAAATAGATTGATGACGTCATAATTTATGCAAATTAGATAATTTGCATTATTGAATATCAGAAATTTATTGGAAATTTAACGAGGTTCAATTTGGTAACAATATCATTTCTATAGACCAAATAATGACAGAGCTACAAATGATTTAAGATACCAAGGTAAGATGTCTAAAGATGCGTAACCATGGTAACTGAATGCCGCCATAAAAGTACTATGGGACATTAGTTGGCAATGTTAACAAATGAATTCATTAAATAGACACCCTAGGGATTACAAAAATGTATGTAACTTATTCACCCTTGTTCCTACTATACTATATTGCCTGTAAAAAACTAGATACGTCGTACGGAGACCGCAAGGCGATCGTAGTTTTTATACGCTCTCCGCAGAAATTCGCTGATTTAATCGTACGACAAATGTGACTGGGGTGTTACTCAATTACATGTATCTTGATGAGCAACGAATTCAACCGTCGGCTGTCTCCTTCAGACTCTACTTTGTACTTCATCTCCTGGATGTCAGAAGATGATTGTGTAAGTTATATCAATATGAATTAAAGAATTATTTGGGAGTGAGATTTACAGTTAATTGATTTTTTTAAATTGTGATAGCAGGTGTTTTTACATGACATTAATTGATGATATGATATATAATGGTTTTCAATTTATTTTTATCTCCAGATTATTGTTGTTTATCATCTAAATCGTATTAGTACAACAATTAACTGCAAATAAAACTAACAATCGATATGTTCTATCGATATCAAACATCTTACAAACATTCAAACAGAAAGATGAATAATGCAAATGTACGTCCTTCATATAATAATGTACAAATAGTGACTGCCATTGAGGGAAATAGTGCAAAATATTTTCCTCAAGGGAATATCCTGTCCACTGACATGTTCCCGAGGCTGCAGGCCGAGGGAACAAGTCAGTGGACAGGATATTCCCGAGAGGAAAATTTGTACACTATTTCCCGAAAATGTGGCAGTCACTATTTGTTTTATTATATACCTGATAAGTACTCTGTAAACAAAAACAAAATGAGAAGTCTTTTCATTTCAATATCAAATGTTCACAGGTTCTTATTGGCATTTAAAGGCATTTTACCTTTCAACTCCTATAATCTCAGATTTGGGGGAAGATAAAATGTACTATTGACTGGTCACATGACCTAACTGGTGATTAGTACAATTCATCTTCCCTGAAAGCAGGGATTTAGGACTTTCCAGGGAATTAGTTCATCTATTCCATGTCATGTGACCATGAATAAGCCAATGAGCATCTAGAATACATTTGAGGTATATAATAATGTAATCTATTGATATTTTTATATACTGTTGTCTTTTCGAGATACTCTCATCCTGGTTGTAAATGTAGCAAAACGCATTATTCGTAGACACTACCCTTTTTATGTCACCACCACCACCACAAGTGGTGATATATCGTTGTTCTAGTCTCCAACCAAGTGGACCGTGTTCGGATGTCGGCGTATGTAACAAATGGCAGGTGGTGACATTTTGCATAGTATCACAAATGCCTAAATACACAGTATCAGAATATCAATTTGTATAATTTTCCCCACAATTTTGAGAATTCTATTTAAAAGCACAATGACTTCACTCCAAGATGCAATTGTCAATTTTCGTTAATTTGACATCCATTTAGGTCTACGTCTGGGATCAAATGTTAATCCGCTCATAACAGTCATCAGAAGATAACCCTGTGCGCTGCAGTCTCATTTAAGAAGCGAAGTCGAACGAATCCAAAGGGCATCAGAATGATATTTGTGCCACGATACGAGCTGTTTGAAGAACTTAAAATTTTGAATTAAATAAATTCATGGCAGAAAATAATCGTCTGATATATACATGCAGTTATGGTACATAAAAAACTCCCTACCTGTTTGACAGCTTACTAAATGTAGTAGCAGTAAAATCAGTTGATCAATGGTTTTGTATCTCATTTCCAATCTCAAATGGCCACGGGAAAGTTCCTGATCTATGATACGAGCAATATCTGTATGCGCCTCGGTGTCATCTTTGATAATAAATGCACAATCCATAAAATCAACTCATGTGCGAGACATATCCAACATCATTGAATAAGAATATGTGAAACTGATATAGAATCGTTAAGTCATTCAGATCTATCTATCATTTTCGAGACTCTATCTGTAATTGTAGGTCTGACTCTGTTAATTATATGTGCTATCAGAGTTTGAGAGTCTTGTCTGGGTTGAAGTTCGTTATTTTCATTGCAGAATACCTTAGAAGTGCATCAAACTTAATACGAGTCTGACGTTAATTTCCAATACTAATTCATCATTATGATAACATAAACATATAACTCGTTGAAATGTGTATTCGTTATTACCCAAAGGTGTCCACCATCGTTCATCAATAGTAATTGGCGGTTGTCATGGCTTCTCTACCTTATAGAAAACACCGTGACAGAAGTGCTCATTTTTCATGTCTCCCTCTAAATTATTCTAACGTTTTATACTGATTTTTTATTTGGTTTAAGTATACTGTTGTTATGTTAAATGCATTACTAACGGAAATGGTCTGCCGCACCCTTCCATGCCTGATCTTCCAGCTTATATTGATTGCATTCTAACTGGCATGGTGTTTGATAAGTAAATTTATTTATCACTATTGGAAATATTTATTTACAATAGCACTGGTTGCTCTTTTTGGTCGATACTTAATTCTGGGCAGGAAAGATTTACAGACTATTTTGAGAGATTTTCCATAAAAGGACATGATTGATGAACATGCATTGAGCTACAGTGTTGTAACTGTTAGCCATTTTTTCAATGATTTTTATAACGAACATTGTACAAAAGATCTAAACAAATCATTGGAAAATGAAGGATGTTGGTCTATATTCGTTAAATTTACATGTATAGACTATGCATGTCAGCAAAATGAGTGTACACGCGGATGGGCTGTTTTTGATGAGTCAAACACGGGACAGGAACAAATTTATGTCATATCCAAGACGACATTGCTTTAAGTATAGGAAAGCGTACATAGAGTTGCCTATAAAATAGTAGCTTAGTTAATCCGGTAGCCGACAGCCAAAAGTTTCATTCATGAATACAAGCTAAGTTTCCAATAAGTGTTGATATGTGAAAAACATATTATAATTACAATAAAGCAAAACCTATTATAGCGCTTCAATTTCTAATTCGCCAAAATTCGCCAAAAAGTGTATTATTGATGTGGAACAAAACAAACACTTTTATGTGCACCATATCTATCCTGATGGCATATGAAGTGTGTCATAAGGGTTTAACAGAACAATATTTAGTCATTCCCAATATAATCAAGCTTGATTGATTTAAATGAGATGTAAATTCATTGGAATTATCCCTTTTAATGGAGCAAAGTGGTAGAACTGCAAACGTCTAAAGTGGCATCATACCAAATAGGTTTACACAACCAGTGTTATATCTTGAAAATGATATCACACATTTATAGTCAATATATTCCAGGAACCCATTAACATACATTATAGGAATGCCATATAATAAAAACTATCGTTAATTGTTTACTTACTTAAATGCTTTTTCAATATTTGATTTGGGCGAGAGTTTCACTGTTCATCAAAATCAATCCGTATGAAGATGAACTACAAATAGGTAGCACTTAATGGTGCTATATCAATGTCATGATCTTGATTTTGGGATAATGATTCCTATAAATGGTTTGTGAAGGTAATATTACACGTTTCTTTGTCTGTTAGATCTTAGTTTGGGATAGTGGAGGTTTATTTCGCCTATGCCTGGTTGTACTATCTTGCTTTTTCATGCTGTGTTTTGTTATATTCTTCATGGTACCTTCCTCGATGTCATTATAGACTGATGTTGTATGTTCAATAATTATTAAATCATATATGTTACTCGTAGAGCCATTTCCTGCATGCAAGATCATCATCCAAGACAATTAGTCTGTCGACGCTGTCATTTACTATACTGTACTGTGCATAAACTAATAATGGAACTAACAATGTTATGTATACTTTTCGAAATGTGTTATCAACTATCATATCGAATAAATAACAAAATTGTTAAATATGTCGTCGCATTCGCCAAAGTACCAAAATAACCATAAGCGAGGGAATTTTACAAAAAAGTCGGTGACCTTTTTATGTTCTTACGATCAAGTATGGTGAACAAAATGCAAATAAAAAATATTTTGTTCAGTTTCAGTGATAAAACACCATCTTGCATACTCGTATATCTCAACAGGAGGGATCAAAATATTTCATAGCTTTGAATAATAAAAAACAGCGACAACCACTTTACATACAGGGTGTCCGAAAGTATGGGACCGACCTAGGCAGACATATACCAATGTCTCATTTTGAAGATTATCCAAAGTTACATTGATTTGCCAAATATCATAATTCAACTCGCAAATGGGAAAAGGCTACAGGCATTTCAAAATTTAGTGTTTGGCCAAAATCAAAAGTTCGGTTCTACAACAAATTAATAGTCGGTGTTTATTATTTTGGACATGCCCTTAAAAGCGCCTAAAAATAGGGGTGTGGCATTTTGTAATCTTAAAATATATATATTTTTAAACTTTTTAGAAGAGTTTCCTTGGGGTATTTGCCATCACCGTCCTCTTTTCCAACTAAATATCCATTCTATCATTTACGATAACACACATATTTTCAGTCACATCCTGGTCAGAGCTGTTTCCAGGATACTAAACTGAATTAAAATATTGTCCACACTATAAATTTTAAAATGCCTGCAATTTTTCAGATTTGTGAGTTCAACCATCATACTTGGCAAATCAATGTAACTTAGAATGAGCTTTAAAATGGTATATGATACATAACATAGCGACATTAGTATTATGTCTGCCTAGGGGGAGGTCCCATACTTTCGGAACACCCTGTACATGTAGACCTACCAACATCCCAACTTAATGATCGATTGCACAAATAGCAATGTACACAGTCTGACATCCATCTCCATCATTTATATAAGAATCGTTATCAAAATTCAAAACCATTAGACCAATCGGGACATTTTATCAATATCGTTCCAACGAATCCGATGGATTTGTTATATTTGCATCATGTTTCACAAACAGCTGTCGAAAGGCCTTATTTCACCATTTTTAGTCGGATAATTAATTTACATATCTAAACTATGTTTGACATATACGTATAGACACATGTACTCGTAGAACTTTTGCGGACTTTCTCAGTCTTTTCCTCGAATCATTGAACAGGGCCATTACATGGTTACTGTGTCTTTGTATGATTGGTAAAATGAACATGCTTATCAAATTATAAATATAAAGGCATAAATGAAGAAATACTTTCAATGTTTTATTTCGTTATTTCGTTTGTCAATGGTATAGGAGATACACCATGAGCAAAACCTACTCTAGATCTCATGATGTAATGAGGATATAATAATAATAGTTTCAGGTTATGGGCGTCAATTTCAAAAAAATTATGCAGTTGGCTCTCCAACACGGTCATGAATCCATTGCCTAAAGCTTTGGGTCCTGGTGAATATTGTTGGTGATTCGGTATCACAATCTGGTCCATCTGACCCATGCCAGGATGCAATTCCTACAACGTCCCATTGTCTGTCTACTCTGCATTGGAGAGGTCCTCCTTCATCCCCCTGCAGTACAAAATAAATAATTATCCAAGGAAGTAGTTGCAGGTGTGACAAAATTGCAAGGAATATGTACAACTTCGACGGAAGTTCATCCATTTTGTTATAAAGACGTAACGTCTCTATAACCAGGTGGGGACCAGTGCCCATGACGTTAAATTAAAAATACTAAATACAATCTCTCAATTGATAAATCGATACATCAACCAAACCAAATGTGTAGTCTAATCAACCACTACACAAACATCCTCACGATCATGTGTGGTGTATATTTCTTATTGCACGAATTTCTAGGCCTATACGTACCATCTTCGCACGCCCGGTCTTCACTACGACAGACGGGAGCCGGGTGAACGAAGATGATACGTACAGCCTCTCATGATAATCTACAGCATGCTTATAAAACGTCTCTGTAAATAATGTTTAAATGACTTGTATTGCGTGTCTATATAATTATCATATCTAAATAACTTACAGAGCATGCGGCTTTGCGGTCGTTCAACTCATCGGATGTACAGATCTGAGAGGCCTCTAGGTCTGGACCAGTGATTCCTAGGTCTTCGTCGCATTCTGCGTTATTGATTACATCAACGTGTGCCTCCTGAAGAATAGTGGGTCTGGTACCCTCTACAATATAATAAATTGGAGGGACTTCAGTATGACTGTTGATATCCGCGGGTTTACGCTTGTGTTTCGTATTTGATCATGGTCTTACAATCAATGGGAATTGACACTTTTCGGGTGTGCTCATGTGTGCTTTTGATGTTCTGTGTTTTCAAATGTTTTTGTGTTGTGTGTTTTTAGGTATTTTTCCTTTGCCCGTTCACACTTACCAGCATTTTCTCCCCATCCGGTGATAAAGCAAGCTGGGTTGTCCTCGTATGGAAGATCTGCTGGTGGAACACATGCGACATCTACTCTGTACCTCACGATGTTAGCGTTACTAGCCAGCTGGATTAGGGCAACGTCATTCGCCCTATTCTCGGATGCTGGGTTAAAGTTCTCGTGCTGAAATTAACTTAGGCTGTTATTTTGTTTTGACGGTGCACATGCTACTTTGATTGCATATACATTAACAGTGAAATCATACGTTTTGAGCAATTCCGTTTGCCCAAATGCTTGCTCAGAGATGTATGAAACTTGGAAAAGAAGGGCAGTTTAATGCATTAGCATTTGGAGCCCTTTAACCTTTATATGAGATAAATAAATGACTGAAACACGCTCAGTAAGAAATTGTAACATTATGGAGAAATGAATGTTCTGCATAGGTTTTACCAAATGTTCCACTTTTTGGACCACCCTGTAATAGCTAAAAACTGATACATTAACGATTCTCTTTTAACATGTAGTTACCCTGATGATAGTCTGAGCTGCGATGGTTTGTTCCCCTCCATCAGGAGATGCAAGATCGAGTGCTCCAAGAACAACCTGGTATGACTCCCTATATTATACAGTGTTTATAATATTAGCATCTACTAATACGATTATTTATGGTATATACTGCAGTATTATATGACAAGAACCAAAATTCGAGAAATACGTTAAAAATGCATAAAAATATAAAAAGAAGAACCGAAAGTGAAAAGACAAACCGGTATAAGCCCAAATATCCCAAATGATTAAATATGGGAATGGGGTGTGAGGCATTTCGAGTGTAAGAGCATAGTAGCCCGGACAGAATTGTTCAATGGTCACTTTTTCTTTAATATCTTTTTCAATTTTCAGTTCTATCAAAAACCGATTACATATTTGAAAACTAGAGTAAAATTCTGACATACAAAAAAATTATTTAAGGAATATCTCTTAATTTATTAATATTATAGGCGTTTATGGTATGATTGACACAAATGCATAATTCATCATTTTGCCTCATATTCGTTCAAAAATGGCTGCATGTTTTGTGAATTTGAATGTTCAGTTGAAAAAATTAACATTCAGGAAATGTCAGTAGGCCTATGAAGTCATGTAGACTGCTGCTTTGGTATGTGGTAATGAGTGCATTTAAAACCTTTTGTTTTAAATTGAATTGTATGTATACTTGAAAAAGTGTACTGTATATTGGTAGTGTCGCAGGGCAACGTTTTTTGGCCATTCAATTGTTACCCCTAGTTTAACATGTGCAACTAAAGAGTCATATTTCCATCGTTTTTAACACCTTTTCCAGTCGAACGCCTCTCGGCCAATCTTTATATGCATGTGAATTGTTCTTGAGCTTTTCAAGGGCCTCTGAGATGGCTGTTTAGGCCTCTTGAAAAGATTGGGGACCTAATCTCAGTCTCATCACATCCCGCACATTAGGGGGCCACCTTTTCGAATCCTCTTGAACACAACCCACGAACATTGCAATAGAGCTGAGTTCAAGATCCTTTGCAGGGAGTTTGACTTATTGTATTTGATTATTGGTCAGTTGCTGTATTTCATGGATCCATCAGAATTGTAATGATGGCAGCATGACCCTATAGGCATATGACGTTTTCTAAAATTAACTTGCGACTAAACATTCAAATTCACGAAACATGCTGCCATTTTTGAACAAATATGAGACAAAATGATGAATTATGTATTTGCGTCACTCATACTTTGAACGCCTATAATATTAATAAATTAAGAGATGTTCCTTCAATAATTTTTTTGTATGTCAGAATTTTACTCTAGTTTTCAAATATGTAATTGGTTTTTGATAATTCTGAAAATTGAAAAAGTTATTAAAGAAAAAGTGACCATTGAACAATTCTGTCCGGGCTACTAGTTTATGATAGTAGGGGTTTGTTTTTTATTGTCAATAGGTATGCTCTTAGATTTTACTTTCTCTTCCTCCTTTGGTATTTCCCTTTTGGTACTTGTTCTTACGCATTCAAACTTGGGTTGCGTATCTATTAATACTGTAACGCAATAAAGATGTGCTTTTCACTAATAGTGAGTTACTGAATATGGATATACTTACCCGTCTGGTACACAATTGGCAGCAGTAAGAACCCAGTTAGCCCTAATTAAAGTCCCTCCACAATGATGCTCAAAGTTGCCGGCAGGTGTCCTTCTCTGAACGCTTGCCATCCATGGCCAATGACCCGACCGTGCGTTTTCTCCTCCGACGATCTGACTGTCTATAAGTGGGATCTTTGTCGTGTAGTTCCCACAGTCAGCGCGTGGATGGGCTGAAAATGTGGGGATAGTACCATAGAAAATAAGGTGCTAGGCCTTAATGAAACAAGCTGTATTACGAGGGCTTGTTCGAATAATACCCCTCCGAAGAGCTCATTTCAATATCATTTACATCTGTATTTATTTGTATTCCCAATTACTACTTCATGTATTCCTATTTCAATTCCTATTTTCTATTTGGAATTTCGGAACAGTCAATACAATCTGTTGTAGGTTTGGGAGCTTCATCAAAATGCAACCAGTTGCTCAGAATAAAAAATAAATCCGAAAATACTCACCAGAAGCCAAAGTCACAAAAGAAAGGATAAAAATAAGCATTTTTGAACTATCGTCTCTCCCAATAGCCAGTCATAAAATTGAAAAAAACTGGAGTTTTTGCCTCAGCGTTTTTGCAGCATACGAGCTATTTATCAAAGATAAGAAAATCGTAATTCATTTTAATTAATCAGCAACGGTTGTCAAGGAGCCGCAGTCGGGCTAAAAGTCATATGTTTATTGACCACATATTTCCCAAAGTACTTAACAGATACACTCCCCTGATACTAATTCACATGCAGGGTCTTTGTTGTTACAATGTTCAAGGTAAATTGCATACAGGAAATCATCTCGCATCGTTTGTCCTTAAAAATATACACACTTTCAGATGAAATGTTGTTGTCACAATCTATGCGTGGATGGGTTTTAGGGTCTGGACCATGGGATTCATTCTGATACTCATAGCATCTTTCTGTTTCACCTGAAACATCTCAGGGCTGAGAAGATTTGAGATGTCATGGTTTATCATGATGCATGGGATTGGATTTGCACATCGGATGTGTGATCTAGTAAACGAAACCAATTTCCACTCATTGACATATCAAAACTGGGTATTTCAGACCAACACTACCAATTGTGTATACGGGCTATACGAGATATATGTATTAAAAGCAAAAGTTTTGTACAAAATATTTTTGGTCTCCAATTCATTCCACATTATCTCCGTTATCTGCAGCTGGTTCCCCAACGCGGTCGTGTATCCACTGCCGGAAACTCTGTGTTCTCGTGTATATTGTCGGCGACAAAGGGTCACAGTCTGGCCCTTCAGCCCCGTGCCAAGAGGCGATCCCAACCACATCCCACTGCCCGTCTATTCTACATTGAAGCGGCCCTCCTTCGTCTCCCTTGTATATCAAAAATTGCAATGGTACAAATAGAATACACTTCACATTCTTTTGAATTATATCGAGTGCTATTCATTTAATGGAATAATTAAATAAAAGTACCACATTTGGGTCGGACATGCGGGGAAAAACTATTACACGGTATATAGCCTTCGTGTTTTTATAAAGAAATAGCTTAAAGAGTGTGATTTCACTACAGGTGATAGAGCATTTGTCCTTACAGAGCAAGCCCCTCTTGTGTCGCTGAGCTGGTCCATTGTACATATCTGTGTGTCCAAAAGGTCTGGCCCAGTGATGTCTATTTCTTCGTCACATTCCGCCAGACTTATCACGTCCACGTGTGCTTCCTGAAGGATCGTAGGGCGGGTAAAATCTAGGATGAAAAGGATAAATATTGCATCTACTGTACCCGTTGCAGTCGTTTGACTTCGTTTCTTAAAAGATAGCTTCATTTAAGTTTCAGGCATGCAAGTACGTACTTGACGTGAGTCCCCATCCCGTTACGAAACAAGAAACCTGGTCTTCATAGTTCAGACCTGCTGGTGGCACACAGATGTTGTCTACTCTGTATCGCACAATCGTGGCGTTTCTTGCAAGCTGTATTAGCGCCACATCGTTAGCACGGTTTTCAGAAGCGGGGTCAAAGTTTTCATGCTTAAAAGAACAAGAAAGGCACTGATGGATATCGTACAAATGAAGAGCAAAATGGCCGCCATGTAATTTAACACTAGTCTGTTCTTGCATCTGTAAAAAATCGAATTGAACGGTTAAGCAGTTTTCCTGGAATTTGAAAGCAAGATTTGTGTGGCGCTCGTCCACTTACCCGCACGCACCCACGACTAGCATCAGAAAGCGACGACAATATAGCACTTTTTCGATAAAATGCGAGAAAACATAATAAACGTAAACAAAAAAGTGGGAAAAAACATCTTAGCATATAACCGTACATCATATATAAGGATAACAAATCCCAAATATCCCAAACTATGATCTATCGCACACCTTAGGAGGGATGGCGGTGCCCATTTGTGCTCTTAAACTTGACTTTGTATGTTTTGTTGAATTCAGAAAGGGTCCATACAGTCAATATGGTACAACGAAAATGGGACTTCTGCGCATGTTAAAATTTTTCGTCAAAACTCAACTTTTGTTCAAGTTGATACGATTGTCTTTCGAACTAGAGACTTACCTCATTCGAAAGATCATAAAAGACTTTATCTATACTGAAAATCTTAGATCCAAACATAGTAGAATACGCCGTCAGTCCGCATTTGATTTTTTGAAGTGAGTTTCGTAGATCGTCAGATTTCTCCGACTGATATCGGGTTATCTCAAACTGGTTCGTTTATAAATACGAATTTGTTTACCGTTGTAAGGCGCATGCGCAAAATTGATTTATAAACCTTATTGGTTGATGGTTTTTCCCCTGCGCATGCGTGAAGTCTGATGAACACTTATGACGAAGACCGGAGCAAACATTACTAGCTCTTGAACGAAATTCCAAGATTCAGGTCATTTCGCCGTGTTTGCTAAGCGTGTATACGTGAATGACAAGCTGTTTTGAGTAGATCGGGTACCTGTTTTAGACACAACATTGATTTAGCTTGACATTGATGTGCACATTGGCACTTTTGAGCATGTTAATACAAGTTTTTACACTCTTAGCACGAGACGGGTTTTCGAAAAATCTGTTATCTGATTCACTCGATTATCGTATGGATATGTATTTCTGCTGACATTTCAACACCACATCACATAGAATTACGATGCAGAATGATAATAAAACACAAAACAACTACTAAATTCCACTTGTTATTTCACAGGAGGTAAAAATGCAAACTGCCTAGATTCTTTGTAAGGGTCGTCAGACATCGGATTGGCCGCCATATTTGAAATGAAAATATCACTAAATAGAGGTCTGCGCATGCCTCAACATTTCGACTGCATAGTGTGCCTTTGACTAGACTCTTCACCTACCTACAATGGACATATTTTGACAAGACACATACTACACAAGAAAGTGAAAATTAGAGGGTTGCATTTTGGTCACCCTGTATACATTACACAACTTTATTTTAGTGACACTATTCTCATACTCACTCTTATGATCTGTTGGGTTGCAATGGCCTGTTCCTGGCCGTCAGGGGCAGCTAAGTCCAGCGCACCTAGGACAACCCGGTACGTCACTCTACAAAGAAAAGTGCGAACATAGACAGGTAGGATGAGTCTGTTTTTATTGAAAATGATGCACTTTGTTGTTTATACAGTAAAAACTGTGTATCAAACACCAGGCAAATCCGAACACCTCCCATTCTGAAAACCTTCAATTAGAACAGCGAAGAAAAATTAATTATAACCTGTCAAATTAAAACACTTTTCATAAAATAATACATTACATGTTCCATACAAAATTGCTTAATGTTTGAAGTTAAAGGGTGACGCATATCGTTTAGCAAATCGAACGCTCGTTTCTGGTGTTGCTCACCGTTTAGTATAAAAGGCCCGATCCCGGAATAATACTCAAGGGTTCACAGGCTCGAGGTCGTTGTGACAACACCTCTAACTGTTATATAGCATAAGTATATTATAGATCGTCACACATTTATAAAAGGGTGATTTCTATTTTGACAAATCAATTCCACATTTATGGGTGAAGTTTCAGGATCGTATTTATTTGTATAATAAGGAAAAATTGGCATCTAAATTTCCCCATACAGAACTCCCCTTATTTCTTAAAAATCGACTGATCCAGTTGATTCGCCTGGAGCCGCCATATTGTTTTTATACGGGATGCTAATCGGAACCCTTTAAACACTTATTCGTCATGATATCAAAACTTTTGGTAAATCTATGAATGGTCTTATTCATCATGAATGGGACTTTCTAGCATAATTTGAATTTGAATTAGATTTTTGAATCAGATTATTATAAAACTATCATTATGTGGTCAACAAAACTATTAACATTTGAGAATGTGTTCACATTTCCTCAGAATCCAGAATCTTGAATACAAAAAACTCGAAATGTGAACGCATCCTAATCCGAAAACTTTTATCTGGTCCCAATTGCGTTCAGTTTCACGGTACATATCTATACAATTGCAGATAACAGACGATAGTAGGGAGGTTATTTTTTGCTACTAATACAATTTGATCTTTTAATTACTGGTATATACGAAAAGATATTATATATTTTGGCAAGAATTGGCATAGTAGAACTAGTTGTTTCATTCATTTATTTATTGAGCTGATGTACACTCCCTCCAAAGGTTTGGCAACACTAAAGCCCATTGAACCACATGTTAAAACCTGTCATGTTAAATGCGATTCAAAAAATTTGATTTTGGTCAACCGAGCGTAACTGGGGAAAATTCCGCACTAATGGTACGTTCACACCAACGGCGCTTTGATGGCGCTTTAAAGCGGCTTGTAAAGCGGCACCAAAGCGTAACAAAGCTTAATTAAAGCGTCGGGGTCGTAATAGGTCGTAGAAAAGCTCGGGAGTAAAGCGGGATATTCGGCAAGAGCGCTAAAAAATTTAAACTGTTTAAGCGTTCGCACCAACGGCGCTTTGATGGCGCTTTAAAGCGGATTGTAAAGCGGCGCCAAAGCGTAACAAAGCTTGATTAAAGCGTCGGGATCGTAATAGGTCGTAGAAAAGTTCGGAGTAAAGCGGGATATTCGGCAAGAGCGCCAAAAAATGTTAAACTGTTTAAAAATTTTGGGCGCTCTGTTACGAATTGATTGAAGCGCCGAGAGCGTATCAAAGCTTAACAAACCGTAACAAAGCTCAACAAAGCTTGACTCAAAGCGTAGGAAAGCTTAACACAGCTTGGTTCAAAGCGGGGACCCCAGTCTATTCACGGTATGTTACCACTTGACACGCTTCGTTAAGATGTCTCAAGATTTGCTACGATCTGGTATGAAGATCTGACACGAGGTCAGACGCTTTCATCAATATCTGACACTCTTTGTTACACTTTCCTGAGGGACTCTCAAGCTTTCCAACGAATTGAGACGCTTTAATCAAGGATTGAAACGCTTTGCTAGGCTTTGTTACGCTTGAAAGTTTTCACACGCTATATCACGCCGTGCGACAAACGTCATGTCTTCTTCAGATAGGTCATGCTCTGGTCCATCTGGAATTTCTGGATCTCGTTGTTCTGCCATCGTGTTCTCGAGTCAAAGATGCAATGGTTTTATGGATCTACTGCATATTTATATAGTCATTGGATCAAAAGCGGCATAGATCGGCGATCTCGACATTTTCCAATGCGTGACAGAGCTTAACAGAGCGTAACAATGCACAACAGAGTTTTGCAATCGTATCAGAGCCTGATTTAAAGCGTCATAATCGCATCAAAGCGTAATAATGCTTATCAAAGCTTTTCAAAGCGTGATTTCAAGCGTAACAAAGCCTGATCAAAGCGGGATCAAAGCGTGAGGAACCTTTTAGAGCTATGTTAAGCTTTCCTACGCTTTGGATCAAGTTTTTCTGAGCTTTGTTACGGTTTGTTAAGCTTTGATACGCTCTCGGCGCTTAATCGATTCGTAACAGAGCGCCCAAAATGTTTTAAGAGTTTAAAATTTTTTGGCGCTCTTGCCGAATATCCCGTTTTACTCTGAGCTTTTCTACGACCTATTTCGACCCCGACGCTTTAATCAAACTTTGATACGCTTTGGTGCCGCTTTACAAGCCGCTTTAAAGCGCCATCAAAGCGCCGTTGGTATAAAGAAAAATGACAAAAATGACGGCGCTTTGCTCGCCGATTTAAAGCGTGGCATTCGCCGTTGGTGTGAACGTACCTTAACAATAAACTGGCGCATATTCGAACATTTTCGGTTGTGATTTACCATATATACATTGTACTTGGCATACTCACCCATCAGGTACGCAGTTAGCGGCTGTGAGAACCCAGTTATCGCGGATAAGACTGCCTCCGCAATGGGGCTCCCAGTCCCCGGATGGTGCCCTACGCTGCACACTTGCCATCCATGGCCAATGTCCTAAGCTGGCGTCCACACCACCTAGAATCTGACTTCCTGCACGTGGGATTTGACTTCTGGTTCCGGAGAATGGAATTTTGGTTGTATAATTCCCACAATCACTTCGAGGTATCGCTTTATGGAAACAGACATTCTGGTTAACTTTAGCGTTAGGTTTTTGTGTGATGCTTCCATTTCATTTTAAAAATGCAAAGCGTGGTTTCAGGTGTGACATAAAACGGAGCCGTGAAATGTCCATTTAGGTTGACGTTAAAAGCAATACTTACCTCTCACCAAGGTGAGGACAGATACCAGCAAAAGGAAAATCATCTTCATGAAACGAAAACTGCACACAGAAATAAACCAATTTGGATCTAGATTTATAATGGTCATAAGCGCAATGAACAATATGCCCATATTTACCGTCCATCTGTTTTGCATTAAAAGTTCTCAGATAGTATATATTCAATATAATTCAATTCAAATATATTATTTTTATTTTTGGAGACATACTTTCACCAAACTATAAAACAGTTACATATGAAAATACAATGTTATAATAATACATTTACAGTCTTTTTTTTAGGCGTAACAATAATTTTTTGTGGCACAGAAAAACAAAACGTGTTCCTTAATATTAGCTAGTCATTCAAAAATGAATGCTCGCCATAAATCATGAACTCAATTTCAACTATAGCAATTAGCTCCCTTCTTATCACAATTCTTGCTTTTCTCCATAGCCTATTTACCAGTTGTGTCATATTGTAGGGAGAACAATGACGTGGAGGGTTTTAGTGCTTGCTGCGTTCGGTTCTGCTATTTTGGGCCAAGTGAAGTTGCAACGTAAGTAATATGTCGTAATCGGAATAAACTTATCGTGGAGCCTAATACATATATCACTGGTCAGTATCAAGCGAAGGTAACGACCGTAACCTTTGCATCAAAGATGGCGGACGGTAAGTGTCGATTTCGATATTTTTAGTTTGAACTGTGGCGCCCACTCAGGATATATGAACAAAGTATCATACCCCAGTCCACGTGTCATATTTAGCCTAATTTGGTTCAAATATCCAAGCATAACGTCAACTATAAAGTAGTTTAATTCGATGAAAACAAAATAGAAATATCGAAATCGACCGTCCACCATCTTAGATGCGAAAGTTACGGCCGTTACCTTCGCTTGTATGCCTATGTACCTTATTAACGCATCAAAATCGATTTTATACGCCATCAATAATGACTTTGAACGGCTTCAAAAATTATCTCGAACGGCGTAAAAAACTGTATGTGATACGTAAATTATATCTTAGCGGGCATCCAATCAAAATTAGCGTTGCAATTTGTGTTTCTTTTTTAGAGTGCGGGAAGAAACCTGCTCAAAGACCTTGGGGCACGCAGATCGTTAACGGGCGTACTGCTGATAGGGGTTCCTGGCCCTGGCAGATAAGCCTCCGCTTCAGTGTCAATGCTACCGGTCAGGAGCCTTTCAGACACACATGTGGAGGAGTCCTTGTACACGAGAACTGGGTCTTAACAGCGGCGCATTGTATTGATGCCGAGTAAGCAATCAGTGGGATACTGTAACTACAAAGACAACATCAATCAATGACCTTACATTCTGAACTAGACCTACGAGACCAAGTCAGTCATTATAAATACTAGCACATTAAAAGCAAGAATCGAGTCAGCAAATGACAAAACGAGATGTACTTGGGGCAATCCAGAAATGATCATCACAGATATTCACAAAAGTCAAAGATGGCATTCATTGTGGTTGCTTTGTATCTTTTCTTATCAAACCAATTAATGCGACACCTTAAAAATTCGGACCCCGGGGGTTTTACTCCAATATACCTCTTAATACCTATGTGACTTTTTGAGCATTTTTTCCATGTTAATTTCATCTCAAGATTGAAAGTTTCCATGTATACTTCCTCTCAGACTTAAAAAGGGAATATTATTATATGTTACTACAAAATCCACTTTTTGGGTGATTTGTCCAAGACCTCGCCAACTGATTTTAATGATTTATTACCATTTTTTTGTAGAAAAACAGATTTTTTTACTTAAAAAGGGCTCTCTCTTCGACGAATTTTCTATGTTTTTCCTCTCAGATTGGTCAGGTTCCATGATTTATGCCCTAAGCCAAAATTGCCCATGCTGCACATACCTACCCAAATTATTTTGAGTGAACCCCCGGGATTCGGACAACATGTAATCCAGTTATCCTTTTCCACATAGGGCTGGTGGCGACAATCCTGCTCGAGAAGATGTCAACAACTTTGTGGTGGTACTAGGAGTTCATGAATGGAATCTAACTGGATCTGAGCAGGTCGTCAGAGTTACACGATTTGAAAAAGTAAGAAAATGTTTAGGTCTTCGAGATTGGACATTTTCTGTCCCACATCATTTCGGACTGAAAGCTCTATCTTGTATGAATGCAAATTACAACTATTTTTGATGTTATGAGTTTTGGGTATCGATTTTAAATTTATTATTCAATATAAATTGTAATGACTTTAAATGTCCCTTGGTGCTATGGTCTCGGATTGTGATATACTTGAATGGTAGGGGGGGGGGATGTTAGACACAGTTTCTTTATAAGTTGGATTATGATTTGGGATAGTTGTGCTTTGTTTTTCTTAAGATATTTTCCTTTTCTTGGTGCATTCTGTAAACATTTTTGGTACTTTCCCGTTGGCACTTGACCATGCATAGAAAATGCGTCATTTTCATTCTTTCCATTCGTTGAACTGTCGGACCCGGCAAAATACACGCACCTCTCATGTAAGCTGGTGTACTTATACAACTATCTGACGAACGTAATTTGCTTGAAAAACAGATGGAACGCCAGTATTTAATGTCATTTTTCAGCATAATAGATTCCAGGCCGCGCCTGAACTCGGATTCCCAAATGACATCGCGTTGATCCGTCTGGCGGAGCCTGCACAGGTGAATAGAGCCGACATAGAGCCAGCGTGTCTTCCAGATTCAATGCTTCTCAATGTTTCTGGAAACCCCAACTGTTGGATCAGTGGCCTCGGCCTCACTAACTGTAAGTGATTCCTCAAAATGTCTATCATTAAAAACAATATGTATTTTAGGTATAGTTTGTCCAAGTTCGTGTTTGTAGGATGATACATTGTAATCCAGATTATGCTCTTGTTTTGAAAGCTCAAGACTATGGTTGTCTAATTTGAAAAATGTAGATGTCGGGGGTAGACGCGTGATTTTAAAAAGTTATTCAATTACCTCCGAGTTTGCTAATGGCGCTCAATCTGCAAATATTTTTTTTTTTTTATTTAAGCAATTTTTCCTTGGCTGTGTCCATTTAGACATTAATAGCCAAATTTTTACATGATATTAATAGGCAAATTAAGCATTTATTAACTGCAAATATCATGAGTCGATTTGAATGACAAAATTATATCGGACTGTTTTTCAGTTTTTGACTATACATTACCGGACGAGTTGCAAGAGGCTCATATTCCGGTGTTGACTTACGAGGAATGTAGTTGGGAGGTGCGTCTTTTGATCTATCTGCGTCAAACGCATCTGTGTATCAGTAATGGCGACGACGACGTACCCGTAGCATGTCAGGTATGAACTTACCTTAATCAATATGGACAATGGGTGATGATACTAAATTTTACATGGTTCTCACTCAAACCCTAAATTTGATCGAAACGAAATTTAAACGAAATTAAAGAACACGAAGTGAAGCATAAGTCAAAAATGTTTTATTCTTGCAGAGTTATTTATTTTTGTTAAGGTTACTTTAAATGATGCATATAGTGTTGAATGTAATATAAGATATTCTAAATATACGGGCAACTGTGCACTGTTATTAGACTTTGGCATCCCTGATCAATAAAAATGGTATACATTTGAGAATGAGCTTATTACACAATGGTCATTACAATATTTTAGGGGGACAGCGGAGGACCGTTATCGTGCCTAGTGACTGACAGCGCTGGGAACGAGAGGTGGACGGTCTCCGGAATTACATCTTTCGGACTAGCAGGGTGTGAGGGCTTTCCGAGTATATACACGAAGGTAGCCTCCTACAGAGACTGGATTCTCGACAGAATATATACTTAGAAATTATAACTTGTACATTAGCAAATATATAAGAAATAAATACATATAGGGTGCAAACTTTTCTGAGTATATTTCACGAAAACCTACGTGGCGTCTCGAAAAAACTGGGATAAGCCTGAAAATCGGAGTTTCTGTGCTGAAATGGGAATACTAATATGAAGATAAGTTTTGCTTTTTATTTATTGAATTGTATTGTTTCAATCTAGAATTCTCATAATTTCTACGACATTAAAGCTTACAGTAGTGTGACATTCGAAGAGACATTATCAAATTCCATCTATAGTGGGATCGACAGCCCGTAATATCTATTGGAATACAAGCATCAGATAGATGGCTCTGTGTGGTAGAGCCCATGATCTGATAAATCAAAATGAAACCCACCAATTTCCCCATATGCTCGTACGTTACACTTAATTCATCTATGTGGTCTCAATTATTTTTAAGAAAAATGCAGACTGTCCCATTTTTGATGTTAAACCTTCATAAACGATATCATATTTATTCTGTAAGATGAATGCAATGTAAACGTAAACTATTCAAAGGATAATTATTACATAGGTTACATTTATTTAATGATAATATAGGTACGTATAAGGTTATAAAAGTTGCCATTTTTCAATGCATCAAGTATGTAACATGCACTAAGGTGAATACCGTGACCTACATTTTGACTTCAATTTAAATCGGACCCGTAAATGACTGGTATGAAATAATGACGAGGCATTTGGGAGTGTACACAAGGCCATGTTTCAATTTCTCAATCTTTTTTAAATTGATAAGAAATACACTTAGTACCTTGACATATGTCATTATTAATCATAAATATATCTCGAGAAACCACAGCAGCTTGTAGGCTATTTTCACTTGCATACGCACCAAGTGAAGATGTTGTGGATTCTTCTTGTTGCTGGCATAGCATATGGCCAGGGTAAGACTCGCTAAACTAAATTCAGTAACAACTCCTAAAAGCAAAGCAGCATTAAATGATGGAATACTAATAATGATTTAATGGTTATTTGGATTATTATTTTCAAAACAATTTAATATTTTTTCATTGCTTCTTACGTAATTTGTATTTCCTTTAAATTCACCGAGATCATTTTGTTTATTTTGAAGATTGTGGAGCCAAGCCTCCCCAAAGACCATGGGCCCCTGCGATCACGAATGGTCGAGACTCAGATCCAAATGCTTGGCCTTGGCAACTCAGTCTAAGGTACGACCGACTTGACATATTCATTTGATATTATTTGCGTTGTTTAACTCAAAATTTCAAACTACCCAAACAGAAACACTATTGTTTCCTCTTGGAAACACATTGGAAATGCACCCAGTGAGGTTTTTGCTGATATCAGGCTTTTTATTCCAGATATAATGCCGATGGAGTGGAACCATTTGGTCACACTTGCGGAGCCTCACTCCTTAGCCCTAATCTGGCCTTGACTGCTGCTCATTGCGTTGACCCAGAGTACGTATTTAATCAACGTTTAACCTGCTAACATTATAGTCAGAACTCTGGGCACCACCTCCGTCTTAAAATAAATGTACGACACACTAATATTGTGGCAGGACAAATTACAAGAGAATGTAATTCTTCTTCAGACTAATCAGACATTACTGTATATCGTCCAAAAGATAAGGGAAGTCACAAAATGTGTTCTGAAGGGGGTTAAGAGGGTGATTAGTCAAAATGTCAAGCTTTTAAAATTTTTGGACCTGTAAGGTGTTGAATCCTAAAATGTTCACAGTTTAAATTTTCTAGTGTTGAAGTTGAAGTGAACGCATCGTTTATTGTCACATGTTGCAATTCTGTCATATATTCTATTTGTTTCAGAATTGGAGGCCCAGAACGTGACATCCCAGCCAATTTTAGACTTATCGCCGGGGCCCATGCAATGGAACTGACTGGAAGTGAACAGGTCCTTAGCGTCTCCGAAATCATTAGAGTAAGTATTTTTCCGGCTATATCCAACGTCCGATCACAGGGCTTCAAAATCCAGAATATATTCTTTCTTTTTACCCCCTGCGATAAGCAGTTAGCATTTTCCCGATTAAGAACTCGCAATTTGATTGGCTGTCGCAACACTGCGACAGAAATCATGTATAAGTCATTGCGCATAATAAGATCATGTGATTCAGTTTAATCGGGCGCTTCAAAATTGGTTATAGCAGGGGGGAAGAAGGAGGTACGGATTCTGGATACCTGCTTAGGAGGATGGCTATATCATAATATCAATTTTAGGTCCAAATGGGAGTATCCCACTAAAAATTCCATTTATTTAGTTTCACAATTTTTTTATCTTAAATGTTTTTTATCTAGTCGTGTTTTGAACGTAGATATCAGTAATCACCATTAACACACGAGAGGAGGGTTGAACCATGGAAGTCGTAATTTTTTGTAATTCCCCTCAATCTGAAATCCTTGGAAATACCCAGATTACACCGGATATGCCCTCTGAAATCCAACGGAAAATATTAGTCGAAGAAATTCCCATAAAATCGCATTTGCTCTATAAGTCAGAAACCCTCAGATTGTACCAAAAGGTCTTAAAACATGTTAATTGGGTATGATGGCCCAAGACATCCCTCTCTAAATATAATGAGACAGGCCTGTCTGCGTTTGGAGTGTTTTTTGTTATCGAGGTCACCCATCGCTAAATTCGTCCTTATGCAACCCAAACGATATGATGTATGTATATATGTCACTTTATTTCAGCATTCCCGTTATGTTGCTGACTCCACCATCGGATTCCCCAACGATATCGCTCTTTTGAGGCTCGCTGCCCCCGCTAATCTGGATGACCCCAATGTGGCGGTTGTCTGCATTCCCGAAAACTCCACCCATCTCTTCGATGGAAGACCCAATTGCTGGATGACTGGATGGGGACTCGTTGACTGTAAGTCAAGTTTAATACCATTGTCAACGGTATGATGGTCCCAATGAAATATCCCATTCATCTTTCATATGTGGCACTTAATTATCTATCCTGAATGAGTATATATAAACTGATGATAAGGAAGTGGGCAATCTATAAAGAGGGAACATACTTGGCGGATACCCATCCTCCGAACGCAGGAGTCTAGGACATCCACTCTGTTCCTTCCAAAGTCGATGATGTATGTAACCCTCCGTTCGGAGGATGACTGAGACCCAAATTCCAATTTTACTAGATTCAAGAAATGTTGAGCATAAAGGATGAAATTAAAAAGAAAGGTCATCTATGATCCAATGCATGAATCATTTCCTGAAATTCAAACGAAACGCAGTTTCCTTTTATTTATGATCTTGCCAATTGATTGCTGTAAATCTTGTAGACTATCAAAAACCCTCTTTATGTTCAATTTAGGTTAGTTCGATACACGTCCGTATTTATTGTTTGGCGATAACTTTTGCAAAATTATTTTTGATTGAGATGCATCGATCACGTTTTTAATTGTTCCTGAAATGGGATAGATATATCTTTTGTGGTTCCTGAATAAGGAGGGTTCTATTTTAGTCTGGGATGGCCGTCTCCCCACAGTGCTTCAAGAGGGAGAGCAGGAATTGCTGACCAACGAAGAGTGCCAGGCAGAGTTCCCATTCCCTAACCTTAGAGAGACACATCAGTGTGTTGGCCGTGGTGCAGATGGCACTCCAGGAGCCTGCCAGGTATATGGAATTCGTTGTACCCTTTTCTGAAATTCATTACACCACGTCTAGCATAAGCGGGGGACGAACCAATCTGAATCATAATCGTATGTCTTTTAAGTGAGGAACTAACAATACTTCTACTGTTTTTAATGTGATACACAGGGCGACAGCGGTGGACCATTGACTTGCTTAGAGGACAATGGAAAATGGTATCAGGTTGGAGTGACATCTTTCGGTATCCTTGGATGTGAAGGGGCGCCATCTATGTACACCCGTGTCGCCGCCTATCGGGAATGGATCATTGACAGAATCAACGCCCCATAGAATAATTTCACAATGAAATGTAACAATACCAATCCGAAATAAATGATAAATCACTAACTAGGTCAAACCCAATTTCAATGAGTATGTCTCGAGGAGATAGTCGAAGTGACAGGTTTTAATCCTAACTCCTCCTGTGTCTTCACTATTTATCATTTGGTTAATTCATCTGCAGAAACTAGAATTCAAGGCCGTTAACAATTTTGTTCTGTCCGAGAACAGCTACGCCTATCCGTCCGTCAGGGCAATAGCTCAAATGACGTTGGCCCAATATCGTTTATAATTCATACGTACGTGTGAGTATAGTACAAGTTTGTTCAAAAGGCGATTTTCAAATCCATTATCAATAAGACTAAGATTTTAAAGTTTTCTGACTAATTTATTTAAAAAGTTCTATTAGACAGGTTAAGCTATCCGCTTTAAGGGAACTTGTATGGTTCTCTGCTACGTTGTATGTATTCACATGAGTGAGTATAAGGTATAAGGAAAATAATTGAATTTAGGTCACTGAGAAAACAATTTAAGAGGGTGTTGTAATCCCTTGGGGTCATATTACACGTCTCACGTACAAATTCTCTTTAAAAAGTGTAGCTTAAGCTCCCTATTATCTTGATACGTTTACGTGAATTAATGTAGAAAAAACTAATTTTGAATAGAAAAAAAATAATTTTAATTACCCACTTTATTGTCCACATCTAATATCTCAAGCCCACTACGACATATCAGCTCGTTTATCTACAAGCTGATATGACATTGTGGGCTATTAACGAGCTTTGAAGTCATTTCGAGATGTTCGTTTTTACTAGAGTGCAAAAATATTACACAAGTCTTATGTACATTATGTATATAACGTGAAAACGAGTCAAAATGTGTGAAAATATGACGTGGAAGTCAATCCAGCAAACTGTAAAACGCACAATATCAGATAACATAGGTTTTAGATGAAAATAGTCCCCCTGATTGTCCACTTGTTACTGCAATGTTCTTTGTCCGAAGCGTAAATGACAAGTGACGTCACTTGGTTTTTCTGAAGGGTCCTTCATGATTTCATAGAGATTTCCTTGTTCTGGTTTCTTCTCATAGTCTAAAATTCCACATCAGTAATATAAGCGATAGAAGTGAAACAGTAAACCTGTCTCGTGTCGTGCGTCTTTGTAAGCGAGTGCTAGTTGATATACGAATGTCTAATTTACTTGAAGAGGACGACACATGTGACGATAAGTACACTGAGTAGGATAGAAGGTTTCAGAAAGGCGCCATTGTTGCAGTTCTCGCCAGTACATGAGCATGTCCAGGTGTCGCTTTGAACAACCAGGTTAAACGAAACTTTGTCACATGTTACACTGGCTCGTGCCGATGATGGGGTAGTTTCGGAGCAACCACGCGAGAGGCTATAAACTCCCAGATCTAGAAATGAAAGCGTAATTTTTAGTATTTAAGGTCTTGTGATACTTAACAGGAAATGACAAAACAGGAAGTAACAGTAAGTAGCAATGAATATAATATGCCACTTCCAGCACAGTTTTGTCGTATAGAATAGCCCATATACGTATATTGTTTCTATAGTGAGCATTTCAATTGCACTATTTTGATGAAGGATAAAATAGCAAAGATAAATAATTTTGCAATTCTGGCCTTATTTTGTGACTCGACAAATCACATACACGTAGGCCTTTGACATGTTCGAGTGTATTAATGCATCTGCATGATTCAGCACAAGTGATGATAATTCCAATAATTCAAAAATTAAAAATTGAACCCTTCAAAGACTGCCTCATGCCCCACTAATGCCTTGGTCACATTTGCTCCGATCCATCTGCCGGCGCCCGGCCGATTGAGTGTTTTGTTCAAATTTGTATTCAATTTTGAACAAAATACTCACTCATCATAGCAAATGTGACCAAGGCATTACGTAGTAAGTGTAGTTGGGTACGAGTTGCGAGGTTTTTTATACAAGGCCGTTAAAACAACATTCCCTTGCGTCCTACCAACAATAGACGTTCCAACGCTATTGATTTTTGAATCCAAATAGTATTTTATAAACAAGTACGTGACGTGAAAACGGGTACAGGTTCTAAATCGAAATCTTAAGGTATCATTGTTCAATGAAAATACTTACTAGTTGTGGTTTTGCTCTTTGTGCAGTATGTACCCTCGCAACAGTTGTTCGCAGTTGAACAAGGTGCCGATGCGTCAGCTGTCATGGAAAAGCTGTCATCTCCGCAATCGCCACTTGAAGAAGCAGTAGAACAAAAGTAACACCTTTCAGCACAGGCTGGAGTAAAGAAAATATACGTGAAAGTGGTACTTGGGAATACGTCTCTGTATGTTCAGAACGTGTGAAACTATGAGAATTCAATGTTTCGATTTTGTAAATCTACGTTACTGGTGTCAGAGAATATAAAGCCCCCCCCCCCTAAAATATATAATCCGGGGATCACAATCCTTGGAACATTGAGGTTTTGCGGACCTGGGTTCCTAATAGTCTTACCCGGACTACATTATACGCGTTGCTTTAAAATATATTCCCTGACAAAATAAACTGAAGGACAATTATTTCACACAGTTCCTCAACAAACATTAAGACGACCACCTCTTATCTACTCTCAGTATCTTGGCAAAATGGAATTTTTCAATTCATTTTGAACTACTTTATTGAGATAGTGACACTGGTTTGATTTAACTGAAATGTTTTAGTTATAGTTTTCATATTCCTGAATAACGAGATTTACAAACAATTTATTTACTCTACATCCTTCTCTCAATGAAATCATTCTGTTGATTAACCCACTTACCGGTGTACACCAATGCAGCTATAAGAAGCAGGGACGCTTGGAAGATCTTCATATTTATTTCAGGAAGTCTCTGGCTTGTAACTTACACTCTGAAGGCAGGCAAAAAGATGGTGTATTTCCTCCAAAAGATATTATATCATAAATCGTGTTGGTATAGGAATAGAACATGCTCCCGTGTAAAGAAAGTAGTCTCACTATCTCCAGATTACTGAATATTTTTCTCTTTTTGTACATTAATTCATCTACTTCATTTATTTATTTTTTATTAATTCATTCGTAAGGATTAATCCAAAGTTACATAATTTAGTAGGGCTAATCGCCACGATGGCATTTTATTAATTGTTAGAACATTAGCAGCTGAAATTAAATACTAGATATGATATATGCGAATTGCGCCATTTTGGATGTTCCCCCTATGTTCGTTTTTGAAAATCAAGACAACTAAGTTTTATTGCTTTCGAGATTTTGTTATTTCTCCCATAAGGGTTGTGAAAGCGTTCTAAATCTCTCATACTTTTTCATCGTTCGGAATATTGTCACCATTAACTTCTAGCTGGCTGTCCAAAGATGAGTATTAACATTTAATTAACAATATAGAAATAAGAATATACACTTTTTCTTACCTGAGATTTGTCTCCGAATGAAAATGGGTCAGTGTTGTGAAACTTTTATTTGGCAAAACAAGGTGTCATTGCTTAGTGATTTTTGAATAGACATTCAGGGTGATTTTTGAATAGACATACAGGGTGGCCAATAAAATTGGAACATTTTTTATCTATTCAATTTTCTTTATTATAGCAGGTCAATCCACAAAAAATCAGATAATGGTAACATGATTACTTGTGACAATGTTAAAGATAAAAAATGAATGAACATAATTATTTTTGTCTTGTCACGGTAAAGATCTGTATACATCATGTGTCATGGAAAATTTCAAAATCGTCTCTGCTTGAGACATCACCGCTGAAAATCATCTTTCATACCACACAATATGTACCCTTCAAATCGTCTCAACATAATTTCCATCAATCAAAACATATTTAGTTATCTCCAAGACAAGCTAAACATGTCTTCGGATAATAAAGCTTAACTGAGCTCAGCTGTTTTTTAAATCTGGCACAATATGTCTCAAAACCTATCATTGATATAGCTAAGACTAAGAGGGGTTGAGGAAATGTCCAGGAACAAGAACAGTTGTATTCTCAGCAGTAATGTCCCAAACGGACAATTTTTGTTGGCCCACCCTGTACATTCAAAAGATTTTCTCAGGTATCATTTGAGGGCAATCTCTCGTTTACTTTTTATTTTGTTAAGAAATACACAAAACACCATTCATTGCTTAGTACTATTTTTTATGTTTTATAGGCCATGATTTCAAAAGATTTTCTTAAATATCATTCTCCAGTGTCTAAGATACGACCTTTATGTACTAAGAGGTGAAAGGAGATTAATCGATACGTATGGAGTGTGCAAAATATTTGCTTTCTTAGAATCAATATACTTTAGCTAAAAAAAACATGAATCAACAGTTTTTCATCTCAATAGCCCATTTGCGGATCTTATCAAGGCTGCGTTTTTAAACTGCCTGCATAATATATATCACGTATTCTCCCTAAGCACGATAAACCTCGTTAAAACATTACACAATTCACTAGCACCACGGGCATACAAAAATACAGTGTTGGGACGTATTTTTTCTTCTTTCCACAACCTTTTTTTTACTAAACACTTAACAGGACGTTTCGGATCCTGTCTGGATCCTTTTTCAACTGTATAAAAACTGAACTGAAGCACTACAAAACAATTAAATAAAAACAATATTACGTCATATTAATTCACCAGAAATTCATTCCAAATTCCCGCCAATTTATAGTTCCCTTGATCCCTGTTCATATTATTATCATTCGTTCTTCTTTATAAAAATATATTCTTTAATCCATCTTTCAATTCTCTTATTGTCATTGTCCAAAACCGTAGTATTGTTCCAGTCCATTACACAATTATTCTGAAGGACGTGGTCCGTAATGGCTGATTTTAGACCCCCTCTCATATTTTATTTTGCTTGGCGCGTGTAACGTGAATTGTCCCTCGAATCTGCTTATATCTTATGTTCTTTAATTCTAACTTTCAAAGGTCTTGAGGTTTCTCCTATATACGATTTGTTACACGTTTTGCAAGGTACCTCATAAATGTAACTCCTGATTTATCATTAATGTCTATTTTGTCTTTAGGGTGGACTAACATATTTTTCATGTAGGGTTTCACTGCTGCATTCATTTTATGTTTTCTAAAAATTCACTGGGGCTTATCCGTCGTACCTTTGATATACGGTAACACTACGGTTCCTAACAGCTTTTCCTATTCATCTTAATTGACCTTACGTTTTACATTTTTCATTGTTGAGGAAGCGGTCCACAATTTCCCAACGCAGTTTTATACAGTTGAAAAAGGATCCAGACAGGATCCGACACGTCCGTCCTGTTTAGTAAAAAAGGTTGTGAAAAGAAGAATTAGAATATTTTTGTGATTTAATCCAACCCGAAGAACATGTTTGAGAGTGTTGGAAAGGTTCGGAGACATTGCGACCACAAGAAGATTGGATGACATAGAAACTCAATCGTCCCATTTGCGGATCTTATCAAGGCTGCGTTTTTAAACTGCCCGCGGGCATAATATATAACACGTATTCTCCCTAGGTATCACGAAAAACAACAATGCACTCATGCGTTGCAAATTACATGCTCGCACATTTTCAACAAAAGCCCTTATGACACAAGCTGTTAAATAAGATAGTCGAGAGTCTTGAAGCAAGACTAGAAACTCAACATTAAACATCAATTGTTCCTATGTCGCGTCTGGACGCCACGATCCTTCAATATCTTCGACCGCCTAGGGCGGTCCGTTCGCAACTTTGCAGTTCACGTGTCGTATTCTAAGTGGTAGAAAATATCGTTGGATCATGGCGACCACACATCTAATAAAGTACTATTTATCAATACGCAAAGTTTCTATGCCATGCAACCTTGATATGACCGATACTTATTTCGAATTACCTTGACAATAGTAGTTTAATTCAATGAACATTAGAAATATCGAAATCGACACTTACCATCCGCCATTTTTAAAAGTGAATGTAACGGACGTTCCCTTTTCCGGTGCAGTCAGAAAAAGTTGTCAAACAGAAGTCTTTGGTTACAGTCAACAGTTTTCTATAGAGATTCAAATACAATGCGACAAATAAAACACTTAAAAATTCTGATTGAAACACAAAAGTGGAATATACGTTTTTGAATATACGTATTTGTTCAGCTTTTTCTTTTACGTTACGAGGTCATAGTCCTACAGGAAGGACGTAAGTTACAGATATGATAAATCAAAACTTACTTTTATGTCAAAATCTGTTTTCGAGAACAAAAATTATTATTTAAAAAATATATTAAGTAGGTGCAGTGGTAACCGTCACCTGTCGTTTTAGTTAAAAGGTCAATGAATACGTTTTTCATGAAATATATCATAAATCAGATAAATGTTCTTGTATCAGTTTAAAGCAAGTTTGTAAGAAACTCTTTAAGTTGGTTTTTCATCAATTAATTCTTGTCAAAGCAGCCATCGGGACATATCCTTGGCAAGAGCTATCTTCTTGCTTCTCAAAGTAATTTAGTTCTTCGCTGTATTTGTAAACCATTACTAGTTGTTCCCCTGAAAAGCAAAAAGTAAAATTGCCGCCATTAGTATTTTTGCAAGAAAACCGGAATCACAAAAGAAGGATATCGATGTTTTTCTCTTAAACCGATCATTGAAAACATTCTGTAAAAAACACGGTATTTTATGTAATGTTGACTGATTGACAACAATTTAATGCGAAAATTATTTAGAAATATTTTATATAACTGTTTTTGCTAACATTTTTTGTTTTTTTGTTTTTGCTCCTTTCTACCAATTCTTGAGAATGGAATAAAATGTCTTTCCGAAACCTTGTTTGAACAAAATAGCATATACAACATGTTTTTAGATCTCTCAATATTATAGTTATACAAAGGAATTATTAGTTGATTTTGAAAAAGTATTCAAAAAATTAAAACAAAATCTCCCCAAAATAGATAAAAATCAAGATAAACCTTTTATTTCATTAACAAGATACTTTTTTAAAATCAACCAAAATTTCCTTTGTACAATTTCAATATTGAGAGACCTAAACATGTTGTGTTTATGTCGTTTTGTTCCAATGAGGTTCGGAAAGATGTTTCATTATACTCTGGAAACATGATACCAATAACAAAACAAGTGTTTCATGTGTTTTCTAAAACAATATAGATGAAAGTATATAGTAGCCCGGACAGAATTGTTCAATGGTCACTTTTTCTTTAATAACTTTTTTAATTATCAGTATTATCAAAATCTGATTACATATTTGAAAACTAGAGTAAAATTCTGACATCCAAAAAAAATATTTAAGGAACATCTCTTAATTTATTGATATTATAGGCGTTCATAGTATGAGTGACGCAAATACATAGTTCACCATTTTGTCTCATATTTGTCAAAAATGGCGGCATGTTTTGTGGTTTGAATGTTCAGTTGAAAGTTAATATTTAAGATGTGTCATAGGCCTACGACATCATGTAGACTGCTGCCTTGGTATGAGGTTATGACTGCATTTATAACATTTTGTTTTAAATTGACTTGTATGTGTACCAGTACTTAAAAAGGTTTGTACATTGTATGTACAGTGTATTGGTAAGGTCGCAGGACTTAACGTTTTTTGGCCACTCCATTGCTACTCGTAGTGGATTAGCAACCCTAGTTCGTTTAGTGCAACTATAGGGTCATACTGCCACAGTTTGTAATGTCTTTTCCAGTCACTCGCCTTTTAACCCATCCTTGGCATGCATGTGAATTGTTCTTCAGCTTTTCAATAGTCTCTGAGATGGCTGTTTGGAGATGGCTATTTGGCTGTATATCTTGAAAAGATTGAGGACCTACTCTCATCACACCCCGCACATTGGGGCGCCACCTTTTCACAACCTCTTGAACACAACCCCGAACATTTCATTAGAGTTGATTTCATATACCCTTGGAGGGAGTTGACTTCTTGTATTTGATGATTGGTCAGTTGCTGCATTACATCAGAATTGTAATGGTGGCAGCATGGCCCTATAGTCCTATGACAATCTTTAAATATCAACTTTCAACTGAACATTCAAATTTACAAAATATGCCACCATTTTGAACAAATATGAGGCAAAATGATGAATTATGTATTTGCGTCAGTCATACTATGAACGGATATAATATCAATAAATTAAGAGATGTTCCTTCAATATCTATTTTGCATGTCAGAATTTTACCCTAGTTTTCAAATATGTGATCAGACAATGATATTACTGAAAATTAAAAAAGTTATTAAAGAAAAAGTGACCATTGAACAATTCTGTCCGGGCTACTATGTATTTTTCAAATTATATTGTTACCATTCAAAAGATGACCATTAAATTGATGATGTGTTAAATTTTTAGATTTTTTCCATGACTGGTTTAAGAGAAACGTGTGTTCAAAAAGTTCTCCATATCGATACCACTCCTTTCTTTCTTAGTGGTATGTTTCAATTGTGATCTTCACCCGGAGAAATTATGGTCCCCAGGGGATTAAGGTCCCCTTTCTGGCCCTCAATGGCCCTGATTGTGTAAGAAAATAAGGGAGAGTTGCAATTAGGTCACCATATAAATCAAGAGAGGATAAGAGTAGGACCATAATTTGATAGGACCTACCCTTTTACACCTGATTTATTTTGAAACTTGACGTCTTATTTTTTGTTAAGTTCGAAATATCTTTGGCTGATTCCTTACTTTTACACTCAACCACTCCGTATTGCACGTTTTTGAAATAGGTTCACATTTATGGAAAATGATGCCAAACCAAAAATATTTAATATAATCAACCTAATAGATGGTGTTCAGATATAAAATCAATTCTCAATGATACAGTTAAAAATGACCACTATAACCAGAAACGATATCTAAGATGAGTCAGTAAACGCTTGATCCAAGACTACGTGAGTGATCTATGACCCGAAAACAAAGAATCTTGGGTGTGAATGTTTTATATTCTGAGTTGCTTAGTTGTTCATTTAGCAAGAAACTCGGATGTTATCCATGAAATGGTACCTTTACTCAATGAGAGTTCTTCTAATCCCCGCGCAGCGTACTCATCGACGGCTTCATATAACTGATAATCCTCGACAGGTTTCAAAGCGTTAGCATTTGTGCCATCTTCCACTGGCTCAGTATTGATGTTTTCGTATGTTGCATCTAGATTGTCATCGGATGAAAAGTCATCCCAAAAGCTCTCTTCTAGCGTATTGTCCATTGGTTCCACTTCTTCGGCTGGAGGGATATCATTCTGGGAGGGGTCGAAATGGAAAACAAGGTTATAATCCTAGTTCACAACCAACACGGCATTAACATGCAAAATATCACCACCTGCCATTTGTTACTGACTCATACCACCATTTCATACAGACACTGTTAAGACGCCGAACACAATTCGTAAAAAGTTGTAGACTATAACAATATGTCACCACTTCAACACAATAACACAACAATAGTAGAGCCTGGTCTAAAAGCGTAAGTAGGTGGATCTGACCAGTCAGTGGTAAAAAGGGCTAATGTTTATTACATCATAGAGCTCTACAATACCTTATTTTCAATCGTCTCTGTTCTTTTTGCATATTTCTTTCTGGATGGTTTAATTGGTGCAGCATTGCCATATAAATTGAAGGAACATGAATCCTGAAACGATGAGGAAATACATTCTTTAAATTTATTTAACAGCAATCAGCCTATGTTAGAGAGGTGCTCTTCATTTATTTGATCTTATTTAGGTTGAATTCCACATAAATACAAACACACAGATGAGGCGGTACGTGGGTATAAAAACATAGCACCAGGTATGATATTTTGAAAAGGAGAACATATTGCAAAGTAACCTTTCAATTCAATGAAATAAAGATTTCTTAATAGAATAGACACTAACAGTAAAAATGTGAGCAAAACATATTCACTATTAAGAGGCATCAGGGCATGTAATGTCATCATAACTTCTATATCTCTGCAATAAACACATTCTAGTCTTGTGAGTTTGACAGTACTGCCATCTTTTAATAAACATTCTTTACAATTTTATAAAATCGACATCCCAAATTCACGATATCCATGAATTTCGGGTTATCCTATATTAATTTATTTGATGCAAATAATTATGAACAAATACATCTCGCCAATAACCAAAGAGATAATAGAACATAAAGGAGATAATACGAAAGCCCTTTTGGATAAGTTAGGACCGGTAGTGGTGGGACAAGGGGGGACCATAATCATATATGGAATAAGATTAGATATATATGGACGATGGATTTTTAGAAAATAGACATGGCAGACAATGTACACAGGCTGGTATCGAAAGATTTGTCCGCAGTGACGGAGCATGCTATTTTTCATAAAAACATTAAGAATGCTTCACGATTTATTTTTTAACACATATGTTTCGTTATATCAAAGATAATTTCTTACTCCATACAATGGATATATCATTTGCGTGTAACCTTCACTTCTGTTTGAAGTCCAATAACGCTTGGAGTAAAATCTATTGAAAACGGCGCCAGAGTATCAAACTCTAAAATGTACCAATTCTTTTTTAACTTTTTAATGGCATGATATAGTGACACGATAATATTAACATATGTTTTCAGCATAAATCTGAATGTATTAATGAGATATTAATGCATTGGATCTTTTTAATTTTTTTATAAAAAATAATATTAATATTTTTTGTCCGCTGTGACGGAGCATTTTCACAGTTCACATTTGCAACTGCTCCGTCACAGCGGACAAAAAAATGAAACATTATTTTTTATAAAAGAATTAAAAAGACCAAATACATCAACATCTCATTTATACCTTCATAATTATGCTGAAACCATGTGTAAATATTATCGTGTCACTATATCGTGCCATTAGAAAGTTAAACAAGAAATGGTACATTTTGAAGTATGATACTCCGGCGCCATTTTCAATAGCTTTTCTTCCCAACGTAATTGTATTTCAAACAGAAGTGAAAGTTACCCGCAAATGATATATCCATTGCATGGAGTAAGTAATTTTGTATGGTATAACGAAACATATGAGTTAAAAAATAAATCGTGAAGTATTCTTAGTGTTTTAATGAAAATTATCATGCTCCGTCACAGTGGACAAATATTTCGATACCAGCCTGTGATGTAAGGTTCAGGCATTATCCACTTATCAAGATTTATCTTTCAATGCGTCAATTCAATTATTCCCTAGGCTGTTATACAAAGGATGTCAAAAATAAGAAAATAAACCCCGAACCCGAGAGGGCTTGAGCGCAGGCACGTTCGAGCTAGGCGATTGGGCGCCGTAACCACGAGGTTGCGAGTTCGAGACGCGTGTGCTCCTTGTGTTTATCCATTTCCAAAACACAACCACCATGGATTCTTCATCGTTAATACTTACTGGTATTACCGGCCATACACCTTCAATGTCCTGTCCTGGGCCATGTTGCAAGGACCAGTTTATAACGTCAGTTTTTGGATTAAATATGTCATCAATAGATTTCAGCATATTACCCCTATCCGCCCCTCGCCTAGATAAGAAGTGCGGCAAATAGATCTTGGTATATGTGACTGTTTGCTTCAAAAATGTTTTTTTAATTCACCATATCATTCAAAATATATTTTAGCTTTTCTGCGATTGTAAATTAGGTCATAAGTTTAGATAATATTTTCTCTATAATAAAATACAGCAATTCGCTATTTATTATATGTCTCTTATAGAGCGATTACGTGTAGAATTCGTGAAATGATGGCTTACTGGTTCTGAAAGTGTTGGAGGTAGTTCATCAGTTGTTTCTTAAAGAAATCTTTTCTCTTCATCTCCTCGTCATCCGTCAACTGGTATTGGTCACTCATGTTCTTCATGTACTTCTCTTTGCCTGTTAACATACAGGTTGTCAAATAAATATATTCTCCCCTTTATCTTCGAAATAAAAACAGAATACCTCCGATGTTACGTGACAACTCATGTTCTAGTTTAGGTATGAGAACTCTTCAGAATAAAATAGTTACACCTGTGGCAAAAATAGTAGGTCGGCCTGTATCATATCTATTAGAAAGGAAATGTTGGAACTATTAAATAAGAGGGGTCAATTTGAATAAGGTTTACAGGTAGACCCCTTTCCTTTATATGGTTCTATGATGTATGATGCATCATTTTTCTTGGAGTTTTTCATGACATCTAGCACAAACTTGAGTCCAACGAGTAAAAGGTGTAATATCTAAATCCAGAAAACAAGTAATGTAGATGAAATAACCACATAGACACTCCAATTAATACCTGTCTCTAAGACCACCATTACTTGCTGCATCTCTCTGATTAGGCCTTCGCCGTGTTTTACACTATCATTAGCACGTTTCTCATATCTAGCAGTTCCTTCAGTATCATGTTTTGCCATGGCAGCGTTGTACTTATCTTTAGTTCTCTGGAATTCTGTCTCGACGTCATGGTAAGTTTTCCAAAGTCCTGTCGAGGAGAATTTAATAAAAGGAAGTTTGATGATAACAATGTCGTAAACGTACTAAAAATGTCAAAAAGTATGTAGAACGTACAGGGTGTCCAAAAAACCAAGACCGTAAGAAACTCTGTCAATTTTGCATATTTTGCCTTGAAATTTGGAAATTATTTAGTTCATTCAATGGGAATTTTGTTCTGAATGTTTGATGATAATCTGTTTATTGTGTCAAAAACAACAGTCCTTTACAAAACATGCTCAAAGTGAGCACTTCTCTCTATGCACAAACGAATCCTGCGAACAAAGTTGTTAATGACCCTTACCTATACACATTAATGTGGATGGTAAATATTGGGGTAGTTATTGCCCTCTTAAGATTGTTAGGGGCCTGTCAGTATACACATTGGCTTTGAGAAATCCTCAAAGATGAAAATTTGGGGGATTTAGATCAGGCGAATGAGCTGCCCATATAGTTTGCGTTCTGCAACTGATGAGCTGACCACCAAAGCATTGCCTAAACCGTTTCAGCATATCATTTGCAGTGTTGAGGTGGTATTGGCTTGTTGAAACCACTGCTTAGTTATCTCCTTATATGTCCCTTCTGGTGCTTAGTGACCTCCAAAACTTGGTGAGAACTTACTGGTCCTTGTTCATGGTGATAGCAAGTCCCCAGTCACCTTCGAACCAAAAGGGACTGATGATTCCATGTTTCCTCATTGCCACCCAGGGAGTGCATTGTTCAGAATGCAATGGATGCTGTAACACTTCATCAGGAGGATGTAAGCCCCAGTAGCAATTGTTCTTGGAACAAACTTGTCAATTCAGAAAGACATGTGTGTAGGAGGATCATCAACAGCTTTGTTCGCCGGATTGAATTGTGCATAGAGATGAGATTTGCACATTTGGGGCATGTTTTGTAAGGAGCTGTAGTTTTTGACTCAATAAGTAGATTATTATCAAACTTTCACAACAAAATTCACATTGGATGAACTAAATAATTCAAAATTGACCGAGTTATTCAACTTTCTTACGGTCCTGTTTTTTTTGGACACCCTGTATATAGTCATTCCAATATAGCACAATCAAGTGAAGGAAAATACACTGGGCGGAATCACCCTAGGTTGTTGGTATTTTAAAGGAATTACATATAATTTAAATGGATTTTGTCGAAATTGGCCATATACGTATGGTTATTCCTGTTATTCATGCTTCATTGTGTACCTTTCAATGAATCCATTGTTTTCTTATGTTGTTTTTCGGCTGCTTTAAACCTCTCTTTAATTTGGTCAACTATCTTATAAGTACTTTGCAACGTACCACTCTTCTGATATATAGATTTCCTCCAGCTAAAAAGTAAATCGGTGAGAGACCCTGTAGAATATTAAAGGCAGCACCATATCTAGTAAGTCATATTTAAAAAGGTGTTTGGATTTAGAACAATCAAGTAGAAGCAATGGCCGTTTTTGTACACCGGCTTGAAGGATGGATATCGGTATATCCTTTCGTAAAAAATTAAAGGTGCAACAATTAGTGCAGGGGACCATTCAACAATCATCGACCAGTGTCAAAATATATTTAGTTTGGATATTTTATCAAGACTAACATATATTTTCATTATCTACAAAGAAAACCCTGGATGAGCATTATTTCAGCTGATATTCCTCCTGAAACGTGGTGGATCCTAAAAATCTATAAGTGGGGCTCCCTTTATAGAAGCTTTGAACTGAATTTACACTTCTTAATGCTGAAATTGATAGTTTATACATACATTTTAAGAAAATAGGTATGTCAAAAAAGGTGTTAAGCCAAATATTGACCTGATAGCTCAGAAAAAATAAAAATTTTCGTATTTTCTCTCTACAGTCCTTGTTGCCCCTTTAAATTCACCCTGTACGTATCTAGTTATAATTGAGAAAACAGTGAAAGATGTGTTAATTAAATGTTAAAGTTACAGGCTTAGAGAGACGAAACGGGGAGAATAACGGGGAATGTTTCGCAAAGACACAATTTACATTAATTATTACATTGAGAATTCCATGCCATATGCATAATATCTGAAACAGTAAGAGGATAAACTCGGCAAATTAATCTCTCTTCTATATCTCTCTCTCTCTTTCTCTTTTATAGAATGATGATAATAGTAAACCTGTGAACTTTAGCAGACGTCTCCTTTATTTTGATGTGGTAATTAGAATGTTTATTTGATGTCATCTTCCCTTCCTTTAACGCCTCTAACCAGACAACTTTAGATGAACCATACTCCCCATCTGAAAGAAACAAGTGTCTAATTTGCCAAAGATAGTCGCGTTCTTTGTAGTACATCGAGTCAATATGTGGATGCAAAAGTGTCTTCCTCGCGTTACGCTGTGGACTCAGAACCAGCCAAAACTTCACAAATAATATGTTTTGTCCTATCATCGAATTTACTGCCTGTGATACATATCTACTAATACACCTGAAACATCTCAGGGCTGAGAAGAATTGAGATGTCATGGTTTATCCATCCTCCTAAGCAGGTGTCCAGAATCCGTAAAAAGAAAGAAGTATTCTGGATTTTGAAGCCCTGTGATCGGAGGATGTGGTTTATCATGATGACTAATACAATATATTGGTGTTCTCCGTGATTTACTGTGGAAACGTGTGGAAATGTGACTGTGTGGTCAGTTTGTGTTAATTCAGACTGGTCATTGTATTTATCTTAATTGACATTGCTTTATAAAACAGTGTGAAATCGTTCAAAAAACCGTAGAGCTTACTACTTTGAATTTTAGTGTACCATTGGTTGCTCCAAGATTTCAACTTTGCTGCATATTTTTCTTCTATTGCTGCTCGTTCGTCCAACATTACTTGAAGGTCATGGCAAAGCCTGTGAACAAAATATAGAACGACGAATAAAGGAGAGAATGAATATTCGGGTAGCGATGGATAAGCGATCGATCATCCATTCAGTATGGATTTTACGCGCACCCCTAGTTTCCGAAAACGGCAATATTGTCCGCTAAGGTACCTGGGATATAAACATCACAATTACTTTTGAAGTCGTTTTTTCATTAGTTCACATTTCTGGAGCTCAAATTAAAGTGAATGTAAAACACAATGATAAAGCCAATGCGTCTATTTTTGGATTTAATTATTTTATTTAATTAAAGATAAATTATGAAGGTGATAAGTTAACCATGCTGTCTTAATGATCATCTTGTTATTGTGAAGAAAATACCTCACCCTATTTTGTATTTCAATTATTTGCCCCTCCCACCCGAAAAATGCCATAAATACAGTGCAATAAGTAAAACAATAAATTAAAGAGATTTGGACAAACTAATTTCAATGTCTACATTGTATGAATATATTTTACAATATGATGTAGCCTATGTGTGAAGATATAGTTTTGTTCGTAGGATTTGCTTCACCTGGAGATTATCATAAAGACACTGTATCAACTTAGGAATTACCATCGCCGGCTTTTTATACATGTATAGGTTTCATGTTAATTAATGTACGTACTCTTTTCCATTCTCTAGACGTTTAAGAGCAATGTTATATCCTCCAATACTCCAAAAATTGTTTTTACTAGAATAAAATGACTTGCTCTTGCTCCTACGCGGCGATGAAGTTGCCATATTTGACAATGGGATGTGGCAAATCCCAGATCTGTTCGCGTAAAATCAATTGATTTCACCGCATCAGTTTGCAGTTTCATTTAGTTTTAAGTTTTCGTTTCTATTTTCACACTTTTAGATTGCCGTGGAGATTACTTGAGTGACGTCAATAATGAACTCTTGACGACACAGGCCTATCAAGCCTTTCCAGGTTTTAAGAAATGGATCTATCTTTTATTTCAAAGGATTGGTAGTATGACGAACTACCATTTTTCGGAAATTTTCAATGAGGGATTCTTAAGATCATTACATCGCATTTTTCATTGATAGCTTTTTTCTCGACCGCTCTTTTTCAACCTAGCAGCGTCTTGCCTTATATTATGTAAGAAGCAATTCTTCTTTTCATTCTCTTGTTTTGCAAATTACCCTTCCCACCACAAGTCTCTGAAAAATTCCGGCAACAATAGAGCCGATCGTTTTGAATTAACATCTTACATAGAGTATGCATATTTAACCTTTATTTGTCAAAATTTCGAGCTTCAAATATTAGGAAAATCAAAATGACCTACACTCCCCTCCATAAGTTTGGCAACCTTTAGCTCCTCCATTGAACTACGTGTTAAAGCCTCTTTACGTTTGATTTTTATTCACTCAACCTGCGATGAAAATAACTTGGTGGAAACGTAACTTGACTTTATTTCCAATATCTCCAAATTTTCCCAATTTTTTCCTAAATTACAATAGGTGGAAAATTGATGATAAATTTGATGAATTTTTGAAAATCGTCATTCCAATGTAAACCTTTGGGAAATGGTGAGTTCGGGGCAAATCAGAAATCAGGAATCAGCAAATCAGAAATCAGGTAAAAGATTTTTTGTACACTAATCTGGGTCACATATGTTCCGATACATCGGCCGGCGCCCGGCCGATTGAGTGTTTTGTTCAATATTATATTCAATTTTGAACAAAATACTCATTCGGCCGGGCGCCGTAGTGACAATCGGAGCAAATGTGACCAGGACACAAGTGTTTAGTTTACTTGGTGAATACTAAAGTTACAGAACTTCAAAGTCATTTTTCGCCTCCTGTGTTATTTCAATGGGAGAGGTTTTTTGAAAAACAATTTTGACTTTAAAGTCCTATAACTTTGTAAAACCTGAAGAAACGTATCAAAAATTCATCAAATTTATCATCAATATTCGACGTATTGTAATTGAGGAAAATATTGAGAAAATTCGGAAGTATTGGAAATGAAGTCAAATTACGTTTCCATCAATAGTATAAGTATTTTCATCGCAGGTTAAGTGAATATAAATTCAAAGGTAAAGAGGCTTTAACACGTAGTGCAATGGGGAGCTAATATTGCAAAACTTATAGAGGGTAGTGTATATTTAAAAATTCACAGGACTGTCGGGCAAAACGGCCCACAAAGGTTATAACATACTAAAATATTAATGTACAAGAACAATTGACTTTAAAATAAAACTTTTTAACATTTGATTTGTACCTTATTTCCTTCCGACACATATCAAATGACGAGGATTATGGCCGTAGGGGTTAAGAATACTTTATCTGTCTCATGTTTGAACGTCTGAGATTTATGTGCGTGGACGAGTCCTGTAATTAATTAATCTAGGTTTTAAAACCCATGTAACAGAAGGTGGGCCGCCTTCGCCTTGCCCCACTCTCAACATTATTTTTGACCACTGAGTCCCAGAAGATAGTCTGTAGATAAGTATAAAACACTTGGAAAATTTAAACCATAACCTATTGATAAAGTGAAACATCGAAGTGCGCGATGATTGACAGATAAGAAAATACCAACAACTTAAAATTTAGTTTTGAGGGCCGTTTTTTATAAATGATTTATTTCTATATTTAACTAACATTTAACATACACATGTCTGCGGCTTTGCAGAACTGCATTATAAGGCACAAGTAAAAAAGTTTGTAAGAAAGTTGTTTGCTACAAGTAATGTTTACCCAAGATAATAGATATAATGGTGGAAGAAAAACCTAAACACTTGCTCACCTTTCAATAAAGACTGAAGTGAGCTTTAACATTTTGATATTAGCATATTTTCGGACAAGCTACTCACACACTCTCTGAAATGTGAAACCGAAGTTTGATTTGCTTTAATATTGAACCAAAAAATAAATCACATAGAAAAAAACATTTGAAGTTCAGAGATCAGTAGTAGTGCATGCACATGCTAGACAAAGTGCATGTTTTACATTACTTTTGATTTAAAAGATGGCGACACTTCTATAAAAACGAATGTATGGTGTCAAATTAAAAGGTTCTTATCAAGTGACATTCTATAAAATTCAAGTAAAAGTCTTTATTTTGCCAAAAAGCATTGAAAATACGCAATGTGGGCCTTAAGGAGTATTTTCAAAATAAATCTAAATTATAGATTTGTGAAATGGCCGAAGAACTCGAAAACGTAGGCTATGCAAATTATATCTTATTAAATCCCTGAAATAAGTGACAACTTGAACATTTCTCATTCGTTCTTCATTGAAACTAAGTGGCAGCCCATTGGAGCCCATAGATGTAAATACTCGTGATTGATTTAGTAGCTCGATGTCATAGATCCCGGCCAGATTATTTTGAAGTAGGATCAGTAGACTAGTTCAATAAATATTCCTGAATCATAGTCTTTGAGCCCCAGTAGACCGTAGGCTTACTCCAAAACGATCTGGCCAAGTGCCCGAAACTGTTACCTTATCATCAAGTTATTCGGCCACAGTAATTTGGTAAGAGACACGAGTAAGCCTGATGCTACTATTGACATAAGGGTAAAAAATAAAAATCTCATTTTGGAGGCAATAATAATACAAAGTGAAACTCATCCTTTTAGTTTGTTTTGAATTGGTACTGCGCATGCGCTATTATAACTTCCGGTTGCAGGCGGTTTGTTTGAAAACAAATGTTTTCGGTCAGCTTCATGACATTTTCTTAATATTTAGGCAATAAGAATGGGTAAACTACTTAGTAAATCGACTTCGAATAACGATAGATACAGGTGAGTACAGAAATTACTTAATTTTGGAAGGTAGCGTCGAAAATCGACTGTATACGAGGACTTTTTTGTTTCACATAAAAAATCAATTCACTCAGTCTGACTCAGCTGTCAAATTCAGTCTCTAACACAAGTCGCTGGTTATCATTTATCTGATGTATCATCTCATACTGGAAATCAACTAGGGACTTAATTACTATCGACCCTCTAATCCACCAATTTAAGGTTCAGCTGGAAAGTACCATTTTGGCACGGACGTCGAGTACGTTTCTGGCGAAAGCTGGAGCATATATTATAAATAATCTATGCTCTGGCTTTCGCCAGAAACTTACTTGACGTCCGTGAATTTTGGTAAAAAATTGCTATACCTGCACATGTTATTTTCTGGTACAAAATTAAGTATGAAGGCACGCATGTATTTCCTTGGTTTTTTCAGGAAAGTATCATTACATTGTCTACTTTTAGTAAACCTGGAAACGGGTCAATGGTAGCTCCTGTGTTGTCTGAAAACTTTGAAAGAAAATTTGGAAAAATAGAAAGTGTGAAATATCACTATTTCCTGGCAGCTGGAGTTCCCATTGAACTCCTACCAGATATTCTAAAAGACTCAACTGAGGGTTGCAGCAAAATTCCGAACATGCACCCTGACCTTAACTGACAATTCCAATCGGTGAACTTTCTACAATTCATCCAGGATCGGCCCAATCACAATACTCTAATAAAAATTATTTAGTTCTCTGGCATACACTTTGGACCTAGAGAAATTTCTGTTGGAGTTCAAAACTCAACCATGCATAGCAGGGGTTTCTTGGAAGACTTGCAATCAGTATATGTCAATGATGAAGATGTCAATGACATGCATTTCAATAGTATATGTTCATGGTATACAATGTAGTAGACGGGCTGCCCCCCCCCCCCCCCCCCTAGTGAGGGGAAGTGTCCCTAGAGCAGGGTTTTGTCCAATAATAAATTCATGAAACATGAGAAATTTTTTTTTTAACCCAGCGCTACTTTGGAGTTGATTTCTTTTGATCTCCAGTTATATGCATAATATTTTTATGATCTTATATGTAATGATAAAGTTTTAAACTTACCACATATTATTTGTTGAACATGATGTTATTGCGCTAATATGATTGAAAAATCACAATTTGTTGAAATATTATTTCAAATGGGCCCTTATAGCATACATGATTTTCGTGAGATAATAGCATACACTCCCCTCCATAAGTTTGGCAACCTTTTTCCCCCATTGAACTACGTGTTAAAGCCTCTTTACCTTTGAATTTTTATTTACTTAACCTGCGATGAAAATACTTATAATATTGATGGAAACGTTATTTGACTTTAATTCCAATACCTCCAAATTTTCTCAATTTTTTTACTCAATTACAATAGGTCGAAAATTGATGATGAATTTTTGAAAATCGACATTCCCATGTTAACCAATGGGAAATGGTAGGTTTGCCGCAAGTCATATGACAGAATATTCATCCATCCGAGTCCTTGCAAAAATTCGAGTTAGGCAGGTAATTGAATTTGCTAACTTTATTTATCAAAAAATTGATATGTTTCTTCAGGTTCAACAAAGTTATAGGGCTTTAAAGTCAAAATTGTTTTTCAAAAAACCTCTCCCATTGAAATAACACAGGAGGCGAAAAATAATTTTCAAAAATGACTTTGAAGCGCTGTAACTTTAATATTCATCAAATAAACTAAAAACTTAGTGTTCAAAAAAGTTAGACAATTCAATTTTCTATATAAAAATATTTTTTGCTGAATCTTTTACTGAAAAGATATCCTGATTTCTGATTCGCCCCGAACCCTCCATTTCCCATTGGATTACATGAGAATGACAATTTTCAAAAATTCATCAAATTTATCATTAACTTTCGACCTATTATTATTTATTATTATTATATCTTGGTTACCGCCATATTTGGCGAGCAATACCTTCCGTATGTTACATATTTTACACTCGAAGATAGAGCCAGAAACCCCTCCTTGGAGGAGCCCTGTTTTCTTTTATGTGCACAGGTACACAGACATACAGGTACACACCACAGCCTTTTTATACGAGTCGTGAACCACTCAGTCAAACACCCAGAATTACATAACGCACAAAAAACTTGTCTGAACCGGGAATCGAACCCGGGCCAATATCATAAGTTATTTCATCGCCGGTTAAGTAAATAAAAATTCAAACGTAAAGAGGCTTTAACACGTAGTTCAATAGAGAAAAAAGGTTGCCAAACTTATGGAGGGGAGTGTATATAGCATATTGTAGGTAAAGTCAATAATCTGGGTAGTTCCTCACATTGTCATGTTTCATTCAGTGCATAATTTGCAAAGTTTGACAATCAGTTAGAGAAGATCAACATGAAAATTTGATGGGTATTATGGTTTACCCCAGCAAATCAAGTGCCATTTTGCAGCCAAGCATTGTCATAATGAAAAGGTGCAAGAATTTCTTATATTAAAGGTAAGGAGCTCCAAGAAAAAGCAAAAACTCCAGATTTGAATTTTTCAAAATCTCAACTTAGTGCCTAGCAAGTGTTATTAACACTAAGAATGACTATTCTTCTTAAAGATAAAGGGTAATGATGATCATAATGTTCACTGATGGATCCAGGGGGGGGGGGGGGTTGGGCATGGGAAGGTTTGAGCCCAAAAGCCTGACTTGAAATGTGCCCCCCCCCCCTTGTGAGATTCTGGATTTACCAGTGGTGTTTCCTTACTATTTAGATTTTTATCACTCTCGCACCATAGAAAGATCAGAATAACAATTTCCCAAATGTATACACGCAAGACCAGGAAACATAGAGGGTGTGATTTGAACTAGATAAAGTAGGTTGTAGTTACAGCTATTTTTAAAAAGCAATATTGGACTACATGTATGTCTTCTCATTTGCTTATCCTCCAGGCATATGACCAATGAAAGTTGTTTGAAGATGATCGTAAGGAGATATGTTGGTGTTCGGAGTTGATGTCACATCTGTACTAATTCAAACATGGAATTAGATCATGGTTATACATAATATCCCATATAATTGCAATACTTGCATATACATCCCATATAATTGCAATACTTGCATATACATCCCATATAATTGCAATACTTGCATATACATCCCATATAATTGCAATACTTGCATATACATCCCATATAATTGCAATACTTGCATATACATCCCATATAATTGCAATACTTGCATATACATCCCATATAATTGTAATACTTGCATATATATCCCATATAATTGCAATACTTGCATATACATCCCATATAATTGCAATACTTGCATATACCAGGTCGTTCAATAAGTTCCCGGAAAAATGCTCTCATTTCAAAGATTTCCGATATTTTTTTATGAAATGTTCACACAATGTACAAAAAATACTTTCTGATTGATTCTTATAATATCAGCATCTATTATTTGATTGGTCAAAAATAAGGGTTACTATGGTAACTTGACTTTTGGGTAGGCGGGGCACTTTTTACGTCACACAATTTACCATTACAGAAAATCTATCAATATGTGCAAATGAAGGATCCCTATTTTTTGTTTGTTCTTATTTGAATTACAAATGTTCTGAGGGGAAATTGATGTTCATTGTTTTCATGAACATTTCTGAAATCCTGCTAGTCAATGCTGTACCAGTGGGCCAGATAATCAACAAAAAGTAATAATATTATAAGTTGATCAAAACTTAACCATTCAAGTGCCAAACTCTAAATTTTTCCATCAGGATTCGATTACACTGCTGATATTGTGCAGGAAACCATCACAAATAACTGGTAAAATAGATGGCAAAGCTGCCCCAACTTTAAGTTACACACTCCAGTTGAGACAATCCTTGATTTTGCTGTTTTCACTAGGATGAAGGATCAACTAAGAGGTGCACTTTATGGAACAATGAAATTACTTTCAACTGCAGTCCAGATTGCCTTTCAAACAAGTTTTCCAGATGGCTTCAGAGCACTGCATCGTCAATGGGTTAAATGCAAGCGACTGTGCATTAAACATGAGGGAGAATATTTCTAAAACCGTATGGGACAATAGTTGTGACGATTGCATTAAGTAATATTATGTACAAGTAGAAAGCGGATGTGATATACTCATAAATTGCCTACTATTCTGTTGTTTTTCTAATGAATAAAGTGACGTAAAAAGTGCCCCGCCTACCCAAAAGTCAAGTTACCATAGTAACCCTTACTTTTGACCAATCAAATTAGAGATGCTGATATTTTAAGAATCAATCAGAAAGTATTTTGTATAGATTGTGTGTAAATTTCATGAGAAAATATATAAAATCTTTAAAATGAGAGCATTTTTCCGTGAACTTATTGAACGACCTGGTACATCCCATATAATTGTAATACTTGCATATATATCCCATATAATTGCAATACTTGCATATACATCCCATATAATTGCAATACTTGCATAAACATCCCATAAATTCGCAATATTTGCCATTTGCAATGGATTGATCTAATGATTAGAAACATATTGTCAGGAAAACTCATTTTATTCAGTCATGAATCACTCAACAGCTGTTAGGAATAGCAAACCAACCCTATTAGTTAATGATAATGAAAAGGCCTATGTTATATGATAAGGACAGGTTTCCATTCACATTATGGATATGTTATAAAATGTCAAATTATGAATAATCAACATTTGTGGCAAAATATGAATAATCAACATTTGTGGCAAAATATTCATATTTCCAATCTGTGATCATCTCAATATAGTTTTGGTTATTTTTATATGTTAGTTCATTATAGAATACAATAAGTTGAGTAGGGACACTCCTTATTGATATGACAGAATGGAATGTTTTTTTCATTATTTATGATTCCCAGGAAACAGTTATCTACTGTCAAATATTTACAATAACTAGCAACTAAATCATAAGTTGCAACTGGAGGACCCCAGAGTGTAATTTGCATCATAGTGTAATTTGCATCATGGTGTATTTGTATTTTTTGTTTCAGCTCCATGCCGCACCATACAGGAGTTACCCCTTCACAGTCTACAGTTGAGTCAGATACATTCCGTCAGTTTGAGCAAGTACATTCCGATGCTGTCAACTCAGTGAGTGCAATATCTCCAGGAGTTTGTCTCTCAGGAAGTAAGGATAAGGTAATTATCTTGCATTATGTGGCAGAGGCCAGCCTTAGTGCTTGGGGCCACCTTCCACAAGGGAAGCCTCTGTGCCCCCCTACCACTTTGCGTTGTTTCTGTTCACCCTCCCACTTTGTGTTGCTCCTGTGCACCCTCCCACTCTGTGTTGCTTCTGTTCACCCTCCCACTTTGCGTTGCTTCTGTTCACCCTCCCACTTTATGTTGCTCCTGTGCACCCTCCCACTTTGCGTTGCTTCTGCGCCCCCTCCCTCTCTGTGCTGTCTCCGTGTCCCCATCCCTCTCTGTGTTGTACAGTGTAAAAACTACAATTTATTCACATTTAATCCATATCTATCTGTAATGATCTGATCAATGAATACTGTAGCCTTGTTGTTTATACAAACCATTTTACAGAGAAATTTATAAAACCCTTTGAGAAATTATACTGTATTGTATAAATGAACAGCCCTATGAGAAATACTGGCCTTTTTAGCCCTCAGAGAAATAACATATTAATCTGATGAGTTATTGTATGGAAGGAAGCCTTTGGGTATTGGTTTTATTCTGAAGAAACATGGATCTATCTCAGTGACTTAGGGTACACATATGCATATGGTATATGTATATAAAACTTTTAAAGGATATACATGTATCTATTATTTCCAAAACTGATCCGACCAACACTCCATGACATTTAGTGTTCTGTATCGTACTACTTCATAAAAAGAATATAGTACAATGTTTTTAGCAATAAAATCGTGGCCATATACCATGACTGACATTTTATGACCCATAATATCACAATATTTTATAAATAGAGGATATCCTATGATTTATGAGTGATATGATTTTTATCCACGAATGGATATGATATCTGCACGAGCGAGCGTAGCGAGAGAGTGCAGATATCAATATCCATGAGTGGGTAAAAATCATATCACGAGTAAATCATAGGATGTTCTTTTTATTCCATAGTTAAAGTCATCATCAGAATCGTCGGAAATTAAGTTATTTAATTCGAATTTCCAAACGATCCGGCGATGTTGACCCTTAGCCTCGTTTTGAGTCTGAAGTAGCAAAAATCCATAAACCATCGCATACGACGTCGTATGTCATGGCTAAAAAACCGTATGTTATGGTTAAGTGAAAATTTGTCAAAAATATCATATTTTACCACTGATTACAAAAATACCGTTTTTATTTTCACATGTTATCCTATGAATATCATGCTAACTATGGAATAAATAGAGGATATCCTATGATTTATGAGTGATATGATTTTTATCCACGAATGGATATGATATCTGCACGAGCGAGCGTAGCGAGAGAGTGCAGATATCAATAACCATGAGTGGATTAAAATCATATCACGAGTAAATCATAGGATGTTCTTTTTATTCCATAGTTTAAGTCATCATCAGAATCGTCGGAAATTAAGTCATTTAATTCGAATTTTCCCAACGATCCGGCGATGTTGACACTTAGCCTCGTTTTGAGTCTGAAGTAGCAAAAATCCATAAACCATCGCATACGACGTCGTATGTCATGGCTAAAAAACCGTATGCTATGGTTAAGTGAAAATTTGTTAAAAATATCATATTTTACCACTGATTACAAAAATACCGTTTTTATTTTCACATGTTATCCTATGAATATCATGCTAACTATGGTATAATGTAATAAATGCCATAATTATAGTAAATATTCATTATAAATCAGATGCAATTTCAATTGCAATATCTCAATATGTAACAATAGATATGACGTGAAAGTTTGGTTGAAATTTTCAGCCTTCTGGATCATCTTAACGGTTGATATTGAATTTGTATTCTAACATTTTCTCAAACCAAAATAACAGACTGTTATTTTTCATGTCATTTGCATGACTACTGATATATTCCCTGATTACAATGATAGCACAAAAATCACATAAAAGATGAAAAAATTCATCATATTCTTCATCATCCTTTCTTATATTGCTATAGCTATCTCCTGTTAGAAAAAATGCCATCATACTTGTATTACAATGTAAGAAATTGTATATTTAAGAATCTGGATGAATATAAAGATAAATATTTTGTTGATATATCGGTCTTCATTCTGATATCAATCCTAATTTTTCATAGGTCAAAAACGTAAAAAACTCTATCTATAATATGATGTGTTTTAGCATTAATTTTGCAGGCATCATGGGAGGAATTTGTTATTTACTGGTTGGGAATCATTTGGGTAATAGACTCAGTCATCAATATATTTTGATCTCTCCCTACACAATATGTCACTGTAGTACTCTATATTAATATGCATAACTCATAACCATGGTAATGTCAGCATTATTTATTGAAAATATGTGTAACTGTCCACTGTCCAGAGCCCCTGAGGATAGTTTATGGTTCCTTTCAGTTTGTTTTAATAATATTCAATGTTATTTTATATATGACACTGCCTGTCAATATAAAGCATAATTTAACAACAAAATCGTCTATCTACATATTTGGCAGAAATGTCTAATCATATCATATTGATAGATACACTCATACAAAAACGTAAAAAAGATGTAAAAAATAAATAATTGCATGATTAACCCCAGAGGCTTCATACGTGCATTAGAATTCTGGACAAGACTTGCCTCTGGAGATGTTAACTCTTTATACAGGGTTAGAATGACCAAAGTTGAGGTAAAACAAGGAAAATTCTCACAAATCAGCAAATACTATCTTTTATTTACCTACCCATTGTTGGCATTATTTAATTCGGAAAAGTATAAGAATAAGAAATATATGATATACCATCCGAGTATGTTGGCATATATCATCATTGTTACAATCTAAAACAATGCTAATCTCAACAAACATTGTAATCTCACATTTCCTATATCTGCTTTGAATAACTGCTCATAGCGGAAAAATGAATCTGTGCATTTTATCGACAATACATTGTAAATCAGTACTATACTGCAGCAAATGGCAGTCATCATTAAGTCATTGCCGATCCCTGATAATTGATCTCTACGCTGTATGCCTAAGTCTGCTACATGTATAGAATACAGAAAACTAATTGTATACTGTAACAGACAACCAACACTATGTTAATTCAAGAGAATGAGCAATAGGGTAAAGGGTCCCATCTTTGCATACTCTTTCTTTCCGTATTGCTACATGATAAGAATACAGGATCACCCACGATAACCGAATAGGGAGGTATATAAGCTATATATTTTAAGAGAATTTGTAAGAGAGCTTGTAGTATTTTATGATCCCAAGGGATTACCTTTCCCCTCTCAATTGGTTTTCCAAGGACCTCATTACAACAACTATCCTAATACCTTGATACTCACACAAGCAACTACATACTACATACATACTACACAGAGGAGAAACTAATCCCTAGAAAACCTTTACCTCCAACTGACCCCAACATTTCTAATTTATATTCAAACATCTTTTTTATTGCAAATTTGAGAAAGTACAATGGTTCCCCATAAAGAGGACAGAGGACATTGGGGTTTTCATACATTCAAACATCTTGTACCAGTATACATGTATTTTATAATGTGATACGACTTTTATATTTTGTATTTTCCAGAGCGTACTGTTATATGACTATAACACCGGTGTTGTCCAGCAGGTCTGGAATGGTCACGACAAAGAAGTCACAAAGGTAAGGTTAATATTTAATTGTAACTCCAGCTTTGAAACTACCAGAATCTCATCCATGTGTGAATTTGAAATTAATCTTTCACATACTCAAAACAGGCATTTCTCATATATATTTGGTGCTCAATTCTTCAGGCAATTCTTGAATTCAATGGGTGTCAACTAAATATTATTTTACATTAAGTTGAAAGGAGGTTTAAATGAAATATTTATTTGTATTAATGGTCCTTTGAGGGGTACCTTCGGAGAATGACTTTTTGAAATATTTGTCTAAAAATCAAAGTAACGAAGCCTGATTACCTATTTTCTTTGGCATAGCCATTCACCTGAAGATTAAGGCTGCGTTTTTGAATGCTCACGGCGCAAGTCAATTGCATAATATTTGTATGAGTTATCTTCCCAGGTATCACAAAAAGATCAACAGGCCCTGCGGAGCAAATAACATGGCCACACATTTAAAAAAAAAAACAGCTTGTCCAAGCGCACCTACAATCACATAATTCTTTTGAAAGACATCATGGTTTATTGCAGTGGAACTCCTGTGGTGCACTAGCAACAAGCCAACGCAGTTGACACACGCAGTTAGCTGGCAAGATTGTCATAGCGTAATTAGCAATTTAAGTGCGCTTGGATGAACTGCTTTTGTTGAAATTTGTGACCATGTAATTTGCAAAGCATGGGCTCATTGTTCTTTTTCATGATACCTTGGGGGAAAACTTATTAAATATTATGCAATATACTTGCGCCACGGCAGTTCAAAACCGCAGCCTAAGATTGAAGTGATTTGTGTTGTAATAAGATAAATGTGTGAAGAGATCTAGAATAGAACAGTAATTATCTAACACAGACAGAGTAAGTATTACCACTTTTGGTTCTGCCCTTTTTATTGTAAAATCAAGGAAAGGAGTAAGCCATGGGAAGGAATCTTACAATTTGCACAATAATCTTGTAGGCTACATTAGTAAATAAGTAATCAATGGGCAGAGCTGGTGAATTGGAAATGCACACACTCAGATGAAATCCTCGAAACACTGGCTGATATAAGTCATTTCAAGGATTTCCAATATAGACCCCTTCTTTAATTAGCATGTTATCTGTATGTATTACAATACTCCATGCTACACTCTATATTTTAACACAATTCTTGTGATTAACACTTACATTATTACCTCATTTTATTTTTCATATTTCAATTTTACAATATTTTTTCATCTCACATGACAGGATATGAAGGGAAATAGACATCCGGGCTCAGTATTATGCTCACACATTGGATGTACATGTATTCTACCATTTGTAGAGAGAATAGGTTAGATTAGACGAAACCAGTCTATTGCAGATCCTGTTTTGGACATTAATATTGTATTGTCATCCTGTAATGTTATTACCACAGCCTTTAATCAATCCTTCTTAGGCTTCATAATATGGTGGCTTTTCCTAGGCATTTATGCCCATTGATAAGTAAAAGAAATTCTGGGAAATTAGAATACCATAAAACTCATTGCCAAGACAGTTTTCCATTCTCTAATTATGGCGTAAATACTGACCTTGTCGGAGATTAGCAGCTAGATGCAAATTTTGCTCGTATTTTATCTCGCTGACAATTATTGGTATTCTGGGAATAAATATTGAAGGTGGCAGTATAGCATTTCAAATTACAGAAAAACATTTGTATATTTGCTGAGAAAAAACCTTCACTGTATGTAGGTGTTCACTATAGCAAGGGTTTGACTCGCAGCATTTTTGCTGTACTACATGCACCTGTATATTCACTAGAGGGGTGCGTTCACTAACACAGGTTTTACTGTACATATGATTATTCATAAAATGTTCTCAATCTCTTCTGAAATATTAAGAATGTAGATAAAATTTCAAGTTTGCTGTGCACTAAATGTATTTTATTCAAATCTTGAGGCATTATCCTTAATTGTATCCATTGCACATAGAGTTAGATTCATTCTTTATCAAAACCAACACCTTTGTTTATTATTACTTTAATTAATTATTACTTTCTTAACAGTGGTTAATAAGCCCAAGGTAAACAAATATTTTTATTGATCGTAACACAAAGTACAGTAGAGTACATAATATTTGGCCTTTTCTTTCTGGTAGAAAGTAATTTATGGTAAATCTAAATCATTCCTGATAGCTATCGCATTCTCAGATTCTTGAATTGATTCAGAGATACTTTCGTCATCTTGACTTACATATAAAGTTGCACGATATTCAATTTAATCAAGACATGCCAGGTTGTGTTCTTCAGCAGGTGTCTAATGAATAAATCATATGAACAGAAATGAATTTGACTCATCAGAAATACAGTTTAAGTTCTCCATGGTAAAAGGATAATAATTATCTGTATTTTCTAAAAATTGTCGTTCTGTGTTAGGACTGTGTTTGAACCTAAAAATCTATAAGACTTTGTTGGTTTGTGCGGACTTGAACCTTGTCCTTTTTACTTGCCAGTACTAGTATCATTAAACAAACCAATACATTTTCTTGAACAAGCTTCATTTTTCATAGTCTTTTCTTGTTTCCACTAACTGAGTGTAACATTTTGAAAAATGGCCTCCATATACGCTCGTAACATTCTGTTCCATTATCATTTGGAAATTAACACAGGAAAACAGTGTGACAATTTTAAGGGGAAATTGCAGTTAGAGGTGAAAGCCATTCTCCTTAATCATGATTCAAGTGATCATCAATTTACTTTATTAGATTAGTTTATCATCATTGTAACATGTTGCAGAAATAAGAATAATTCACCATTGTTATATAACATCCTAGCATCCAAAGCTTAGTATAGAGATGTAATTAGAATAGGGAATATGAGTCTTGTTATATAAAATCTTGCTTTTGGTGATTTGGGGATTTGTTTAATCGGCTTTTGTACGTGGTTTACCCAAAAGTGATGATTATTTTAACATTGGCGACAATGAGCTTGCTTTCCAAAGAATATTGTCTTCACACAAAGAGATCATTGTAACCTCACTGGTATATATAAGGTTTCTCATAAGTGTCTAGCCTTCAATCTTCAGAAAGGCAAATGCACATGAGAATAAAAACTGACTTTCAATTCTTATATTAATGATTGATTAAGAAATAATTCTCATCTGCGTCGAAGATAACCAGCAATTGAAAGGAAGGATTTGATACATTTGAATCAACTTGATGGATGGCATGATCTTTGCAGTTATGAGTTGTAATCTTTAAGTTCTCATAATATCTCTCTAGTTTTTAGTTTTCAATATATTCTAACAGATTACATTAAATATGTTAATGACGTAATAGTAGATTTACCTGTATTCATTTCAACTGTTTTCAATTTAAATTTAGTGATCATAGATGCAGTTTGCATTCAAAATGTCTAAAACAAAAAAATTGTAATAAAGTCTGTGACAATGAACACTAATAAATGGATAATATTCTAACAGATGTCTTTATTTTTATGAGTTATGGTTACTATGGCAACTATTTGTTATTAAATATTTTTGTTAGACAAAAAAATATGAATAGTTATATGTTGCAATATGTAGCAGAGATAATATAAGAACTTTATGAGATATGATTTCATTCAGTCTTGACTATGAGCTTGCTTTCAGTGTTGTAACTATATACAAAAATCTTGTTGTTGGTGGAATGGTAGTGGGGCCATGTGCTGTCATATTTATTCAAAATAGAAACATTTTACAAAATTCAAAATGCTCATTGCCATTTTAGCAGATATCTGTAATGTTATTACTTTAGACTCTTTCCCCTTTCTAATGGTATATTGAAACCAGGAGACAAATAGCATCATTCTTTTGACCTTCATTTGTTCTCCTAATCAAGACATTGTTGTTCATGCATTGCAGAACAATATGGATGCAGAGTGACATATTTTCATCATTATTATTCCATAAATGAAACTTTCCAATATTTTTAATCTCTTTAAATGTGTATAATTCAGAAAAAACACTTGATTAAGTTATGGCATTGTGTGCGGATTTCATGCTTGACCAAGCAGTGAATCCTGGGAAATTGAATTACTCTTTTTGCATAAGAAGTAGTTCAGTGCAATCTGCTGATTATATATAGGTTTATCCATAAATCAATCAAACATGACCATTCTCTAATTGATTTTATCAACCAATCAGAATTCAGCATAACCATGCTTTAATTCTCCATATATGAACGATCCTGCCCAGCCTATCGTCAGGCGCAATATTGGTCAATATTTGAGGTCTACTTTTGGTCTACTCATGAGGCGTACTTCTGGTCTACTTTTGGTTTTTCTCTGTGTTAAATCCCCATAGTCAGGCGCGTTTCAAATATTTAAATTAAGCCAAAAGTAGACCAGAAGAAGACCTCATTTAATGACCTCATCAGGTTTATCAGGTCTATATTTGAGGTCTAGACTCAACTATCTGTAAATCAGGTCTATATTTGAGGTATACTTTTGGTCTACGCCTTATTTGAGGTTCACTATTGGTTTTCAGGTCTACTTCTCTTCTGCTTTTGGTGTACACCTTACGTTAAGGCACATTTCAATTATGGAAATTAGGCCTGAAGGTCTACTTTTGGTCTAGACCTCATTTCAGGTACAAGCCTCATATACCTGTAAGTATGGTCAGGTCATGTTTTGTTATTTCAAATTAGAAAAGTACTTAGTACATATCAGTACCCTCCATAGTTGTTAAATAAATTGCATTTATTTTGAATTGCTGTTTTGTTTTCTAGGATTAACTTGTCTCATGGATAAGATACAGATCTATGAACACATTAGAAAGATGAAGCAAAAATTACACAGTATTCTTATATAAATTATATGTAGGCTTCTAATATGATGTATTTTTGTTTCATCATTTAAATTTAGCAATATTTCAATATTTTATTATTTTCAGACATCCTTCTTTAGGTTTCCCAGATTTTGATTATTTTTTTAAGTTCTGATAAAAACCATTAATAGGGAGTTGAAAATACAGTTTACTGGTCTGTTAACCTAATATATTATAATCTGTCTCC